ATAGTAGTAGGAGTAGTAGGTGTTAATATTAGTATTTAGATATTAATAAGAGTCGCTAAAAGAGTAGTAGGTCTTTATCCTACTACTCTTTTAGAGATCTTACTTACCTATATAGAGAGTTATATAGCTACCCGCGTAATGCTATTATACCTTTACTTTATCCTTACTATTATTACTTAGGTATCGTAGACTATTATTACTTAGGTATCGTAGACTTAAATAAAATTACTTTAAAGAAGGAAAGCGAGGATATTATACGCGCATATTAAATTACGCTACTTATTACTTATTATACGGAATACACCTTTAATTACCGAGGTTCTAATACCCTATAATGCTAGCGTCGCACTATCGCCTAAAAGGATTGTTGCAGAGTTGTTCTYAAAAACGCGCCGTACGTGCGGGAAATGTCGGCTTTTGGCCCACGCGTTTCAGAATTTACACCGCGTCGCGCTTTCGGTGGGGTGGGGAAAGCATGTAACCACATGTAGATGTGCCTCTCACGTCCACCGCGTCTCGACCAACACACACCATGCCGCGAGAGATCATCACGCTCCAGGCGGGTCAGTGTGGAAACAGTGGTATGTAACAGCTCAGCCAATCATTCAGCATCTTCCTGACAGATGACCTCTCAGTTGGCTCACAATTCTGGCAGCGACTCTGCCAGGAGCATGGGATTGACCAAAATGGCAATCTCGAGGACTTTGCGACCGAGGGCGGCGACCGCAAAGATGTCTTCTTCTACCAGTCCGACGATACGCGCTACATTCCCCGTGCCATCCTCATGGACACGGAACCTCGCGTGATCAACGGCATCCAAAGCGGGCCATACAAGAACATTTACAATCCCGAAAATGTGTACGTGAACAAGGAGGGCACAGGAGCTGGCAACAACTGGGCGCAGGGATACGAGATGGGAAGCAGGGCGCAGGATGAGCTGATGGACATGATCGACCGTGAAGCAGACGGCAGCGACAGTCTGGAGGTAATTGAATTCGGTCACGGCATTTCGAGCTGCGATTAGACACTGACGGAGCGTACCCAGGGTTTCATGCTGCTGCATTCCATTGCTGGTGGTACTGGATCTGGCCTGGGATCTTTCCTTCTCGAGCAGCTCAATGACCGCTTTCCCAAGAAGATCATCCAGACGTATTCCGTCTTCCCCGAAAAGACCGGAGATGTCGTTGTCCAGCCTTACAACTCGCTTCTCGCTCTACGACGACTGACCGAGAATGCTGATGCCGTCGTGGTCCTCGACAACGGGGCACTGTCAAAGATTGCAGCGGAGACATTGCACGTGCAAGAACCATCATTCTCACAAACGAATCAACTGGCAAGCACGGTCATGTCCGCAGCAACCACAACACTGAGATATCCCGGCTACATGCATAACGATCTGGTCGGAATTGTAGCGAGTCTGATCCCGWCACCGAGGTGCCACTTCTTGCAGACAAGCTACACTCCCTTCACTGGCGACAACGTAGAGGCCGCGAAAACGGTGAGGAAAACTACTGTGCTGGATGTGATGAGGCGTCTGCTACAGCCGAAGAACCAAATGATCGAAGCGAAAACTACCAAAACCAGTTGCTATATCTCAATCTTGAATATCATCATGGGCGAAGCCGACCCAACAGACGTAAGCTTGCAAGATATCCTCATCAAAACCCCGAATTAACGCCCACTAGGTTCACAAATCGCTGCTTCGTATAAGAGAGCGTAATCTCGCCTCCTTCATTCCCTGGGGTCCAGCCAGCATTCAAGTTGCACTGACTCGCACATCGCCATACATGCAACCCCCCTACACAACTCGCGCACCTCCGCGAGTCTCTGGACTCATGCTGGCTAATCACACAGGCATCGCCACCCTCTTCAAGCGAATCGTCAAGCAGTACGACCCTTTGCGAAAACGAAACGCGTTCCTGGAGCAGTACAAACGCCACGAGCCTTTCCGGGACGGGTTCGGGGAATTCGATGAGTGTCGAGAGGTCGTTATGGACTTGATCAAGGAATACGAGGATGCGGAGCGTGCAGACTATCTGACTGGCGGGAATGATGACGAGCCAGCAAACGGGGGCGCGGATGCGAGAGCGGATGGCGCGAATGGTCGGTGAATGACGAAGTCCTGTTGTGGAGACTGGCGTTTGGCGTTTCGATGGAGTCCATACCCATGAGCATGATGACGAGCGATTTCGATTTCAGCGCGTCCTTCCATCGGCGTTTCCATACCAGCCGTTGTGTCTCCTCTTCGGTTTCGCTTTGGCAGTCTTGACTTGGATTCTGGGCATGCGTCCTGGAATGAACGACACACAGATCTTGATGATGTAGGTCGGTTGGTGGGCGGGTCCTAATTTCAGACGGAGAGTAAAGCCTGAAGGGGCGAACTCGTCGTTGAAACGGACGTGATGGGCGTGGGGGTGAGTGTGAGCGTGAGCGTGTGTTGACATTATGAGATGCTTGCGAAGACTTGACGGAAATGAGCGACGGGGTTTGGAAAAAGAAAAGTGAAGAAAAAGCAGAAATGACGAAGGGTTAAGCCTGGAAATTTTCCGTCAAAGAGATGTATGTGCTCGTGCTGCTTATTCGGACAGCTGGACGAATGTAGTAAATGTAGAGGGTGTGATGGTCCGGGGCGTGCAAATGTGTTCTATATACATGCAGGTGACCCTTTTGGCTGTTCGGGGCGCGGGATCAAAATGTAAGACACGGATGTGGAAGTCGCACGTGATGCACGCACGTGGAATCATTCACTTGTTTTTGTGGGGTTGCAAATATATGCGTCTAACCCGTGGGGGGCATCGCTTGACTCTATTCCTCGACATGGTTGCCGCGCGTCGTCTCTGCTACATTTCGCCATCTAGAATAGAGCTTTGACCGTGTCGTAAGTGTATTTGAGATCCAAGTGCCAGTAATTTGCAGCGGTTGGTTTCGTTACCAACCATGCTTCATCGAGCGCCTTGAGGACATCCTCTGGGAGCGGTCCCTTTTCGATGTCCTTCAAGTTGGACTCCAACTGTGCTTGGCTTGACATTCCGATGATTATGCCATCGTTGCCATCGGAAATCTTCAGCTTGGAGTGGTGGATCAGCCATCGGAATGCTACCTCCAGGAGCGTCAAATTGTGCTTCTCTACTACCGGCTCAATGAGTCGAAGTGCGTCGAATGTTGCGTCCTGGAAGTATCTCGCCCGGTAGCTCTTCCCGACAACCTCGTTGGTGTTGGAGTAACGACCTTCAGCAGGGATTTCATTGGTCTTGTACTTGCCAGAGAGAACACCGCCTGCGATCGGGTTGTACACGACAATATCGATGCCGTATCTCCGGCAGACTGGGATCAATTCGGGCTCAATGGCACGCTGAATGGCATTGTACATGCCCTGGTATATCGTTGGACGCACCCAGTCGTTGTATTTGCAGTGCCTAACTCAAGTTAGCATAGACCTGCATTTAAAGAAACAGAGACCTGGATTTACATCACGATTTCCGCGACTTCGAACGCAGTAAAATTAGAGAGGCCAAGGTTGACGAATTTGCCAGCTTTGTGGAGTTCATTGAGCTTCTTCAATGGCTCCGTGAAGGGCAGCGAACGATCGGCAGCATGAAGGTAAAAAATGTCAACACAGTCGGTGCCAAGTTCGGAAAGAGACTTGTTGAGCATCTCCTCGATCTTCTGGCCGGTATGGGCGCCAGCAGTATGTGGATACCACTTGGTTGCCAGAGTGAGACCTCGCTCTTTCCAGCCAGCATCACGAGTCCATGCTTCCTGTTTTCCACCTACATAAACTCTCGCGGTATCAATCTCATTGTAACCCTGACCTTGGAAGTAGTCGAGAGCCTTTTTGTAGTCGTCAAGAGATGTAATTCGTGCTCCAGTCTTCTCGTCTGGTCCAAAGGTCATTGTCCCAAGGATGACGCGAGGCTTGCCAGTTCCTGTAATGAGTGGCATCTTGGCGGACAATGTGTTGGTGAATGTGCGTCTAGAATTCACTAGTCTGGGGATCACTTGAAGTACATGTAGTGGTCTTGACATGTATCTCCCGGAGAGGATAGCAGAAGTGGAGTTGATAGTGGCAGCATTTTGATGATGCAGCAGAGCCGTGATCGGAGGGAGCGGGGAGCTTGCAGCATTGCTGCCTGAGGCGACCAAATCGGGGCTCAAAAATAGATCCGGGGAAGGGTCCAGGGATTCCAGGAGCCCAGGTGGACAATTGCATCTGATCGCACGCCGCCTCAAGATAACCGATCCGGGTCACATGGGGGACCATCGCTTCTATGCCTCATGATAAAGCATCCCGCTCCGGCCCTCCACATGAGTCCGCCTCGTCGCTGTCTCCTGACCAGAGCCACCTAAACGCCGATTCCGAAGCCAGCAGGGACACCTCGCGATTTTCCAGTCCATTCACTGAGCTCCCCCATCCAGACAAGTTCGACGCCGACGACGACGGATTTGAGGACTGGGACGACGACCTTGAAGAGAACATGCCATCAGATCTACGTGAAGCGCCGCGAGGTTCGAATTCACATCAGGCGCAACCTTTGCTCGCGGGAGACAAGCACCAAGATTATGAGTCGCCTACGCGGCCCTCCCTAGGCCGTCGTCGCTCTACAGCACGCTTCAKAGAGAGGGATCCAGAATTAGCAGAGGATAAGGGAGATACCCGGAAACGATATACATATGCTGCATGCTTCCTGCTCATAAGTCTCGTCAGTTTCGCCGTACAGACGGAGACGGCGGTATACATCCAGCATGACCTACACTGGACCAAGCCATATTGTATGCTGTACATGACCCACGGCTCGTGGTCAGTGTTGTGGGTGGTGCAGCTCTTGATACTGCGGTTGCAAAAGTGGAATCAGCCCTGGGATGCCTTCTGGAGACGACATGTATCCATACTTCGGTCGACAGCGCAAATGATCGAGCATCAAACCTTGAATATTCCACCCCACCTTCAGAAGAAGTCTCCCTGGCCATATTTCATGCGCACTACAGCTTTTGTAACATGTGCCCTGACTGTTGCTGGTGGGAGCTGGTACGTGGCAGTGGATCTCACCACTGCTTCCGACCTGACGGCCATCTACAACTGCTCAGCGTTCTTTGCATATGCTTTTGCAGTCCCAATTCTGCACGAAAAGCTTCGCTTGGGTAAGGTCGTTGCTGTAGGGATCGCTATCGTAGGCGTATTGGTGGTAGCATATGGCGATGCCGCGACAGCAAAGCATGGGAACAAGTCTGGAGGCGGAGCTGGGGGCCCGTCAGCACCGGATAACTCAGAAGCATCTAATCGGGCTCTTGGTAACCTCGTCATTGGTGTTGGAAGCGTGCTCTACGGCTTTTACGAGGTTCTATACAAACGGGTTGCATGCCCGCCGGAGCACTGTTCTCCTACACGAGGCATGCTTTTCGCCAACACGTTTGGCTCCATGATTGGCGTCTTTACGCTGCTGGTGCTGTGGATTCCGATCCCAATCCTCCACATCACAGGGATCGAGACCTTTGAGCTACCTCGTGGAGAGGCTGCGTGGATGCTCATCGTATCTGTTTTGTCAAATGCTACCTTTAGCGGTTCCTTTCTGGTCTTGATCTCGCTCACATCGCCAGTTCTAAGCTCGGTCGCTGCGCTCTTAACCATATTCTTGGTCGCGCTTTGCGATCAAATATTGCCGCCGCCGCTTTACAGTCCATTAACCGGAGCTGCTGTGGCAGGTGGATGTCTCATCATCTTCGCATTTCTGCTTCTGAGCTATGCTACCTACCGGGAAATGGAGGAGGAGAATCGRCAAAAGGCCGAAGAACGAGTAGACGAAAGCGATGTCGAGGATCTTTAAATTACTGACTGGATATGGGATATTTAGAGCGACGTGGAGGATCATTAAATCACTGACTAGATACGGGATGTTTAGATGAGTCTTCCCACAGATCTATGGGAAGCATGGCGTTGCATGGCACTGGATGGCGCACAAGGTCTACAGCGCACGACTTGGTGTTTGGATGCATTTTGGGACAATTAGAATCAGCATGACCTGACACCAGGTCAGAGGACTTTTTCACGATCAACAGCTCGTTCATCGTGCTCTATTTATTGCCTTCTTCAATGCAATGTGCGTTTATCACACAATTACAAAAGGTGCTCTATACGTCCTCTCGTGAAGCAGCAGTTACCAGCGATCCACAGTTTTGTTGGAGCAAATTGATGTCTTCGCTGCTGCCGCTGCACTTTGTCCTTCACGTCTCCGTCAAATCAGTGCCTCGAAGCACGTCGCGGAGGTCATCCTATCAGCAATTGCCGCTCCAGGCTTGGAGCTAAGCAGGCGGACCCGATTGCTTTGTTTGCCCGTTGCCCACGTGAGGGCAGTCTTGCGTGTGACCCAGGCAAAATAACACAACCAGCGCACGAGAAGATCCCCTGTTCCACTTCGGCAAGCGTATGGCGTGCTTCAAGCCGATTTTCAAATCAATTTGTAGTCCGACACTGATTGTTCAATCAATCCTGCCTCCGCTCTCCCGCCACTTTTTGATCCGCTTCTTTAGATCACCCTCGCTCCTTTGCATATAGTTGATCTTTGTATCCCGCGCCATCTTGCCGTAATCTTCTCCGTACTTTGCAACCAGTTCCTCGATGAAAGCCACCTCGCCCTCGGGTTGTCTGCGCTTGTACTTTTGCACAGGCCGATTCGCTGCCGCCTCCAGCTTGCGCACTGTCTCCGTCTTCCCACTCGCAGCTCCTCCCACGGCACTATCTGTGTTGCCATGCTGGTTCCGTAAGCTCAGAATCTCCTCGCCATCCGAAGAATCGTCCGAATCCAGATCGTTGAGTGGATCGTTTAAAGGGTTGGCCCTCGCACCTCCGCCCTGCTCGATAATTCTCAAGATTTCACCAGTCTCGGGGTCCCTCTCGATCTTGGCCTCAGTGACATCGAGCTTTTCATTGCGCCTTGAAGTTGAGGCGATATTCAGTGGATCGCGGCCTGCAGAAAATGCATTTCGCTCTCCCGCTGCCTCACGCTGCACATCTGACACTTTCTTGTCGGTACCACCAGTGCTCTTGTTGAGCTTTGCTGTGAGACCCAGCCGCGCATAGTTTTGCGCAAATGTGAGGCTTTTGTCCCAGTTCTCGGCGACGATGGGATGGTGCAAAAGTCTCTTCTTGGACTTGGGCTTGTGCTTGACTTTGCTGATCGACGACCGATTCTTCTTCTTCTGCAATTCTCGACCCATCGTGGCGGAGGTTGTGCAGATAGACCTGGAGATTGATGTGCGTTGAATTGAAGACGAGCCCGTTCGAGAAAAAGTCCGATTGCTTCGCCCGCATAAACCTTATCTCGCGTAACAAGCGGTAGGGGTCCAATCGGTTCAATCGCGCTCTCCGTACGGAGTATGTGGAGCATATCGTCCAACACCTCTTCTATTGCCCTCTTTCTCTCATCGTCCTTGAGATTCACCCATCTAAACACAAGCATGGCGCGTCAATTTGCAATCTTTGCCCTTGTGGCTTTGCTCTGCTTCGTCTGCGGTGGATACGGCGAAAAAGTCACGCCGCCAAACGTCAACGTAGCTTCGCTCAGCACTCAGGAAATCGAAGAACAGCTACAGGTGAGCCCAGACGGAACCCAATGCACATTTCCCACACGATGTTGGTGCAATTATCTTTGCCACGACCTCAATTCTGCTTGGAGATTGACACGTCCTGACAACGTACCAGCAATGCCCCATCATCGAAGCGCTCGTCGCCCATAAGACTGAACACGAACCCGTCCACGCCTCGTTCCTCCAGGAGAGCTTCCGTGTGCTCTTCCCCTTCACCAGTCCGGCTTACAATGCTCTCATGGGCACGCTATACATTTCTGGCCCTCCCAACTTCTTGCTTGCCCTCTGTCCACCCAACATTGATCCGTCCAGCCTGAATGTAATGGTAGCTTTCGCGGTGGGCGGACTGCTTGGAGACACACTCTTCCACTTGCTCCCTGAGATCTTTTTGGGAGAAGTGCCAGAGGGAGAGGTTCGTGCCGTTTTGGTCGAGCCCAACAAGAATCTTTTGCTTGGTGTGGCCATCATGATAGGGTTCGTTACATTCGTGGCCATGGACAAGGGACTGAGAATTGCTACGGGCGGTGCAGGCCACTCTCACGATCACGGTTCCACCCATGATACCCCTGCCGTAGCATCCACCACTGCTACCAGCAAGGACGAATCCTCGCTTCGTCAACGTAAACCAGATGCCGCCTCCAAGGCATCAGATGTGGCAAGCACCGCTAGAACGGAAGATCCCAAGCCATCCGTCAAGCTCTCTGCCTACTTGAACATCATCGCGGACTTCACACACAACATCACAGACGGTCTTGCCATGTCATCCTCATTCTATGCATCTCCAACCATTGGAGCCACTACTACGCTGGCTGTGTTCTGTCACGAGATCCCTCACGAGGTCGGTGATTTCGCGCTCTTGATTCAGGGAGGAATGAGCAAGAAGATGGCCATGGGATTGCAATTCTTCACCGCACTTGGAGCGGTGCTGGGCACTGTCATTGGAATCGCGGTGCAAGAACTTGGCGGCAACTCCGTTTCTGCTGCCGCTGCTATTGCTTCAGGTCAAGGGAATGTTGGTTTGTTGGGCACAAGCTTGCAGTGGGGAGATCTACTGCTTCCTTTCACTGCCGGCACATTCCTCTACGTCGGAACAGTCGGCGTCATTCCCGAGATGCTTGAAACAGGACCAAACCGGTGGAAAGAGCTGAAGAGCATGGGATTACAATTCGCCGCCATGGCTGCTGGTGCAGGCATCATGCTCGGGTGAGTTCTCGGATCTCATTTCATTGCTCCTACTGTTACGGACGCTTTCTTTGACTGAAGTTACCTCGATTGTCGAACAGTTGCTGACAATCTCTTCTCTTCAGAATATCTTGGGACTGAGCGCGTTCACGTCCCTGTGCAGTGCTCTTCGGTTCTCTCGACGACACATCAGTCTCCTCCTATTCCTAGCAGCTTGCTGGTTTGATGGGCTATCTGCCGCTTAAACCCTCCCGGATGTCTGTCAACCTCTTCTGAAGTTCCAGAATGTTTTCGGAGCTGAGATCTGAGTACATTGGGCTCGGAGGCTCGTTGTTTGGAGAGGTTGACGCTCGGAATGGGCGACCAATCGAGCTTGGGCTGTGCAGCTCGACAGATGCTAGCGGAGTCTGCGGCTGGATGATTGGACTCGATAGCTKCTGTACGGCCGTGACGATGGAGTCTCTCCGAGACATCTGGTTCTTTGCTTCTGAAGATGCCCTATCAGTCTGCTTCAAGGAGCTTGAGCGACGCGATATCGGTGGTCTGCAGTTGGCAACGTAGTGATTGTTCTCCACTGTGCCAAATATCGGGGTTGGTCGCGCGCGCTTTCCTCTCTCCATCTTCATTCCGTCGCTGGATTCCTTCTCAAACTGCTTCACCGTCTCCTGATCATCGAGCCAGGTAAGGGTGTCGTCTTGTTCAACCATGCGGCTCAGATTGATTGAGTTGCGCTTCAGTCGCAGAGGCGAGAAAGCAGCCTGAGCTCTCTCGAAGATGTCTTCCATGCGGATCACGCTGGTTCGCTTCGTGGGCTCCAGTCGCGGAGGTGAGCTGCTGACAGGCGCGGTCATGTCTTCCGTTCGGGTAAATATCATCATCGACTCTGGGCGCTGGCGAATGTTGCTGGTGCAGTGGTATCTGCAGCTAGGGAGGCATGGCTTGTCGCGGCCGTTGCATGGATGCGGGTTTTCCGCGAGTCCGAAGCGGTGCATGTGCTCCAAAATGCTGGTTGCTATTCCCGACCTGATTCGCGGTGGATTCGCGCGGAGAGGGTGTGGGTGAGGAATCATTCCGGCTGGGTACGGTTCGACTATGATGTGGCCACCGCCCGCGGTCTGGTCGAGGCTGTCGAGAGGGTTTGGGTGTTTGGCGAAGGACATGTCGTAGCTGCGAACGTGAGTATCGGGTATGATGGTGTTGATGAGTAGGGACTTACAGAAAACCACCTGGGTAAGTGAGGTCCAGTATGTTTCCACCCGCTTCCAGCACCGTTTGCTTGCATTCTTCCATCGCCGCATTGAAGTCTTTTGAAGAATCCGTGTGGATTGAGCACTATTTCATCAGTTGTTGGGTGTTGAAAAGCCCGAAATGTCGCAAAACTTACGCTGTAGTTGATGGATTCCCTCTTTTTCTTCGCCAGCCAGTTCTGCAGCGGCGGCGGTGCTTGGTCCAGCGGCACAAGATCCATCTTCACGCCCGAAGGCACTCCTCCCTCATCCTCTCTCACGACGCTGATGTTCATCATCGAGGCTGGGCGCCTCTTTTGTCTGCTGCTGCTGCCGCCGAATGCCCCCGAGGCCCTCTGTTTCAACGCGCCCAAGGAAAAAAGCTTACCTGTGTGATTGTCGCTCTCCGGGGTCGCCATTTTGGTGGCGTTGTTGGTGCTGAAGAGAGAAAGAAGAGCGAGAAAGAAGGAAACTAGTGTGTGTGGTAGTGGGGTGGGGGTAACGGTAAGTGAATGAAGCTGACAGAACCCGCACTCCGAATCAGCGTCTCCTGTGGCGGCTTGAGATTGATACTGCTAATAGTAGCTGCATGAGCGTGGTCATTGCAGAGCGAACTTGGGAGACATGGTATTTTTCTGATCAGCATACTGGGGCGGCACCTGACTAGGAAGAGACATTCACCCTGTGAAGATGAGGCCTTCACGCAAAGTAGCGCGAGCTGCAGGCAGTCATTGACCATGTCGACCACCCGAAATGCCTCTCTCTGAGATCGCGACTTTTCATACTGCTAAGAGTAGCTGCATCAGCATGGAGATGGCATGGCTGGGTTGAAAACCATCGTATCTTCGTTCGGGTCTGCTGGGGCCATTTCTGACTAACAGGAGAGACYCAGGCTAGGCAAAGGAAGAGGAGACATCCACGTAGATTGACGGAAGCCATGGACATAAACTGATCATGTCCGCCGCTCCGCCTACGTCTTTCTTCAGCTACACACACCCCGTCCTCACTATGTCGAGTCTGATCAAGAGTAGGGAGAGTATCATGGCGCCATTCTCAGTGCAATTGCCCTCGACGACGTCCGATCGGTGACCCTCGGTCGGGAGAGTCCTGTGCCCAAAGAAAATCCTCTCGCCGCTACCACCTTAGGCCGCGGCCGCGGTAGTCTCTCATCTACCGGTCCTTGCCTGCTCCGCCCTTTCCCCCCTCTCCTAGTCGGAGCCCTGTCTAGAGGAGGATGAAAAATATAGCGCCAAGAGCATCCTACTTTCCACTTTAGAAAAGCAGTTTAGCAGGTGACCCTGATGGCTCCGCCCCTCCCCTCTATCTCAGTCTCCTATTCTCGACGCTTCTCCCTACTCCTTAGTGAAGCTTCCTGTGTACATTATGAACGCTTAGGCAAGAGACCGTGTACTAACGTGCCAACATTTTCAACTCCGGTCCCTTAGGTACAAGTAGTCGTTTCTAGAACGACCCTCACCCGATGAATTACAGTAGGTTAGAACATCCGTAGACGGCTCACTTTCGGAATGGGCCAAGCGAGGGAGGCTTAAGAAACTCGACAAGTCTCCATCTCTCTAAAGTGAGGTCTATACGAGGCTTAAAATACAACAACATATCTAAAAGCATCATCCGAGATGTCACGTACGTATCACAAGTTCCTACGCGATGCCAAACAGATGTGAACATCATAATAGACTGCCCTTCTTCTCAACTATACTCAGGGAAATTGATACTAGGGTAAGGGTTGGGGTAGCAGACATTAACTCTCCAAATGACTCCAGAAACTTTGAGTTATTGCTTCCCATGTTGCACTTCGATTTGTACTCTTTAAGATTGTCATCTTGGATGTATTGCTATCGTGATTCCAATGCTACATTTCTGCTCACTCATTCTCCGTTGCGAGGGATCAGGGGCTGCAAGATATAAGTAACAGGCGCCTTCGCACACAGCACCAACTGTTTGGACCAACATATTTTCTTCGCAATGTGTTAAGCTACTGTACTAATGGAGAGGTTTCCCACCGTATCCAAATGAAGTCTTGTTTCGAAGTATGTACATCAATGCTTTTCTCGTTGGTGCCCCTGAACCGAGCTGGCAAGCCACAACTGCCTCGCCCTTATGATGAAGTCGTTATGCTGTCGAGGATGAGTTCCTTTTTGAACGAAATCTTGCGTCGTCGTTGAGAATCGGCATGGTTGGGATACGTTCTGTGATCGTCTGTTCATCATGTCGGTAGAGAAGAGCTATGTATCTAAGACGAGTCTGCGTCACTTAGGCATTGGATCAACCAGCAAGAATCTCTTCCACGAGCCAAGGGAGACATCTACGGGAAAGAACTGAACAGTCAAGAAGTTTCGTACATACGGCTGCGAACTTTGGGCTATTCATTTGTCATGATTCAATTCAGAGACTTCGTCGAGCACTTCTAATCACTGCTTACAGCAGACCCGCTTTCACGGGTTCCATGCCTTCATTTCAATCCGAGACTTGCAGGTCTCTACAGCTTCCTCATGTCCACCACGCAGCGAATGCAGTCGCCTGCATGCATGTCATGGAAGGCATCGTTGATGCCGCTCAAGTTCTGGCGATGGGTGATGAACTCGTCGACCTTGAGCTTGCCACTCATGTAGTCATCGATGAGACCGCCCATCTGGCTACGACCCTTGACACCACCGAAAGCACATCCCTTCCAGACACGACCGGTAACGAGTTGGAATGCTAAAATTAGGTATCAGTATACATCCCAAGGTATCCAGTCATTGTGGGCAAACTCACGTCTCGTGGCGATCTCCTGGCCTGCAGCAGCAACACCAATGATGATGCTCTCTCCCCAGCCCTTGTGGCAAGCCTCGAGCGCGGAACGCATGACGTGGACGTTGCCCGTGCAGTCGAATGTGTAATCGCAGCCTCCGTCGGTCATCTCTGTCAGACGTGTCTGGATGTTCTCGCCTTCCTTCAGATCTTTCGATGGGTTGACAAAGTCTGTTGCACCGAACTTGCTTGCCCACTCCCTCTTCGAGTCGTTCACGTCGACAACGATGATCTTGCCTGCCTTCCTGCTGGCAGCACCCTGGATGACACTGAGACCAACACATCCTGCACCAAAGACAGCCACATTGTCGCCCGCCTGAACTCCGTCTCTTCCAGCAGTGATGGTTGCTGCGCCGTAACCAGTGGTGATACCACAGCCTAGCAAGCAAGTTCGGTCCATGGGTGCCTTGTCAGTGACGGCGACAACGGAAATGTCTGCAACGACGGTGTACTGGGAAAATGTGGAGCATCCCATGAAGTGCAGCAGGTCCTTGCCCTTGCACTTGAAGCGAGAGGTGCCATCAGGCATGACACCCTTACCCTGAGTGGCACGAATCTTTCCGCAAAGGTTGGTCTTTCCGGACTTGCAGAACTTGCACTCTTTGCATTCTGGTGTGCTGTGAGGGAAGTGAAGTCAGTATTGGTACTTGATATGATGGTTGTCCAGCCTCCCACGTGCGAAGTCGCACCGACCATCAAGGTCTCCCCAGATGGACGACCTCACTCATAGATTCATGTCTCACTTACTAAAGAGCAACAACAGTGTCGCCGACCTTCACATTCGTAACGCCCTCGCCAATGCTTTCCACAACGCCAGCACCTTCGTGGCCGGCGATGACCGGGAAAGCACCCTCGGGGTCCTTTCCACTCAGCATGTACGCATCGGTATGGCAGACACCAGTGTAGTGGACCTGTATCCGGACTTCGTGAGCACGAGGAGGGAGCACCTCAACATCCTCAATGCTCAGGTCTTTGCCAGCTTCCCAGGCAACGGCGGCCTTGCAGGTGATTGACTTGCCCTCGGTGGAAGACATTTTCAATGCTGTTGTAGTCGGTTCAAAGTGATGGGTGGTGTGATGGAGATTGGTGACCTTGATGGGCGAACAGTAGTTCAAATGGGTGAGGGTAAGCAGAGGAGGGGAAGGTGTGAAAAAACTTCGTTTTACTCCTCACGGTGATTATTGATGGATTGTTGTCTTCCCAGCTTCCCGATGACATGTTCCTGGTGGGGTGAGGGGCAGAGCGCTTTGGTACCCGCACATCCGCATTACAGCCGTGAAATGGTACTTATCACGGTGATAAGTACCATGGTGACTTGTCCATATTGAGCCTCCAAATCCGGCATGCTTGCAGATGCCCAGACATGGATTGTTTCTTGCTGCAATCGTGCTGGGTGGTAGCGTGGTCTGGACATTTTGACGGAAGCTCGACTCGCTATGACGCTTGGGTCCGAGATACGAAATTCGGGCGGATGAAAGTTGGGCGAAAGCTGGGGCGGGAGGCGGGAAGCACAGCTTTCTCTTACGGGGGGATGATGCACTCGTCAAGGTCCATTGCAAGGAATCCCTTACATACAAATGTCTACTGGATTCTTCTCGAACGCCGGCCGCTGCTGTCAAAATGTACAACTACATGCTGAGTCGATGTGCCCCTGCACACYGTTTATTAACGCAACAAGATGCAAGCAGGCCGCCTGCAAAGAGCAATCGCGGAAGCTCGATGCCACCACTGGCCCTCTACCAGGCAGTCTGTATATGTTGTGCGTCTTCAAGTCGTGTCTGCGCGCTTATGTGATCGTGATTTCTTGTCTTCGCGCGATGATTCTGTCGTCCGCCATAGCTTAGCATTGGCTGGCGTCTGCGCCTGCGCGAGAGTTCATGAGCAGAGCAACAATGAGACCGTAAAGACCTGGATTAAGTCAGTATTGGTATCGACCCGTGGCTTGCAATAGATATCAAAGCTTACCCAAGACTTCGGCGAAAATGAGAATCAAAATCATTCCGACGAACAACCGTGGCTGCTGTGCGGTACCACGGACACCAGCGTCACCGACAATGCCAATGGCAAAGCCGGCAGCGAGACCAGAAAGACCGACAGAGAGACCTGCGCCCAGCTGGATGAATCCCGTGAAGAGCGAGGTCTGCTGTTGCAGGTTGTTGGAGATCAAGACTGATACGACCAGGCCGTAAATGGCAATGATACCAGCCATAATGACGGGAATGATGTCTGCGGTGTGGTTAGATGCCCGCTCTGCCATTCGTTCGACCAGAGCATGCAAAGCGCAGCTCGGGACGCATCGCCGGGAAGTGTCACATACTCTTCACGATCAAGTCGGGCCTGAGGACACCCATGGAGGAGATACCAACACCAGCCTTTGCGGTTCCGTATGCGGCACCGAAGCAGGTAAAGACGATGGCGCTGGTGCAACCCATCGCGCCGAAGAAGGGCTAGTTTCGCTGTCAGCGTTGTGTTCCTTCTAGCATCTCCATGGTTCCTGTGCCATGCCCCTGATAAAGCACGTCTTCCWAGTCTGTGTTCTCGATGGAGGGCTATGGCTCTGTTACGACGGCGGATGGGGGAGTGGCAAGGCAGGAGATGGAGATCCTCGAGGACGGATTTGATGGCACTTACGGCATACACGGGACTGCGGAAAGAGAGCTGTTAGCTGAGATGGCTCATTGTATGTAGGAAGGCGTTGTCGTCGCCAGCGGAGATGCCGAAGGGCGGCTTTGCTACACGTAGAGGGAGCTCCACGTTGGATCTCCCTCTTCGCGGCGGAGCGGCGGCGGCGTATCGATGGGGCTTACCAAAGATCAGTGGCCATCTCGACGGTGCTGTGTGGGGTTTGATGGGTTTGAAGGGTTCCTTTGGATGGTGCTGTTGGCGAGGGAGGATGTAGTTGATGCTGTTGGATGACGGGCGCCCTGTTCTGCTCTCAATCGGAGGTCGTTGCGGATGGTCCGCGCGCTAGAATGGTCTTGGCCTGAGGCCGCAACCCTAAAAAAAAATCCGTGGACTTCACTTGGATTTTAACCTCAGCTTCCTCCTCCGCTTCCCTCTTGCAACCACAACACGGCCGTGATCCCACAACGTCAACACCGGTGAGCCGAATAATCGCACCATCCATACCATCTCATTCAAAAATCCGAAATGGCCGATCAATCCGCAGCCTGGCCTGTGGCAGATGCCGCGCTCTCCCAGGAAATCCTCGACTTGGTCCAGTACGTTTAAATCCTGATGGCTTCTATGCTCCTAGCCAAAATCTCTGCGCCGCGACAGGTTCTGACATTTGCACTCCTTAGGCAAGCCAGCCACTTCCGTCAGCTTAAGAAGGTAAGATCATGAAATCATAAGTCTATCTAAACGCGGATTCCTAACCAAAAGCATAGGGTGCCAACGAGGCAACCAAGACCTTGAACCGTGGAATCTCGGAGATTGTGATCCTTGCCGCCGACACCACCCCACTCGCCATCCTGCTGCACTTGCCATTGCTTTGCGAGGTAAGTCCCCGAAGTCAGAAGAGAACCTAGCTGTAGTATACTAATTGATTGCGATTAGGACAAGAACACCCCATACGTATGTACACCTCAAGATGTCCACTACAGACATCCACTAATGCATTTTTTCCAGGTCTACGTCCCCTCCAAGATGGCTCTCGGTCGTGCCTGCGGCGTTTCGCGCGCCGTAATCAGCTGCTCCATCACCACGAACGAAGCCTCCGATTTGATGGGCCAAATTCGCGCGCTGAAGGACAAGGTTGAACGTCTCATGATCTAGATGATGCTTTGCGGAAACGCCGGCATTTTGGGAATCAAAAGGCAGAGGAGGACTTTGGGAATTGAAGCAGACAAAAGGCCAATCGTGGCGTGGATACTCGCGCGAGGTTGGGGGACATGTGAAGGGCAAACTTCCGCAGTCGAGAGAAGACTTTGCGCCATGTCTGTAGGATAAGATACCCATGAATGCAAGGAGAATCCATGCCAAAATTCGTCTTCTCAACCAGAAGTCTCTAATTGATGGGTCGACCTAGATCCTTCCCTTTTGCAAAGTCGTCTCGGAACTGTATCAGAAATGAAGCAGGGCCGCAACTACAAGCTCTAGAACGCACCACAAGCTAGCTTTGAAAGCGCTGCATCCGTTTCAACTGTTGATTCGTACATTCATTCGATCAATTACGAGATAGAATCCGTTCTGCAGTCAACCATCTCCCCGCCGGACCCATCAATCAATCTCTCCAAAGCTTCAACCGCAATTCCTCCCCAGCCCAGCCCAGCAAAACCACGCAAATATTCGCTTCAAGCCTCACAAATCACAACCAAAACATGACATCATCCATGTCAGAATGCCACGGGTTATCCCTACCCTCCGCAATCCAATTAGTATCATCCACAATATAATCCCGAATGCGTTCGCGAAAATCATCCAGAGATTCGCCAACATAAGGCTCCAAACACGGCCGCTCAACACCCAAGTAGCTTTTCAAGTACTGATGCACTCGATCACACAACTGATCAGCATAGTACGCTGGAGTGCAATAAGGTACAGCTTCCGTAGCAGCAGCGTAATTGTAGCAGAAAGCATGGGTGAGGAGTTCCAATTGTTTCAGAGTGAATTTGCTGCTCTCCGGATCATTCTGAAGGATCATGTAGTGGGTGGGTCGAGCGGTACCACCGGCCATGGGAGCGACGTGGGATTGCAAGAAGAAATCTTGGAGATTGCTGATTGAGGGTTGCGTGATGATTGAGTCGACTAGAAGTCCTGGTTGGACAGGACCGTTCAAGTTTTGATCTCCTGGTGGTTGAGAGTCGTGGCCGGTGAAATCTTCGAAGGTCGTGGAGTCGTTGGGCGCGAAGAAGCTGGTGTGGTGTTGAGTGCTCACCATGATCGCTGTGATGGAGACTTCATCAAATCCTTTCGTCTCAGCGATGATAGCTTCCTGAATCGCAGTGATTTCATTTTCCTTGACAAGGTGGTATTCATCCTCTTCAACACCATCGCGATAGTAGATGATACGTTGGAGTTTATCCTTTGGATGAGCTGTACTCCAGTTCACGATGGACTTCCCCACCAGTTCTCGTGCAACTTCTCGATCCAGGACTCTTTGTTCAGCACGCTGGAGGCGAACTTGGCCGGTAAATGTGGCAAAGTCTGCGTCCGTACTGCCGACCATGGCAACAATGGATGGTGTGTCGTTTCCTGGATGAACGACATCGACACCAATGACGAGAGTGTTTGACGCCAACGCAGCAAATGCCGATACGTCTGAATCCATGACCGTATGGTTCTGACTTTTCGGTGCCTTCAAGTTTTGTCTCAAGACCATTTTGTCGTATGGATGGAACTTGAATCCTTCCGATTCCAGTTCTTCGCAGCAAATCGTCGGTGCCTCGCAGCATATGGTGTGCATACCCAATTTCGTATCTCCAATGCGTTTGATTGCTGCGTACGCAGCTGCGTCAACATCTGGCAGGAGGACGACCAGAAATGTTGCACTTGAAGTCTCCTGTGCCGTCTCCAGGATCTGCTGCTTCTCCTTTACCGTCTCCATGATCTGCTGCTTCTCCTGTAACGTCTCCACGATCTGCTTCATCTTCTCCTGTACCGTCTCCATGATCTGCTGCATCTCACGAAAGTACTCTGCCTTGTCCAAAGTCTCAGGCAAAGTAGCGTGTGTGGACATGACATTCTCCGCCTCATCAGGCGAAATCTTCCAACCAGGAGCGAACAGACCATGAGACTCGCAGCATTCCATCCACAGCTGTGCGAAATTTCCAGGTGAAGGCTTCGAATCCGCCAGACGAAAATCCAGAACACAGAGCTTGCTGTTGATTTTCACTGCCGGACTGGTAAAATTGACAAAGGGTTCACCACCTATGTCCCAGCTGGCATTATTCTCGGTTGGCTTTTGGATACCGTTTCGGTATTGAATGGTGGGAGCTGCAAGAATGGTTGCGGGAATCTGGAGAAGCGCTTTCCCGGAGCCTGAGAACAGCTTGCGACTCAGATCATTGTTGAGACTGCCATGTTCAAGCAAAGCGAGTCCTTCTTCCTGAATCGCAGCTTGATTCATCGCTGGGTGCTGATCGGCAATCTTTGACATGGCTTTCATGTGATCGACGCCAAGCGGCCTATCAAAGATCTGGTTGGGCATGAGCTCGACAAGCTCAGCTGGAAGCCAGAGGGAGTTGGAGGTAGAACCGACGTTGAGACAAACATGATGCAGTTCGTTGATTACGATGCCTTGGCTTTCGAACCACTCCTTCACTGTCCACATCTTGCCTCCGCTCTCGAATTGTTGAATCTGTGGCACTTCGCCTGTTTCCAGAACGATCTTGATTCGATTTGCTTCGGCGTTCCTGTCAATGCCATCTTCCAGAGTTGGTCGCTCGTACATGATGCGTACCGCCCGACCCACAAGCAGATCGGAGGCATCTCCATAGTGCTGGAAATATTCGTCCATGTCGTCCAGGAAGTGAGACACAACCATTGGCTTGAGAAAAGTCCCATGAATGATGTCGATGTTCAGGAGAATGTTGTGTGTTCCAGGTCTGATGGATGTGTAGTAGCCGCGCTGAACCTGAAGCGCCTCAGGCAGCGTCTCATCATTTTCCACAGAGTCTGACAGAGGACCCTTTGATTCGATGAAGAATTGATTTGAGCCGGATGGGAACAGGGTGTCGGGGGCCTGGCTCGTGATGGAGTGAATGATCAAATTGTTCACAGCTCTGGTCAGTCCAACTGGGTTGTAATACTTCGTGTCTGCGCCTGCGAATTCAGGAGAGCCACGAGATAGATTCACGTGGTGAATGAGTTTGAACACCACCCTTGGAACAACGACTGGCTGTCCGATCTCATTGTGATATGTGACGTTGTGGAAGGTGAGGGGAGGCGGGAGAGCAGATTCAATCCAGAGCGTTTCATAATCTGTGGTGAAGTCGTCCCGTCCTTGAAGCGGCTGCAGCTTGCAAAGCGCCTCAAACACACGCTTTCGCTCTGGTTGTTGTGGTATGGACGCAGAAGGGCATGTTCGGGCCGATGGATCGGAAGGTAGATCATCCATCACCATGGTGTAGACAGAGACGCGGTTCATCTTGGGCTGCAATGTAATGTGATTGGTGACGACCATAGTCTCATGAGTGTCGGGAGTGATGAGTGACGTATCAATCGCACCTTGGTAGCTTGCAAAAGGGGCGAGGGGCCGATCTTGGTGAGGCCTCTGGAGTGACATGTTGATGGCTTCGATTTTGATTGATTCTGGCGCATTCATAGACTTGGCACAAGGTGAATATCCATGAATGAATGCTTTCTGGACTGCTCCTAGGCCTTCTTGAGTGTGTGGATGCAGCCAGGTGCGTTCGGAGGATTCGCAGTTTTTGACCACGCAACCCTGGTTGCATTTAGAACACGAATGTTTCTCGCCACAGTTGCTGCAGTAGACAGTCCCATCCTCTCTGTCAACGTATGGACAGTCGCTATGCTTGTGGCCGAGACGGTAGCATGTGCCGCAAGCGTCGCACGACTCTTCGTTGTGGCCGGGTAAATGGCAACGCAAGCAGTCCGGAATCGACTCATGCGAAGTGGGAGGTGCTTGATCTTCTGACGACGACATGATTTCTGAAAGAGCACCTCAACCGATGAAGCTTGTGATGGATGAACAGACGAAGCTGTCTTGCGTGGCGGAGCTTAGTACAAGACCTCCCGGCTGAACAAAGCGGAAGGCAGCAAACAATATCCGGTCTCAAGCACTGCAGGAACAGTTAGCTGATTACCAGAAGCTTTCTGACATAGCTGGAAGTCGATAGAGCTCACCAGTGAGACACACGCATAAGTGTGTTTGCACTTGCCCATGTACCCTTCCTACAGCAACCATCATGACAATATTGCACCTGAAACGTGATTGTATCGCATTCGTAGCTCGGATATTTTTGGTCGTTATTATGGTCGTCTATGGATCTATGTTGTGAAGTTTAGTACAGCAAGCTATCCATCTAAGCGGAAGCAGTTCCATAAGGAACGGGTGCCGCGGTAAGATCAATATAGCCATAGTTGTTCATCTCGCTGTCCTTGGCCATCTTCTCGCCCCACGCACCCATGTCCTTCATGAATGCGTCGACGTTGGCCTCTATGGAGAGATCAATCGGCTCCTGGTCCTGGCCAACTTGACGGATCTGAGTTCCAGCGGCTACGTTTGTCAACCCGAAGTTTTCTCTGTCGATCTTCTGCTCAATCGCGCCCTTGACCTTGCCTTCAAGGATGTCTTTGCAGAGATGTGGCTCTTGGCATACAGGTCGGGCGAGTCCGACGCCATCCACTGTATCGAGTGCCGAAACCATTGCGCCAACGGTCTGGTTGGAAATGTCAGCAATCTTCTATTAAGATAAGACAGTCTCAACGTACCTTGAAGCCTCCAGTGACATAGGTCTTCGTCTTTGTAAGACCCGGCACAATGGTCTCAGCGAACTCAAGGAAGAAAGACTCTCTCTTCTTGGTGCTTTCACGCTGGTGCGAAAATGCAAGCTTCTCATAAGTACCACCACTGAGCTCGACAAAGTCGAGCTTGTTCTGCTCAAGCATGGCGCAGAGCTTCTGGGCTTCTTCAGGGTTGAAGCCCTTGTCCTGAAACTCTACAGAGTTGAGCTTGATGCCAACAACGAAGTCGGGCTTCGTTCGCTTCCGGATCTCTTGGGCAATCTCCAAGATCAAGCGAGCCCTGTTCTCAAGCGAACCACCGTACTTGTCCGTTCTTTGGTTGGTTGTGGGGGAAAGGAATTGCGCAAGAAGGTAACCGTGAGCTCCGTGGAGTTGCTGCAGGAAGCATGCATGTTAGAGATCGACAACAAAAAGAGCCCTGAAATTGACTTACGATACCATCCCACCCAGCCTTCTCCAGATACTCCGCAGCGTGTGCCCAGCCCTCGACAAAACCTTTCAGCTCCTCGTCGGAGGCAGCATGTGGCTTGGCGAAGGTCATGCCCATCACCTCGCCTTTAAGCTGAACGTCCGAGGCAGAGACAGGGTTCTTCTGGATGCGTGATTCCACCTGTCGACCAGGGTGAGAGACCTGACCAACCATCAACGCCCCGTGAGCTTTTCCTTGCGAAGCCATCTCCTTGAATCGATCGAAGCGCTCTCCCTCGAAGGGTGCCGTTTTAGGAATTATAGGGTTGCCAGCCGCCTCAAGATGGTCATATTCAAACCTGTGCGTTGTGATCAGTCATGCAACATAGTGTCCACTGCACGTGAGAGTTGGACATACATGATGTTTCCACTAAGAATCAGGCCTAGACCACCCTCTCCCCAGCGCTTGTAGACATTGACCAAGTTCTTTGAAGGAATACCTCGAGCCTCCAGGTTCTTTGGGTCCCACGAAGAGATGCGCTCAGTCATTGCTCCCTTGAGGAAGCGGTTTGGTGCCGATTTGTTGCTGAAAGCGAACTGGAGGGGCTTTCCCAGAGGGGAAGCATCGACATTGTCGGATTCGAAGCGTGCTGAAGGGGCCATGATGAGAATGATTTAGCTTTGCGAGGGAAGAAGAGAGGATGAGCTTGAGGAAGAGAAGTGAACAAACCAGACTATTAGTAGAACATTGGTGCTTTTCAATGGCAATTAATTGCACTAAGGAAGGTACCTACGTCTGCTTAGAAATGTTCCTGAGAATCGGACAGGATGAGACGTCACTGTCGATCACCCCACAGCGTCACGGCCGGCAGTCGAGGCGTCACGCTCGGAGATCGCTCGCCTTTTGGTCATGACATGGCCCCAGGATGCCACTGCGGCAGCATTGTTAAGCATTTCCCACTAAACAAAGGTCGGGAATGATGAAGCGCGGCGTTCTAGGATGTGGAGTGGGTGATCAGTCTTCCGGAAGCACGAGGTGGTGTTGATCAATGACTTCAATCACAGATGAAAAGAACCACGGGCGTGTCTTGTGCTGCTGACAGGGGAATGATTATGTAAACGATCTCGACTTTGATCAAGCAATGCCACGTCGGCAAAAGTCAACAAGACATCGACTTTGGTCGATTCTGGTTCCTTCCACAACGAAGTAAGGTACAGCCCCAAAACTTCCAGGTTCGCAGCACCCTCACCAATCGCAGGCCTCGGCAAGAATTTCTGCCAGTGCCTCCAGTTTCAATTGATCTTCCTCGTCAAATCCGTTCTCCACAGCACAATCAATATCGATAATAGCCACCGTCTGACAGTCCACATTATTAGCAACGGCAATTTTTCAACAACAACGCTTTCGTAAATCTCACCCTTCCTCCTTTCACAATGGGCACCACAATCTCGCTCTTCGAATCGCCATCGCAAGCAATGTGTCCCGGAAACTTGTCAACATCAGGGACAAGGACAGTTTTCTTGCTCGCCGCTGCTGCGCCGCACACTCCCTTTCCGAATTTAATAAGTTGGCAGGCAACCTGAAGTATTATTGATAAGCATGCCTGGTTAAAACGACTTTTCGAAGATGTAAGGGGATGGATACCTTTCCTTGAAACGGCCCTAGTATCAACTGGCTTTCAACCTGTGAATCGGCAATGTAGAATCCTGCCCAGTTCACATGGTTGCTTGGTGCCGAAAGAGCATGATAGGCATGCCACAACAGAGAGGCTGCATTGGCAGTATTGCTGAGTTATACGATCAATAATTCGTCTTGCCAATGAATGGATCATGATCATAACTTGCCACACCTATTATTGCCGTCAGTCAGTTACTTTGCTCGATAGTGATGTGATTCGCGTGAAATGTCAAAGCCTAACTTACCCAATTCCGCTGGCCGTCGAAAAGTGCCTTTGCTTGGTCCAAAACTTGCTGATAGGCCTCCGTTTTGGTGACACTGTCCTTGAAATTCGCAGAATCGGCATGCACCTTGTAGAAAGAAATCAGACGTGTTCTTTGAAAGAGTCAAAAAAAGAGACGGGATGCAACAATTCACCATCTTGCCAGCCGTGTCGTGTTTCTCACAATTATTCGCACATAGAGGAAATCGCGAATTGCTTATGATGCATTGGATTGAAGAACCTTGCGAACTGGACTCGACTCGGCTTACGAGCCGAAGGGCGGGATCGACACGGACATGTCTCCGGTCAGCACATGTTTTACCGAGACGGCCGACAATCACCATCAGGCTGAGACTAAGTAATATATCGACAATACCTTTCGTCATATTTAAATGGCTCTCAAACAATGCTGTGCCACGGGCTCGCTGCATACAGGAATTCCAACTGGTCGTATTGAGAAGGTCCACGGCCTCGATTGCTACATCTCGGATGCACCCACTGGCTCTCCAAAAGGCATCATCGTGATTATTGCAGATATATTTGGCTGGAMGCTGCCAAACGTTAGAATCCTCGCCGACAATTACGCGAAGCAAGCCCACGTACAAGTGTATGTGCCTGAATTTATGGTAGGTAATAGGTATTCGTAGATACATCTCCAACGTAGATGAAGACTGCTGACATCAACCCTTTTCTCGTGTAGAACGGTTTGTAACTCTTTCAGAAAGYCTTCCTACAGACGGCTAATGCGAAAGGATTAGGAACCGCACTGCCCAGCGAATCGTTGATTTCCTTGAAAGCTCTGAGCGCTTCGGGCTTTTGGAATCAGGTCTGGAAGATTGGACATGCTCTTTACGTTGCTCGTATTGCCACACCATTTCTGTATTATTGCCGAGCATCAGTGGCAGGACCTAAGATATACAACTGGCTCAAGGCGCTGAAAAAGAATGAGGCCAAGGACTTGCCAATCGGCACAGCAGGGTGCGTTTAATTCGGGATCCTTCAAGCTTCTGAAACATCCCCTAATCGCTGATCGTAGGTTCTGCTGGGGTGGCCTCTGGGTCACGAAGATCTGCAGTAATGAAGTGAAGGCGGATGATGGATCGCAACTGACGGTCTGCGGCTACGTTGCCCACCCTTCAATGCTCACGTATCCGAACGACATTGAAAAGATCGTTATTCCATACTCGTGTGCGGCTTCAGAGATCGACATGGCAATGTCAGCAGAACAGGCGAAGCAGACCGRGGAGATCCTGAAAGCAAAAACAGCCAAGACCAAAGATGATGGTGTCGAGCATGAGTTCGTCATGTATCAGGGAGTCCATCACGGCTTCGCAGTGAGTTGAAGCCAATGTCTGATATCTCCTCTCACTAACACTCAGTAGGTCAGAGCGGATGAAGATGATAAGCACGAGGCGGAGGCCGGTAAAAAGGCTGAGGCGCAGGCCGTTGCTTGGTTCACTCAATGGTTTGCCAAGTCGAAATGAGTGCTGTAATGGGTACGCTGGAGTTTTGCTTGGCTGAGACGTCGGCTTGGTGGCTGCTGATAATCGTGGTCTTTTCGGCGAAGAAACGTGAAATCTTGCTCTCGTAGTGTTCAGCCCCCTTTCCATCTTCGTTGCTGTGAAATGGCACAACACTCATCTCGCTCGCAAGAACTCTGCTTCGCCTCTGCTTCGCACCCTGGTCTAACCAAGAGACAACGAGAGGGATCCCTTGCCACTAGGTGCAGGCAAGTGTAAGGTAGTCGCGCGGCCAGGACAGAAAGATCGAGTGGTATGTATGTTCAGTGGCATCATTTCGTTCTCCACACGATCCGCCGGCCTTTTGTGACGTTTAGGGACATGGGTTTCTTTCGAGTTGCACTGGCTCATGTCTCACTCCCGTCCAATCGTATCGCTTTAAGTGCTGCTAGCAGAGAAATATAACTCTCTGCGGTCGCGGTATCTTGCGAAACCCCCGAGAGTGTTTCAGATCTACCAAGCATCTTCAGAAGATGCTGTGCATTACTCTCTGCATATGATGGCATCCGGACTGTCGTAATCCACTTCCAACCAGCGTCCGCAGTCCACTTTCCGCCTCGAGAAGATCGAATGATCGATACGGCCAATAACCCCTGAGGAATCTGTCTGATCCAGAAGCTGAACTTTCTAACCAGAGAAAGATGGTCCCGATTGCATCGCAGCCACAAAACAGAATCGTTGACTTTGGGTCCTTCTACCGTGTGAAGTACGAAACTTGAAGTCTCGTAGTATGCTGGAAGCGCTTCTGCGCGGACTTGCTGACTGACACGAGTGATTGCTGGCTGACATGCCAGTTGAAAGTATTGCTCCTGTACTCGGTCCAATTTGTATGTCATCAGTTCTTCGGAGGCAGCGGTGAATTCCTTGACTCCCAGTCAGCAGAAGTACGAAGTGATCTAGTATCAAGGTAGATGTTCGTTGTACCCAAATGAGTAACCTTATTTCAGCGGGAAGGAACTGGAACACGCCCAAGTTCGCCATGATACTCGAGATCAGTACGGTCAGATCTAATAGAATATTGATGTTGCTAGAGTTCTCGTTGAATTTTGTATCACCGTGGAAAGAGGAAAGAAGGTGAGATTTTATGAAAATGGTCACGCTGTAAACAAGAAGGAGCGACTTCGGCACGGATAACAAAAATATCCGCTAAGTTAAGGTAGGTACGGAGTGAAGAAAGCAGRCCTTCCTGGAACAAGCCACAGCTCGATCCATTGAACGAACCCAGACTCTCACTTCATCGCTTTACCGTCCGGGATCATTGGATCACTTGGAAAGTAGCATCCGTCGTTCACTATTTGCGTCCGTCGCGAGCACCCGAAAGACATCCAGACCTTTGCTTGAGACCTGGGAAGTTGGCCTCCAACCTGGCCGTGACCCTTGAGCCTCTCATCTCCTTCTCAAGCCGACTGGGAGACGCTCATTTAACACCTTCATCATTATTCCTGGAAGATGCCGTCGACGGACATTGCCTCGTTCGCCGAGAAGCAGCTGAAGCTGCTCGACACGGAACTCCAAGCAGAACTCGAAGAGACTGCGCTTTTGACTTCGACGCATGCGCCTGTAAAGCTCGAGCGCGCGGGTCTGGCTGTGCTCAACCTGATAGTATCATCTCAGCGGACAGGCTTCGGGGGAAAGACGCTTCTCGAGCTCGAGCTAGACTCTGCTGTAGCCTCAGACGCAGGCGAACTCCCCGAGCATGGCCTCCGCGTAGGTGACATCTGCGCGGTCGCCGAGCAGCCCAAGGGCGCAGAGAGGAAGAAAGAGCGCGAAGGCATGGAAAAGAGAGGTGCCGAGGGRGTCGTCACGCGTGTCAGCAAGGCCGCGATAACCGTAGCATTGGACAAGGAAGATGTAGATGTCCCCAACGGCAAGCTGTGGCTGTACGTAGAAGTCCACGAACGGTAAGTCGATTTCACTTGGCTGATACAATGCGCGCAGCGTGAAGCTCGCCAGCGAGGTAACGTACAAACGCTTGAACCAAACCATGGGACGACTCCAGAAATTGCAGCCCTCGGAGCACAGCACGCTCACACAAGTTCTCTTTGGTCAATCATCACCCACCCCTATTTCCGATTCTGATCTGAAAGCGGATCTTGCGTGGTGTGATCCGACATTGAACGACAGCCAGAAGGATGCAATTCAATTTGCACTTGCCAGTCGTGAGGTAGCTCTACTACACGGCCCTCCTGGGACCGGTAAGACGCATACTCTGATTGAGCTCATTCTGCAGATGTTGAAGCTCAAACTGCGATTGCTTGTTTGTGGTCCAAGCAACATTAGTGTAGACAACATTGTAGAGCGTCTTGCGCCTCACAAGGTCAACATGGTTCGTCTGGGACATCCTGCCCGACTCCTTCCTAGCGTGCTCAGCCACAGTATGGAGGTTCTGTGTCGAACCAGCGACGCTGCTTCCATCGTGACAGACGTACGCAACGAGATGGACGCCAAGTAAGTCGGACCGCCGTACGTTGCAATTTCCAATTTCCATCAGATGAAGAGGACGAACAGCTACATTTCAGCTGCAAGCAACCAGAAGCACGCTAACCAGGAGACGTCAGACAAGCATCAATCCGCAAAACAAGGAATGGACGTGAGCGAAGAGTCATCTACGGTGAGCTGAAAGACCTTCGCAAAGAGTACCGACAGCGCGAAGGTCGTGTTGTAGGCGATCTGCTCCGTGGGAGCGAGGTTGTTCTGGCAACTCTGCATGGTTCCGGAGGATATCAAACGAAGAATCAAGAGTTTGACGTGGTCATAGTGGACGAAGCCAGTCAAGTAAGTTCCGCATGGTGAATGTTGCTCTGGGACAAGACTCCCCACAACCCAGCGGGATGCGGGAATGCACCGTCACTAGACAGCAGGGCTGGGATAAGCTGACAATCTGCCCTAGGCGCTCGAAGCACAATGCTGGATTCCTGTATTGAGCAGCGGTGCCTCCAAGCTCGTACTCGCTGGCGATCATCTGCAGCTACCGCCCACCATCAAGTCTCTCAACAGCAAGACCGCAAAAAAGGCTCCTACGAAAGTCGATCTGCCCAAGGACGGCGTCGCGTCGTTGAGTCTTGATGATAAGAAGATGCCAAAAGAGGCTGCGCTCTCGCTCGAGACGACTCTGTTTGATCGTCTGCTGTCTCTCCATGGGGACAAGCTCAAACGAATGCTAACAACCCAGTATCGCATGCACGAAACGATCATGCAATTTCCATCTCAAGCATTGTACGACGATAAGCTGGTAGCAGCAGATGCAGTCAAATTGAGACTGCTGAAGGATCTGCCTTACCCTGTCMAAGACACGGATGACACGAGGGAACCACTCGTCTTCTGGGACACTCAAGGGGGTGACTTTGGCGAGAAACTGGAAGAAGATGATGGCTCTGTCAAAGGAAAGTCGAGTCTTCTTGCCGAAAGCAAGGTCAACGAACTCGAGGCTTTGATTGTACGGGAGCATGTAGGGAGCCTGATTGATGCGGGAGTCAAGGCTGAGGATATTGCCATTATTACACCATACAATGGCCAAGTCGCTCTGCTATCGCAGATGCTGAAGGAGCGGTTTCCCGGAATCGAACTAGGGAGCGTGGATGGCTTCCAAGGCCGTGAAAAGGAGGCCGTGGTTGTCAGTCTGGTCCGCAGCAACCCGGAGCGGGAGGTTGGCTTCTTGGGAGAGAAGAGAAGATTGAATGGTATGACTCCCGGACCGATTCTCCCACCCATCTTACTTACACTGATCTCTTGTAGTGGCAATGACCCGCCCAAAGCGGCATCTCTGTGTCATTGCTGATTCAGAGACCATCAGCAAGTAAGTGTACGATCGTAATGCGAGCCAACAACGATACTGATCGATTTCAAATCAGAGGCTCCACATTCCTCAAGCAGTGGATGACATTTCTGGAAGAGAACGCYGACCTTCGATACCCTAATCTAGCCGAACTTTCGCATGGAGACTGACTAAGGTAGAGTGGATGAACGTAGTGTGGCGTTAGAGCTCGCATTGGAGGTTGCAATAAATCTATTTGGCATGACCAGGTGACGTCTAATATTCCAGCGACGCGTTACGCGAGAAGAGTTGTCGACGATTGGAGCTTAGATCTGCAGGACCATGACTCTGCTGCATGTATTGCATGGACTTTGTGCGTGTTAGGTTCTGCCGACACGTTAGAGCGTGAAGATGGTCGGTCTTATTATGCAAGGGCAGAAGCGAGGTGGTTGTGCAGTGATGCAGATGGGCGTGGGATGTTGCATTCAAATCTGCATCGCATCGTACAGTACGTTCATGGTCACCGTAGGGCATCTTGGCTCTTGTCGTGGCGTCGATAAGGTATCCGTCGTGGCACATGGCCACCCGCTTGCACGCACGAGGATTGACCGTTTTCAAGACTCTCAAACCTTCCAAGTACAGTACAGTACAAGTGTACAGTACATCAATACTCAGGAGGTGATCTTTTCCACACGCTTTGGAGTGTACCTCCTGAGGAGTCGCATGTATATAGGCAGACGCAAGCATGCGGGRTGATCCCTGAGTACCACTCCAGGACGGTGGGGATATCATCCCACGACATGCGCGCGCGCGCGCACTCCATCTCCACACCACATATCATAGCAGAAGGCTCGCTATCGAAGTCGGCGCTGCACCGCGAAATTACAGCCTGCAGAGACTAGCAATATCGGCTGGATTGGGGAGGGGATTTGCAGTGGAAGGCAGGAAGCCAGGAAGCCACGTCGCGTGCAGCGCTGGTCCATTTGAAACGAGTCGCGCGGGACGAAGATGCCGACGATGAGTGGCCGCGGAGGAAGGCGGTCTGGGCGGTGTGTCTCGACTTGTCGGACGCCAACGCTGCTGCGTGCAGAGGTACATGCAGGTACAAACGGCCGGCGCAGTGATCGACGCGAGGACCCAGTCGGATAGCGTTTGATCCCCTCCGGCACGACTGCAACAGCCACACCACTTTGCCCCATAAACCCCTCTGGTTTGGCTCTGGCTTGCTATATCCACCTGGCCAGAGGGCGATAGAGCCGCCTTTCCCTCGCTCCCTCCCTGCATCACATCTCACAGTCCCTTCCTATCTCCCTGACCTAGCTTCCTTCAAGTCCCTCGACCCGGGACTCGTTGACTCGTCGTTGCATCTTCGCTGCTCGCTCGCTCACAGTCTTTACCCTCATCGTTTGGCGTGCCGTATCGTGTGGTGTTTCGAGATACCGCCCCAGCCTGGATGGACCTGGCGCCCGAACACAGGCTATGGACGGCCGCGCGAGCCACGGCACTCGTTCATCAGCTGCGACTTCCCAGCGCAACCACAACCACAACCATAAGCAGCGGGCCAATGTCTCCATCCGTCGTGTGAATCACGGCCCAACCTTGTCCGCCGCCGGGGAGAGCTTCACAACCATGCGTGGGAGCGGAGATGGAGACGAGCATGGAGGTGGAGGAGGAGCAAAGAGCAGACGAGGCTCCCTCCGCAATGCCGTCAGAAAGATCTTTGGAAGGTCATCGAAGGAGAATAATGGAGTTCCGAACAGCCCACGGATATCCACGCCCGTGGTTCCTCCGATCACCAGACATTCACACCACAGGAGCGAGCCAGCTGCCTCTTTCCCAAGTCAGCCCCTCGTACCAGACATCCCCCTGCCATTTCTGCGGGATGAGATTATTACCCCCCAGACAGTCACTACCAGCCATATCAGAGCCAAGACCAGCTCYCCCTATGCCGTGTCGTTCCCCAAGAGCGTAATGTTGAAGCCAATGGACCTGGGCAATCCCTTCGTCCCTCACACTCAGATGAAGCGACGGAAGACCATGCCCAATAGCGGTGCTGCGTTGCGTGATGCAGCAGATGCAGCCGCCGCTGCCGCCGCCGTGCCCGTACCTGTGCCAGTGCCAACCGCCCAACCGGACAGTGTCCCGGAAACCCGTCAGGAGCGGCAGACCAGGCGTGCGTTGAGTCAGATTAAAAACGCCAGGAGAAAGTCACGAAGTACAGATGATCTTGTTGGCTGCGGAGTTGAGGTATCCTCTCCCAGGCAATTGAACAACGAGATGCGACAGTGGCGTGAGAGCTTCCAGCCAGATGTCTTCCGTGCCAGTGGCTTCACCACCAGAGCTGCTAGTCAGCATGATGATGCGACTCCAAGGCAGGAAGTCACCGAAGGTGATGAACATGGCAACACACCAATCGCATCCGCCACGGATACGYTTGAGTCAGCTAGAGGCTCGCTCAGCTCACGAAGTAGCCCCAAACCCGTTCCGGATCTTCCTGACGACAAGGAGCCTCTCCGCCCGGCATCTCCATTGGAACTGTCTCAAGATCTAGAGCAACGCGTGATGCGACTCGAGGCCGGATTGAACAGCTTCCAGCGATCACTGGAGCGTCTAACCGCTGATAGGAATCGGCGCACCATCGTTTTGCGGTCAGACATGGCAACCACGAGGTCCTCCAATGACATGCGCACTCCAAGCATGCTGGCAGATACCCTTGTTGGCTCCCTCTGGCCCTCGACATATGAATACGAGTACGGCAGAACTTTGCGACCTTCAACATCACTCTCCCCACCTCCTCTCATCCACTCCCGCCAGCAATTCGTGACGGATCATGACCCCGACGAGCCCCTGACACCGAGATCTGACAGCTACACCGACTCGGTGCGCTTCCCGACCCCTCCCCATTCCCGGTCTCCTGCTGGTCATGCGTTCCAACCGGTACCGGCATCCATGCCCCCTTCGATCGCTGATAGTTCTCATCAACAAAATACCTTCCACTCCGTCTACCAAATGCTCTCCGAGGAGCGAAGCGCACGACAGAAGTTGGAGCGACATCTCCATCGCCTCCAGCAGGAGATCTCGGCTTTACACGCACAAGTGAACGTGTCATCACAACATARCAAGCATGATCCGAACAGCAACATGTYTGTTGGATCTTCGGCGCGCCTGCAGCAGATGTTGCAAGAGACGGAAGAGGCGCATGCTCCGAAACATGCTTCGTTGAATTTATCTACCAGTGGTATGCCGCCTATAACCAGTCGCTTCAGTGGTTCTGAYAGCGAGGAACAGGATCGTGGGGATGATGAGCCGGAGACGCCTGGTGGGGCTTATTTAACTCCCCGAGAGGAGAGGAGTCACCAGAGTTTGGCGGGGACGCTGAATAATGCTGCGAGGAGGGATGATGCGGGCTACATGTTTTGATGGGAAAGACCAGAAAAGGAGGAAACTTGGAACGGGAAATGAGGAAACATGGGAATAATGAAGGAACATGGGTTTAATCGGGGTCATTTCTTTTTTCTTAATCTTGGTTCTGCGATACCCATTTCCTTGTGTTACCCTTCTGGGGTCTGAGTCAGATACTTGGGCGTTTTGGGGGTTCTTTGGGATGACTTTGGTAGATTGGAGTTATAGCTCACCGCTCGAGCTGCATATATGACATATCGGCATTGGAAAGTGGAAAAGGCAATGGGCATTCTATGAATGAACTCACATCTTCTTCGTTAAGACGTTCTTTCAGAGACTTTGATATTAACATTCATCCGAGTCGACGCTATGAACTCAGCTGCACGTAATTGCCTGGGATCATCAGTCAGCACAAAATGACCTTTCTCATCTCGGAACACGACCGCAAGAAAGGAATACTCACCAGGAAACTGGCCTTGCCTGCCACCAATCTTCCCAATCCACCACTCATTAACATTATCCGTCCGACTCACAATCTCAATCCTCTCGCCGGCGGAGAAGCTCAAATCTCCCTCTGCCTGGGCCTCGTAATCATACRGCGCCGTCACGGTTTCCACTCCYGGCATGACGCTCAGTCTTGAAGGTTTGGGTTTCGGAGGGGGAGGTGCGGCTTTGGATTTTGCGGCGGAGGTCCAATTGCTTCCTGTGCTGTTGGCTCGTCCGAGATCCGATTCTGCGGTTAGACCGGTGGAGTAAGCGGGAGGTGGGTGATCGGAGCTGAATCTTCGAGCGGGCGAGGTGTCGCCGGCCGTTCCGTTTTCTATTGCGAGTCTACCACCAGGCTTGCCGTTCTCGAGGGCGAGTTTGCTTCCATATTTGAGAGGTTTCCGTGGGCCGCCTGTTGTTTTGAACTTTGTGATTGCGAGACCCTCGACTTGCTGTTGGATGTCTCCACGTTTTTCTTGGAAAGCATCCTCAATATCGAGGGTGAGATTGAAGTATCCAATGTCGATGCTCTGCATCTTCTCGTGCAGGGTGTAGAAGACGTTGAGTTGCATGTAGTAGAAGGACTGGAAGAGGGGCAGAATGAACTCCCTCTCCAGGCGGAACAGCTCGGGCAGCTCTTCCTTGATGAGGTTGTTGAAGTATTCGTATTCCTGTGTTGCGACTTCGACACTGTTCTCCGCCTTGTAGAGGGCCTTTTCATCCTTGAGCGACTTTTCCTTCTTGTCCATGAGGGCCTTGAGGGTGGCATTGTGTCGGTCGTAGTCGAGTTGCTTGTGGTCTCGCTTGAGACAGGCCTTGCGCACGACCTTGATGATTTCGGAGAGCTCGTCGGCGGGCTTGACGATGCGACTCTCAATCATGTCGAGCTCGGGAGCCAGACTGGCCTTGAGATCGTGGACTATGGCCTCGTATTCCTCGCACGCTCTGATGCCCTCGGGATTGCCGTCAATCACGTACGAGTCCGGATCGCTGGCTCGGCCGGAAATGGGCTTGTAGATTTCGGCGCAGGCCTTTGCGAAACCAATCTGGTGGTCGAGCATGCCGTTGATGGCGTGGAAGTACTTTTCGCTCTCGTCGTGCAACTTCTTGGTCTCGCGCTCCAAATCGGCAAAACGGCGCTCGGCATCGATGTAGACGGCATCCTTTGTGATTTCGCCCATGTTGAATTTTTGTTTAAACGTTTGCGGCGCCTGTCCTGTCAGTCAGCGCGTTTCCCGGGGTCGGAGTGGCTTGTATGTTGTGCATCTTGTGGTGCATCTTGCTTGTGCATACCCGCGTCACCGTCTTCTGAAAGCCCTTCCAACTCATCTTGTCGGCGGTATGGGGAGGTTGTTGTTGGAGGATGTTTTTTGCTGTCTGTCGGTCCGTCGGTGGAGGAGGATGAGGAGGACGGGAGGTTTGGTGGTGGGTGGTGGTGGAAGTGGCAGCAGTCGTGGCTCAGCGCTGGCGCACGTCGGTCTCTTGGCCCAGTACAGTTACAGTTACAGTGTCTTAGGCAGACGATCGATCCAACAATCCTTCAATCAATCAGTCAATCCAAGCACATGACTTGGGAACGAACATGTATCCACTCGATTTCCCACTTTCCGGCTTCCGTGTACAGCCGGGATGATAGGTATGGAGGGAAAATGCAGTCGACATGGACAAAGGAAGCACATGTCCGTCTTGGCATCGCATCGCATCGCATCGCATCTTCAGGCAATCGCGGGCAGAGACACATCGACGTCACCGAGCGAGACGACTGGAGGGGAATTGGATGATCCTGGCGTGGCCTGGTCTGTCTCTACCTAATTCACTTGGAAAAGCATTGTCTAACAGTCAGAGTAATGGATCTAGCAGGTAGGGCCCTATCAACATCTCCCACTTCCCATTGCCTGCCTGCCTGCCGTGCCACCGTTGGACTCCATGCATTGAATTCTGGCGTTCCGTTGCCGCTTTCCATTGTCTGTCAGTCCCGCTCGGGATTTGGCAAGTTTGGCAAGGGTCCAGTCCAGTTCAGTTCCAATCCAAGTTAGCTCCCTCGATAATCTTCCCAGCGCCACATCAGCATATGATCCATACCTACCCTACCTTACCTGCCTACCTCACCTTCTCACAACATCCCCAACCATCATGTCACATCTCGCACCCAACGCAGCCCGCCAGGCGCTGCGACAGTGCGCTCGTCGCGTATCGACATCGACATCACGAAGCACATCCCATCTCCTCCCACGAGCTAGCATCGCCCGGCGAAGTTATGTTTCCGAGTCGAATCCCCAACAAGCCAGCGTGGAGAGCAGCATTCGCGCCGACCAAAAGTCCTTCCTCGCCGACACGGGCATCAAACCCCGCGATGCCACCCTCGGCGCATCAGGCATGTCGGGCGATGTGGCGATGAGTCCTGCCGCCGGTATTCTCAAGCAAGCAAGCGTCATGGATGAAGGCAGCCGGCCCATCTACCTCGACATGCAGGCCACCACCCCCACCGATCCGCGGGTTCTCGACGCAATGCTGCCCTTCTTCACCGGCCTGTATGGAAACCCGCATTCAAGAACCCACGCCTACGGATGGGAGACGGATAGCGCCGTCGAGCAGGCCCGAGCACATATCGCCGACTTGATTGGCGCCGACCCCAAGGAAATCATCTTCACCAGCGGCGCCACGGAGAGCAACAACATGAGCGTCAAGGGTGTCGCTCGTTTCTTCAAAAAGGGTGGCAAGAAGAAGCACATCATCACCTGTCAGACGGAGCACAAGTGTGTCTTGGACAGCTGTCGCCACTTGCAAGAGGAGGGCTTCGACGTCACATATCTTCCCGTGCAAAACAATGGATTGATTGACATGGCCGAGCTGGAAAAGGCAATGCGACCTGAAACCTGCTTGGTGTCCATCATGACGGTCAACAATGAAGTCGGTGTCGTCCAGCCCATGGAAGAGATTGGCAAGCTGTGTCGAAGCAAGAAGATTTACTTCCACACCGACGCCGCCCAGGCTGTCGGCAAGATCCCTCTCGATGTCAACAAGATGAACATTGACCTCATGTCCATCTCCGGACACAAAATCTACGGACCCAAGGGCATTGGAGCGTGTTATGTACGAAGACGCCCGCGTGTCCGTCTCGAGCCCATCATCTCTGGAGGTGGTCAAGAGAGAGGTCTACGATCGGGGACCCTTGCACCTCCCCTTATCATTGGGTTTGGTGAAGCCGCCCGGATATGCAAGGAAGAAATGGAGGTAAGCTTTACACGATCGATCCTCACCCTCCCACGCAAACCTTCACAACGTGATTATCCGCTCAAACATGCATGGCTTTCTGAGCGCGCCTTGACCGGTGCATCACAATGCTGATACACAGCAACCTTTATGACTGTTCTTTCCTCATGATTTGCAACAAACGTACGACCTTGCATTGTTCAGCAACTAATCGTCTCATCACAGTACGACACAAAGCGCATCTCCGCCCTTTCCAAACGCCTCAGTGAAGGTCTCCTGGCAATGGAACATACATCWCTCAACGGTGATGCAGTACGCCACTACCCTGGCTGTGTCAACGTATCATTCGCCTACGTTGAAGGAGAGTCCCTTCTCATGGCTCTCAAAGACATTGCCTTGTCTTCAGGCTCAGCCTGCACATCCGCCTCATTAGAGCCCTCATATGTGCTCCGAGCACTGGGTAACTCGGACGAATCCGCCCACAGCTCCATCCGCTTCGGAATTGGTCGCTTCACCACCGATGCCGAGATTGATTACGTTCTGGATGCGGTCAAAAACCGTGTCACTTTCCTGAGAGAGCTGAGWCCTCTGTGGGAGTTGGTGCAGGAGGGTGTTGATCTCAACACCATTGAGTGGTCGCAGCATTAAATCATTAACTCATTGATGCAGGAGGCGATGACCTCCGGGGAGTATGAAAGTGAAAGAGAGGGTTTGACGGCTAAAGGGAAAACTTCTGTACAGTTTGTAACACATATCACGGCCTTTCTTCTCGGTGCATATTGGAGACTGAGGAAATGAAAGTGTCAGTCGACTTTCGATTCAATCCACGTTTATGGAACATTAAACTTGATGGTGATTGTAGGTAAGTGAGTGGCATATGAGTCCTTTGAATTACTGCTCCCCACGCAATCTACCCCAAAGGAAGACCCAACGATTAAGCACCATACAAAAGTGATGAGATGTGGAGAATTTGTAGCTGTCCAGAGCCTCTCATTCCTTCTGACCAAAAGCAGAACACATTCTATATTTTACATAAAAAGTCGAGCGGGTATAATATCAACCAACGCCCATCCAAATCCCTCAATCTCAAAACAAAAGAAAATAAAAAAGTAATAAAACAATTTCCCCAACCAAGAAAAGAACTCCTCCGCAAAGCCCGTTTGCGAAACACCCTCCTATATCCTCATGCCTCAAAGCGCCATGGCAGCAATCCCACACAAGAACCCCACAAGCGCCACCACCTCGCCAGAAACCCTGAGACCCGCCGCCGCTCCGCCCTGATGATCGAATCCATCTCCCTGACTAAACTGACTGTTGGGTTCCGGAGTGCCCGTCGCTCCGGCCGGAAGAGTGGCGATGTAGCTATACTCCTTGCTACTAGTTGCCTTTGGAGTATGCATTGCGGGTGTCGTCTGGTTCCATCCGCCGATGCTGATGCTGCTGCTGATGCTGGCGGCGTCACTGCACGGTAGGGTCGTGAGGGTTGGGATGGGAGGTAGAGATGCGCCTTCCGTGGTTTGCCAGAGGGGCACTTCGTTCGGCGTGCTTCCTGTGGGGAGAGTGATGGTGGAGGAACCGAAGATCATGGTGCCGTTGCCGCAGTCGGAGAAGATGGTGTGGTAGTTTGTTTTGGTGCCTACGGTGACGGTCGTGACGTAGGCCGGGAGAGTTGCGGTGGGGAGGAGGGAGAAATCCGAGGGGGTGGGATATGTGTATGCCACACCGGGTCCTGAGGGGGAAGGGGAGGCGAAGGTGTGGGTTGGAAGTGTCATGGGGATGGTGCTGGATGCAATCATGTCGGTTGTGGGGAGCGGGAGGGATGATGGTGGGGGTTGCATAAAGGAGCCGAGGATGTGAGAGAGGAAGGGCGCGATGCTGTACGCTGTTGTTGGAGTGGCGTTGGCCGCGGTTGGTGGAGTGGAGAGTGCAGGTGGGGATGGCATGACTGGTGGTGCTGGTGGGGCCTCGACGCTCGATACGGCGGGTGGTGCCATTTCTGGCGATGATATGGCAGGTGGTGACATCTCAGGAGGTGACATGACAGGCGGAGCAGCAGGAGTAGGAGTTGGAGTCTCCAAAATTGGTGGTGGCATTGATGGTGCAGAAGGCATTTGAATAAGAGGCTTGGTGAAAACTTCCGGGGCCGGCTCGGAAGATGCTTGAATGAACGGTTTCGTGTAGACGTCAGGAGTCGGTGCTGCCGATGCCTCTGTTGGCATCATCATTGGTGGGATGGATGGCGGCATTGCGATTGAGGGGGGCGCCGATGAAGTCTCGACCTCCAGAGGTGCCTCAGAAGTGTAAGATGGAGGCGTTGGTAGCATCATGGGTGGGAACATCGGCGGGACGGGACCTTTGTATGAAAAGGACGACTCGATACCCTCTGGCATTGAATCCATCGGTGCGGTCGGGTCTGTTGGCTCCATTGGCCCTTGCGGCGCGAAAGCTTCTGCTTGAGGTGCTCCGGGAAATGGATACGATGGAGGTTGTTGGTCTGATGTTGATGCTTCGGGGGGAGTGCAGGCTCCTGGGACGGGGTATGAGCTGCCGCCGTTCGATGGATAGACCACGCAGTTCTTGGTGCATGCGGCATCACCAGCAATGGGCGAGGACTGATAGCAGGAGGCATCGATTGATCCGAGTGGTGGTTGACCAGCTGTCTGTGCGCCACAGTCGACTGCTGGCTCTGGAACACCGGCAACGCAGGAGAGCAGAGTGCTCAATCCATCGCCAACACAGAAGTCGCCGTCTGGGCCGGGACACAACAGGTTGMTGTCTGGGAAGATGGCGCTGCGAAGGAGATTAATGAGGTGTTACTTTACGATGAGCATCTTGATAGAGACTCACAATGGGGTGGGAGTGGCAGCAGATAACGATGCTCCGGCGGCTGCCAAGAACACGGCTGATGTTGCCTTCATGTTGGCTCTTTGTCTATGGATAGACGGTGGTTGATCAAGACGAGAGCTGTTGGAAGCTGGAGCAAGTTGCAGCTGCCTGTTAGTATCCGGGATAAATGTAAGAAAGAGTGATGAATAGAGATGCCTTGACCCAACAAGCGGCTCGACATGATATAGAAAATGGTGAATACAGCCGCAGCCACCTACCTTACCTCCCCAGCCAGGATGTTGGGGGAGGAGGAGGCTGCCAACGATGTGTATTGCCTGTCCAGCCTCTGCGTAAGAATTTCTCAGCCGTCGTTGGCAAGCTGCGTGTCGAAGTTTGGTACTCCAACGGCCTCGACCGACCACATTGCTTGGTGGGTGGGTTGTTCCAGATGCATTTGCTAACCGGCTGCCAGTACCTGCAGGAGACTATGATTGAAAATGTAGTCGTATAGGACAGATTGCCAAACTTGATGCTGCTGGTGTGGCCGTTCAAAAAATTATGTTATGCACCATCTCTTTGACGGCGGGCTGAGTAAACATTCAACGTCCACAACGGCTTGCAGCTTGGACACAAGGGAATGTTACTCCTATTATTGACTTGCTGTCATTGTTTTTCGAAGTGGACGAGCTCATTGACGCGTCATTTCTTCGTTCAAGCTGTGTCTTTTCTCGAGACTCCATGGCCAAGTCTTGCAATGTCTTTGATCGGCATCGTATCATTGATGAAGCCCGTTCTACTATGGTCCGAAAGTGAGACAATAGCCGTTGGTACCTGGAAGCCATGGAGACAACGGTCAAGGATCTTGGAAGACCTGTGTCACTTGTTGCGTTTGCCGCGAGCATGTCCTGCAATGGTCAGGAGAGAAGCATCAGGGGAAGCATGCATGGAAGAAGACACTGAGGGCTCGTCGACATGATCCGAGTATTTCATTTGTCCGAATAGTCGTCTGGCATCTTCCCCTTGAGGGGTATGTATTGATGGCAGTACAACGTTGTATGAAGTCAAAGGATGGGAAAGGCGGGTCAACGGACCGCAATTCAGGGCGTTCCAGATCTTCGCGTCCAGCGTGCCGTGTTAGCGGAGGAGCTTACTGACGAGTGAGGGGTGTAGCGAGGAGGGGTGTACGATGATGTAACGGTATAGCACTTTGTTCTCGAAACAACAACACCAAAGCAGGAACGACCAAGACATCCCTTCAAGAAATTGGCCAAATTTCTAATACATCTATCCCTATATTACCTGTCCACCATGCCATACGACTCCACAATCGAATTCACAATAGATACAATCTGTCCTTGGACCTACCTAGCAAAACGGCGTCTCGAAAAAGCCCTCGCCCAACTCCCCTCAGACAGTCCTGTAAATTTCACAATCAAATACAAACCATATCAACTCTACCCTGAAGCCTCTCCGGAAGGGGAAGATAAGTATGCCTGGTATAAGAAAAGTCGCTATGGTGATTCGGCGGAGAAGATGAAAGTCTACGAGACTCTTGCAAGTCCCACCGATCCATTTTGATGGCTCTCTGTATAACAACACAAGCTGATTAATGTGCAGATGACCGCCTACGGGATTGGAGAGGGAATCGACTATAAATTCACGGGAACAGTAGCCAATACCCTCCAGGCTCACCGTGTAATTCAACATTTCCAGGAAACAAAAGGTCCGGAGACAAGTGATAAGATCGTGACCAGTCTGTATAGACAGTATTTCGAGGAAGAGCAACATCCGAGCTCCCACGCCACACTCTTGAAAGCTACCACTGAAGCCGGAATTTCCGAAGGTGAAGCTAAAAAAGTAGTGGAAGATGAAGATGAGGGATTGATGGAGACGAAAATGTTGATACGAGAGCAGGCGGGGAATGCGATTGATAGCGTACCGTATATCGTGATTGAAGGGAAGAGGAGGGATGTTACGCTTCAAGGTTGTCGAGATGTTGCGGAGTATGTGAAGAGTTTGCAGCAGGTAATCAAGGAGAGCTCTTGATTGAGGTGGTGCTGTGCTGTTGGATTGCCGTTGTCTCGTATAATTTCATCGCTCATTATGGAGTCGGTCGGAATGATTCTGCTGGGATTGGTTCATCATCTACCTCGAGTCYCCAGACCCATACCCTGAGCACACTTCCTCGCCAGAGCCATTTTCAAGAAGCACTCGCGACCTAGTCCACGCATTTGGCGTACAAAGTCATTCCCGCYGACTCTGCCTCGATCAACGCCTTTTTGTAGAACGTACATGGCTTCGCGACATGCTGCTTCCTCTGCACATAATGTCCACAGCTGATTGGCAACCATAGTGGGAGCTATGAGCACTTCATCTATGGGGGGTTGCTTTTTGGATTTCGCTGTTGAAATTGTACGGTCGCACTCTTGAATGCTGCGGTGCAGAATAGCTTCGTTGCTTGCGAGCGCTTGTTCCAATTGCTCAAGTTGGCGGATTTCACCTTGGAGTCTTTCCTGAGCAGCGTGCATTGCGTTCTGCTGAGCTTGCAGAGGGGCAAGTGCGGAGAGATTCTGGTTCACTTTCTGTTGGGCTTGTTGCACGAGAGAAGAAGATAGAGCGTGCAAGAGGTGCTCCTTCTCCGGATTTGGCGGAATTGGAGGTGCTTCGGCTGCTGATCCTGGGGATAGAGTGGGAAGGGCTACATCGAATGGATCGGATAGTAGGTCGGGCGCTGGTTGCTTGCTATGTGGCTGTTGGGGTTGTTGCGCGAAATGCTGAGGCGCTTGTTGATTCTGATACGGCATTTGAGGTGCGACCTGCTGAGGATTTCTTGACAACGGTGAGGGCTGCCATGATTGCGATGGGAGATGCGGTGGTTGGGGTTGTTGATGGAGGTAAGTTGGCCCAGTTTGCTGCGAGTATCCATTGATGGGCGACACAGGAGATACAGGACTTGCTTCCTGATGTGTGCTGTAGTTATGGCGGTGAGGCATCGCGGGAAGATGTGGAGGTTCTTGTGGTCTTCCACTTTGATATCCAGACGGCGGTGCTCCTTGTGGGCGTGACGGGGTTCTATATCCTTCGGTAGGATGTGGAGGTTGTGATCGCCGCTGTGCTACTTCATGAGGCAACGGAGGCAACGGAGGCCCGTCACTTGCAACATTACGCGAAGGGCCAGGTGCAGTACCATCGCCGTGTTGCTTTGGTGGTAATGGAGGCGGCGAGTTAACACCCATTTCAGGCATCCTGGAAGCACCAGCACTGGTAGAAGCATTCTGCTTTGGAGGGAGCGGCGGGATAGAGGGACCAGGTGCTCCTTGTTGTTGGTTCATCGGCGTCTGGATTTGCTGCTGCTGCTGCTGGGGTCTACTAATAACCGGAGGCTCCTTTGCAAAGACCTGCTGTACGAGATGCAGGAATGCGGGAATGCTAGCACGATCCCACATACTTGGCCAATCTCGCAGAAACGGATGGTAGACCCTCCCATCAACTCCAACATGTTGGCCAGGGCGGATCATCATGTCTTTGGCGGGAATTACATACACCATGGGTGCATGTTGAGGAAACTGGTGCGGAATGCATAGMTTGACGGGAAAGCGATACGTCGTTCCTCTCCAGTCGACAGGCAGAGTTCCAGCAAGAGTGATCAATAGTGCAGAGGCGCCGCTTTCAAAGGTGTACACTTCAGTGCGCGGAGCCAAAGACGGATGTGCAGCAAGCGTCTGGGCGAGGTCCGAGTATGTTCGCTGAGGGTCGTGGTACTCATGCAAGACACTGTATAGCCAGGAAAGCACCGAGTCCGGGACGGCCATGCTGTTCGTGAATCATAAAACGCAGTTCAGGCAGATCGTTTCATCGTAAAATCCCTCAGTCCTGAACGTTCACACATGCTGATAATGTCAATGTCAAGAAGATGGAGCAGCTGGGAATAATGATGAGCATCGGAGCAGAGTCCGTGGATGACTACTCCCGGCGGCACAGGGAACATTCACATGCACATTTGCTTTCCTGTAAACTTTACATCACCAGAAGAGGAAACAGTCGACAATGTATCGCTGTATGTGCTCCTGTTCGACCCGCGCCCTCGAGGCCTTCGTCGCCGACATCGCGGGCATCAACATCAAGTCTCGTCCAAGGGCCGTTCATCGTGCTACACGGGCTCTACATTCAGGTCTGCAGACGGATAGAACGGTCGATTCGATTTCACTGCAGAGGCCCGTATCAGATTCATCAGCAAGCGACCTGCGCATGATTGAGCTGGCACCTGTACTGGAACCTGTGTCAAATAAAGTCGAGACGGAGAGACTGCCTGCAGAGAAAGGGGATGGCAACGCCGATGCATCGTCGACGCGCACAAAAGCTGAGAACCGCATGCTCCGGAAATTGAAACGGATCCAAGGAGGCGCACATAACAAGCATGGCAGTGATAGCGGGAAATTGGTCGATCAGGTCCAGTCGATGCTGCAGAAGATTGAGGAATCACCAGAGATCCTTGGGGGGCTCGTAAAGGTGAAGAAGGAGGAGCCTGCGAAGACGGAGAAGAACAAGGTCCGTCGAGGGCGTTCATTCGATGGGAAAGCAAAGTGGGTCAAGGGAAAGCAAGAAAGATTCAATGGCAGGTCGACAAAGGTGAGAAAAGAGGGCAGCAAAGGTCCTTCGGGCAAGGCGAGAAAGGAAAGCATCATGGAGCACAACGCCAACTTGAGAGCTGGTGAAGAGACTGTCGATGTTGGAGACGAAGCAACATGGGAACATGTACAGGACGAATGGACCGAGCAACCGAAGTGGCAGCCCATCGAGGCCAGGGAAACCACCCAGACGACGAGAGGGGGGAAGAATGCTGGCAAAAAACACGATGTCGATGATTCGCCTTCGAAAGAAGATGCTCCAGCCAAACCTCAGGAACCCTGGGGTATTCAAAAGTCCGCCCTCGAGCGCAAGTTCGGCCAGAAAGGCTGGCAACCACGCAAACGTTTATCGCCCGATACACTGTCTGGAATCCGCGCCCTCCACGCCTCCAATCCCACCATCTACAACGTCGAAATGCTCCGCGATCACTTCAAAATCACCCCGGAAGCCATTCGCAGAATCCTAAAGTCCAAATGGCAACCCTCTACCGAGGAGATTGAGGATCGGATGAAGAGATGGGAGAAGAGAGGCGTGAAGAAATGGAGTGAAATGGCAGAGCAGGGACAGAAACCACCTAAGAAGTGGAGAATGTTGGGCGTGCCGAACCCTAAGCTTGGACAGAAGAAGGAGTGGAATAGTAACAGCGGTGTCGCTAAAAAGGAGAAGACGGAGGAAAGGATTGTGCGAGAGGAGGGACTGCTCGCAAAGTCGAGGCGGTTGGAGAAAGCGCAACGGGCACGGTTCACTGAGAGTCTAACTGGGAGGATTCTCTAGATATATTCTCTGTATATATTCTTCTCTCCTGTTGAAGGTTGGGTGACGATGTATCGGAATGGAATCCACTGGTGGTTTCGCACGGCACTATCCTCCATGAAAGATTCTCGACATACAGATCCTCTGCTTCCGACGAACGTGACAGTGCCTCTCAAAGACTCACAAGGCATCATTCCCAGACGGAGGCAGTCCCTCAGTTCCACGTCCAAGGTCTTCTCCGAACCGCTTCCCAGCCACAAACAGCGGCTTCGAATCCTGCAAGCAAAATATCATACGTGCCCATTCCGTCTTGCTAGAATTACGCCAAGCGTGCTTTACAAAAAGATACGACGTCAGTGTATGTATGCCACACTACCTCCACAACCATAAACTCACCATCGTAGCTCTCTGCACCATCACATCTCCTCTTCCCATAAGCTGCGTCTCCCCAGAATCAAGGACAGATTCAATTTCTCCTTCCAACACAATACCGTAGTCCACAGACTGTGTTCTATGCATCATACACTCGTACTGTGGAGCAAAATCCACATATCGCAGGACCGTTCCACCGCCGGATACGAGACCCAACTTCCCGCTCRCCATCTTTGCGTCATGCTGGTTGACATCGACGTCCTGGTTCAGGTCTGGTGGAAAGGATGTGGTGTATGCAACAGCCATGCCGAGCTTGTCCTCATCGAAGCTTTCCCATTGCACGGGTCGTTTGGAGTGGATGATGGCCTTGCCAGACTTCTCATCGTGGCCTGTAAGGTATGCTGTGGGTCCTGGTAGTGCCGTGGAAAGCTGGTTTGGGGTTGGTGTGTGATTGCTCATTGTGTTGCGGTAGTGATGCCAAAGACGATGAGCTTTCGAGGGGTGGGATGTAAGTAAGAGTGAGAGTTGCTGGAKGTCCTTTTTGCTTTCTAAGGCTGGTGTGACAAAGTGGGGTAGGTCCTGTAGTCTTGCAGGATGCTGACCGTGGCACAGCCTTCGAAGTATCGATGAATGGGCCGTGGTCTACATCAGGTCCTCTCCGGAGGCATTCCACTATCTGCGGACTGTTTCCGGAGGGATTCCACTATCTGCCGACTGTTTCAGGGTCCGTCTATGTCATCAACATGGCTACCGTGATGTAACGGGCGAAAGATGACCATCCTTGTCATATTTTGCTTCTGTACAATTGTCAGCAGACAGTCGCCAAGGGCTCAAAGGGTACTGTACGTACTGAAGAACGTGTAGTTGAGCGTGATAGTGTCTATATTCCTCATCGTCGGATCCTTAAGGAAGTCCGGGTCAATGTAGAAGAAGACGGGCATGTCGACGGTCTCTCCCTTGTTCAATCTCTGCTCTTCAAAACAGAAACATTGGATCTTGCTAAAGTATGGAGCCACCTGGGCAGGCGTTACGCTGTACGTAGCCACACCAATGATATCCTCGTCTTTGCTTTGATTGGTGGCAGTGTAGAAGGCTAGTGCGGTTTCTCCTGGCAAGACTCTTACTTCTCGTTGCTGCGGCGTGAACTTCCAAGGCAGAACATCCGATGTGGAACCGGCGAAGGTGATGCGTAGTCGTCGTGAAGTGGTGACTGGTGTCAGCTTCGCCGCAACGTCATCCTCACCCTCTGGAGTGGCGTGTGCGGATGATTTGATGGGCTGTCCTCCCCAGCCAGTTTGTTGGCAGATCATCTTGTAGAACGGCACACTTCCATAGCTTAGGGCGACGGTTCCGAGGATAATAGACATGGWGTAGTAACTGTTTCTTGGTGAGCCTGACCGTTTTGAACCAGCATTGTTGAATCGTGGGTATAATGCATTTCTGACGAACAGACTATCACTACGTACAGCGTGCTTGCGTTACTTTGCTTGAAAGGTGCTCTCATTTGCTCCATCGTTGGCGCAGCACCACCTCGACTCGCAGCKGACTTCTTCTGGCTCGTTTGCAGAGCTCGYCTCGGCTGCTTTGTCCATGTCCTCGAAATCTGCGTGCCTTGAAGCAGACTCCATGAAGCTCTTTCGCGCACCAATTGGAACAACTCTCGGTATCGTGACGGCGACATGATGTGAAGGTGGGGATTGAGATGGATCGTGGACGCCTTCACAGGGAAGTTTGAGTGGTGACGGGCACATCGGAGGTGACGATTCTCGCCGCAACTTTCCACTTGAGAGAATGCTCGCTTCGAACTTCCTTCACTTCCTGTGCACCTCCTTCACTTCCGACTGTACTCAGGACAGACTCATCGACAACATGTATATTCAGTCTAAACATCATTGCTAGACATGAGCGTAATACAATGTCCGCACCAAAATGTGGCGTCTGCCGGACAGCTGACTCGAAATACAAATGCCCAATATGCGTGATGAGATAGTAAGTGTTGGATGCTGAAATCTTCGATCATAGCTAATATCGACGTAGCTGTTCCATACCATGTTACAAGTCTCACAAGTCGACGTTTCACCCAGACCACCAAACAACAAATGAAACATCTGGCGAAGAAGCTCCGCAAAAGCTACCCATCGATCGGCCTGGAACCACTCAGAGAGTCCCCAAGGCAAATTTCGATGGCTTCGAATCGGACCCGGACCTTCAGCGTCTACTCCAGAGGTATCCGAATCTAAAGTATCAGCTACAGTTGGTATACGGTGCAACGATGGAGCCTGGTCCAGACGATGCTCAAGGCTGGRGCCGACAGGATTGGCTCGTGGGAGAGCGAGATTCCATGCGACTAGATATTCGCGGCCGTGGACGCGGACGAGGACGAGGGCGTGGACGCGGGAGAGGGAGAGGCGGCTACCAGGAGCGAGACCATGTAGACCTCGAGGACTGGCAACGTGGACCGTGGACCCAGGAGAAAGGAGATCAGTATGGCTTGAGTTTCCTCCATAAGATGAGAGAAGACTCGGGGAACGATGACCTGACCGAAGGCATGAATGAGTTCGTCGAGCTTTGCAAAATCAAGTTTGGCGAGTAGGCAGTTAGGTGAACGGGCCGCWCGAGAAAGCAGATTGCGCCCCTTTACTCTTAAATCGCTCAATCGTCTCATTTCTTGTAGCCGGCTTGAACAAAGCAATAGTGAAGTAATCAGATCGCGGGCTGAATGCCTCTTACAGCTTTAAGGGGCGGATGCTCTCATGCCGCCGATCTTTCTCCAAGGCCGATGGACTGCAAGAAGCGTCATATCAGCCACGGTGCTGATCTAGAAGTGCAGGCCTGCAACGAGAATTTCCTATCACAGGCGATATGGGGATGGAAAGCCGAATCTCGAAAGCCTGCAATCGCGGCAGCTAAGTGACAAAACAACCCCCAACGAGGAGATGCAGAACGGTAGCACAAATACCTTCTCGCAGCCAGCTTTCATTTCTTGCCTGCAGTCTCCCTAGCCACACGGGAACCCTCCCCCGACGAAGCTCCTAACCGTACCCTCTCTGGCTCCTCGCATATTCGCCGTTCATCTGCTGCGGTGCAGTCGTCGCTCCGTTCGCCATGCCCATCATCATAGGCTGTCTGCCCTCGCGCTGGGCAATCTCCGTCTCGTCTGATGTTGCAGGTCGATCGACGGGATAAGACGGTCTCTGTGCGAGCGGATGCGGCCTTGCTGCCTCTCCACTAGCTTGCTGGGCGTCCTCTCCAGATTCAGCCACGCGCGACGGCGAATTGTGTCTCGAAACGCGAGCCAGTCGCTGCTCAGCCGCTTTCAACCTAGCTTCCAACTCCTGCAGTTCTTGCTCACCAGAGCTAACGGTTTGCTTTCTGCACTCTGATCAGCCAAGTCGAGCTCACTTTAGGTGGAGCTTGCTCACTTTTGCTCAACATTCTTTGACAGCTCCTCCACCTCTGGGGTCAGCCCAAACATGGAATCGAGGTCGGCAGCGAAGTTCTGGGCAATGGTGCTATAGGCGTGCATTAGCTAGCTGCTCGGATCCTCAGCGCATGAACCTACGACACTGGTCGCGAATCCCATCGCTGCTGCTGCCGTTGCTGTTCCTGTTCTTCTTCGGACATGGTGAAGGCGGTGTGCAAACAGCAGCTAATGCAGCCTCATCAACGAGTGGTCCAAAAATTTGGGGGGGAAGAGGCAGCGAGCACGAGCACAAGCACAAAGGGAAGGTAGAGTAGAGCTCGCGAGATTAGACGAGCGCGATGATGATCAACATCCGGGAAATAAAGTATATGTGCAATCAGGGGACGGAGACGGAGGGGCTATCCCTTGCAATTGGGTTCGCGGAGCTAAAATGATAACACTATGGACCAGGAGCCAGAGAGTCACAGAGTGTCAGTCAGGTTCAGCGATTGGTGGTGTCTTCGATGGGCGTCGATCCCAACCATTACCAATGAAATAATCGCTGCTAGATGTGCCGCTCTTCTGTGCCACGTTGTTGCTATGTTTGGTGTAGCTCTTGGAGCATGTTTTCATGCACAAATCCCGCAGTGTGGCTCGGAGAGCCACGGTGGACTTGGTGGAGAGGATCAGAATTGACGATGGTCGGACGCGACTTCCAAAGCCATCGCAATTATCATCGACTTCATCTCGGGCAACTGACGGAATTTATCCACTGGAGGCGACGGTGTGATGGAAATGCTCTGCACATAATATTTTGGCCCAGCAGACCCGGCGTAAAAGCATGAGTGCCGACAGAAAGGAAATCTGGCTCCCATCACCTCCGACCGTCGTTCGCGACCGACCTTCATGACGAGCCTGGCCTCGTACTCGCCCCTTGAGGAGCTTCTCTTATTCCAGGCACTACGAAACGATGCCGCCGTCAGTTTCAGCAAAATCAGCGACGACTTGAAAAATATACCATTGGTCCGCGATGACCCATCTTACGACCCCGACCGACTGGATCCGGATGCGCTGCGACAATTGTACTTGGGACTGTTAAAGGAAGAGGTCAAGCAAGACCTCGAGCAACAGACAAATGGCGGCAGGAGTCACCCTCCCAATGGAGACGTGTCCCCAAGCTCTCGCAAGCGCAAAATCGCAAGTCCCAGTCTGCCCACAGTCCAGGAAGCGGCACAGCATACGCATCTGATCCCGCAATTGGTGTCTCGGCTATATTCACGATACCGCGATAATGTCGCCGTGAAGGTCCGAGAACATGAGCAGAGATATGCGAGCATTACGCGCGAGCTTGCGGAAATCGAGGCTGGGGAATGGGACGAGAGACTGCAGCAGCAGGAACAAGCTCGCAGTTCAAAACAGCCTTCGTCCACGACGCTCGCGCAGTCCAACCCAGCTCGCAATGTGGAACCTACATCAGCACCGTCCTCAGCGGCACATACTCCAAACGCGACACCCAAGCCCGTGGAGGCGCCTAAGAGGTACTCTCAGGCCACGATCGATGCAGTAATGAACCATGGACCGGAACCCCAGGGCTCTTCAAGCAGCCATCGGCGTATGTCTTCCAACACGTCTCTTCCACCGTTGTCCGAAATGGCGCCACGGTCGCCTCAACTAGGCATACCGCCCTCGATTCCAATCGCAGCAACTCACCAGCAGATGCAGCCCATTGCACCGCATCAGTACAATCAAGGACCATCACATGGCGGCCACCAGTCGCCGTATGGGTCAAGCCATGCTCATCCGAGGCAGAGTTCTATTCCCAGTCCGGTTATCCAGCAGTCGCTGTCGCGGCCGTCTTCCTCACATGGACGCATTCTCCCTCCTCCTCACGGGATGCCACTTTCAACGGGATCGCCCGTGGCGCATGTCGGATCTCCTGTACTGCATCAACAGCATTATGCACCGCAGCATCGCATGCAATCTGCGACTCCACCTGCAAACGAGTATTCGCCAAGGAACTATCCACCCACGCTGTTGCCACAGCAGCAAGCAGGGTACCATACCCAGCAGCAATATCAGGATCAGAGGACATCATATCCAGTCCAGCACAACCCACTTCCGCAGCATCCTCAGCAGCCTCAGCACCAGCAGCCTTCGACCTACCCTCTGCCGCATGTGCAGCCATCGCGTGCTGGAGGTTACATGCTGCCGCCTTTCCAGGTCGCGCACCCGGATCATCACAAACCCATTCAGCCACAGCCACCGCGGCAACACCGCACGCCTGTTCAGCCGCAACAACAGCCAGCTTCCTATATGCCCCATGCTCATGGAGGTCCCTCGACTGCGCCGCGCGGTCCTCCTTTGAGGCAATCACGAGAGGTATCTGACGTTTTGACCGCTCTCGCGACACCGCCGCGGCGCAGGGACAAGCCACTGTGGAAGAGAGAGTATCTGCCATCCCCTCTTCAGCAAATACCGGTTTCCACGCCCAGACCAGACATTGAGCCCCTGAGCCCTACACAGGAACATAGCAAGTCTCCTACTCGCTCTTCGCGCTCCAAACGTGGGCGTGATGTTCAGGCAGTGGACGACGCGAAGTCCGAGCCGCCATCCAAGATCAGAACTAGCAAGCGACGGGCAAATGCGCGTGCTGGAAGTCCCCACAGTGTGGTGTCATCGACTGCTGATGAGTCTCTGCGTAGCCACTCTGTACTCAATGCGGATGATCGTCCGGCGAGTAGGAACGGGGTCAAAGCAGAGCCCTCGACACCAGGTAACCTACTCGAAGACACAGAACCCGCGACCGTGCACTCTGGAGCTTCGACCAATGCTCCTAAGACTCGCAAGCGACGTGGTACCGTCAATTCGCAACCACAGCCAGCAAGCAAACGCAAGAGGCACGAATCGCCAGGGGGCACTGATGATCATGAGCCTGTTGAAACACCACCACGGAAGAGCAACACAGTCATCGCGACGCGCAATTTTGCCAAAATGTCTTCTGCCTTGATGAACGACATTAACAGTCACAAGCACGCAGCCTATTTTGCGACGGCAGTGCGCGAAAAGGCTGCGCCCGGATATAACGACATTGTGTTACGGCCTCAGAATCTCAAGTCCATTCGGGCTGCCATCACAGCCGGTACCAAGGCAGTCGCAGCAGCCAGCTCAGCGCTGGACTCGCCAGCGGAAGGATCCTCCGCGCGAGCACTAGAGGGTTTGAATACGATTGAGCTTGAGCGTACAGCTGATCTTGAGCCTCCAAAGGCAATCGTCAACGGCGCTCAGCTCGAGAAAGAACTCATGCGCATGCTTGCGAATGCTTACATGTTCAATCCTGGAGAAGATGGAATGGCACTTTCTACCAGAGAGTTCTTTCACGACATCGAGGAGAAGATTAGCGACTGGCGGGCAACGATGGAGGATGATGATAGCAAAGGCAAACGAAGGAAGATGTGAGGGTGAGGATGAGGCGAAGGTCACCAACTCGTGTTCAATGCACATGAAAGTGCTTGTARTCTACCTTTGAAGAGCATCGAGCGACGACCCCAGATGTCGCGCGTTGTTAAGAAGACGTGATACTAAGAACGTATCTTGGTATGTTGGCAGATGGACGTGTAGTCTCGACATCGAATCCAAGAACAGCGTGCCAAGCCCATTTCCACCACCACATCTCATCGAACGACCTGAACATGAAATGCCTGCAATCCAATCAGGCAAGAACCAGAACTTTCGCATCGACGCCCGCTGACTCTACACACTTTGTTTCAGTCTGCTTTACAAACTCATTTCTAACATGCGAAGCGACCTTCATGCCGTCATCGATCATCCGCTGGTAGACCGGCGTCCCGAGTGACTAGTTAGTTCGCTTCCAACGTTGCCACTGTCGCTTCCATGTCTATCTCAAAGCGAAGCATGTTTGATTATTGTAGCATTCCCTTGCGCATACTGCTAAGACATGGCCTGGCCGAACCCGTTCTCGCGCCGCACAGAAAACACCAAGACGTGGGTAACCCGGAGTGCACCGCGCACGAGGTGCGGAGCTTCACCCGCTGACTTTTACCAGCACATGGGGTTACACTTTTGAGCTCACAGACAAACATCCTACACCGGAACAGTGCCAACCTCTCAAACATTCTTATGATGTGATAGCGGAGCAAGTTCTTGATCGTCTCAACGAGATCTCGCCACCTGTCCAAAAGCAACTACCTAGAAACAAAAGCCAGTTCACCAAGGTTGTACCGAATGAATTGAAGACGGATGAGAGCGATGCTTCGTCGCCGAAGGTGCCTGCAAGGGATTTATATGCCATTCTAAAGGAAAATGCGGGATCAGATGAGTTACTCCAAACTTTCTGGAAGGAGATCAATACAGTTCCGGAATGGGTAGACTGGGAGCAGTTGCAGAGAGGTCAAGATGTCTTTTATCGATACGGAGGCGCCTGTCTCACTGGTCTGGCCTATCAAAGCTTGCTGGGAGGTATGGGTGCCGCTCGAGTTGTAGAAACGCTCGCGAGAACAGGAGGTTTCTCAACCAAGGTTGCGAGAGGAAGACTGTACGTTCAAGTTGGGGAACGACCTTGCTACCGCGTCCGTCTCGTATGCTGACATCATATTCGTTTGACCAGCTTCGAGACGACTCAGCACATATTACAATGTACTAAGTCTTTGGAATCGATGCAACCAGGAGGCGATGGCTTTGCATCGACCATCCGGGTTCGATTGCTGCACGCAGCTGTTCGGTAGGACAATTCACATTCAGTTCGTCATTCTCCAAAGCTGACTTCTTCCCTTCCCTTAGTCAACGCATCATGAAACTGCGAGAAACCAAACCAGAGTACTACGACGTAGAGGCGTGGGGGATCCCGATCAACGATCTTGACAATCTTGCGACGATTGCTACATTCTCCGCGATTCTCATGTTCGTATCTCTACCCAGACAAGGCATATACCCGCGGAAGCAGGAGATTGTCGATTACCTGGCGTTGTGGAGATATATTGGCCATGTCATTGGGTGTCCAGATGGTCTGCTTGATACGCCAGAGAAGTCCAGGCGATTAATGGAGTCTCTTCTGCTTTATGAGATTCAGCCTACGGAGACTTCCAAGGTACTGGCGAACAACATTATCAAATCCCTGGAAGGTCAGCCACCGGGATACACGTCTGCAGAATTTCTCATTGCATCTGCGAGATGGCTCAACGGGAACGAGCTCTGCGACGAACTCGGCCTCATGCGACCCGGCGTATACTACTGGATGCTCATGGCTGGCCAATGCATCTTCTTCGCTTTCTGGTCATACACCTACAGAAGCATACCTTATCTGGATCGACAAAAGATTGACATGCTCAAGAAAGTCTTTTACGCCATCATTGTGAAATCAGATTTCGGGTTGAAAGGAACAGAAACGACTTTTGCTTTCAAGTATATCCCCGAGTACAGCACGATCACGGAAATGAGCGACAGCGATGAAAAGAAGACGAAGCACTACTCAGTCGAGACCCGGAACCTCAAGACTCTAGGCGTGGCTTTTGTGGGTTTGACTGTCGGGACGTGCATTGTCGTCAGCATAGCGAATAAGATGTTGAGATGGTGGTAGCGAGGTGTAACGCAACATGTATAGTCGGACCAAGTATAGCTGCTGAGTCGCATTGTGCAAGCCGTCTCACATGTTCACAGCAGTCGATACGACATATGCCGCATATGCCGTACGCCTCATTCATGGATCAATTCCAGGCTACGTACAGGTCGTTCAAAGGGACAGCCTTGCGGACCGGCCAAAGAGCTTTGCGCGGGCAGGTCGTAGCACGATCAACAGTAGTCAGCAGACGCCTGGTGCCGGGGATGCTACAATACGACTCGCGCCGGTTAAATGGTACCGAAGTATGGCAGCATGCCGTAGTGCGGAATGGCGCATGTGATGTGCTGGTTGGAAAGCAACCACAGACGCCGTTGGACCAGAGCCATGGTCTTCTTGATTCCGCTCGAAGCGCAKGTGCGTTGGTCTCGCGATCTCGACTCGCGTTGTGTGTTGTCGGCATTGCTCGTCAAGATAGTAGTGGGACGGGACATGACAAGGGGGAATTTTCCATGGCCAAGAATTGAAACTCCGCTCGGGTCGAACTCTGCTTGCACAACGCTTCAAAGTTCACACTTCGCACCTGCATTTCATCACTCTGATGCTATGTATCTGGACTAGTGAAAGCCGTTTCAGGTCTAGTCTCCTGATTGTGCAGGCAGGTCTATCGGGATGGCCTTTTTCTCCGGGACTTCGTCACAGTAAACCACGTCGATTGTCGTGCCGAAAACGATCGAGCGATATTCCGCTCCCCGAATCGCCAAGGGCAGAACCCTCATGATAACAATAATGGTCTTCCGTCATTCGTCAATACGGAGTCGTGTCACACATACTGCTTTTCTTGCTTCGGATGCAGGCATGTTGCAGAAGGGATTCGARTCCAGAATCATAAGTACCCGCCTTCAACGTTAGATCAACATGAAGCCCAAACGCCATGCTTTGCGTGGACCTACTTGTCACGACAGAGAGCGATGTGTTGTGCTGTTTTATGAGGTGATGTWTGAGCGAGCGAAAACGTTCGAAGTGGTTCGAGTGCATTTGCCAACTAGCGCGGAATGAGTGAATGTGAATGTGGAACTCGCAAAATTTCCACTCACACTTTTCGTCGGCGGTCGTTCACAACCTGTTTGTTAGCAGCGCTTGCGTTATTGCCACCATGAGGTTCCTTGCTTTTCTCATTCTGTTCGGCGCAGCAACGTCCACCGTTACCTCCGACACTCAGGCACTCAACGTCGACGCCTCTGTACCTTGGCGCGAGTGGCCAGTTGTCTTTGGCTTCGAGTCACCGCTGGCAACGGCATCCATTATATTAGGGTTCGGGCTGAGAACGAGGTAACACAATTCGATTGGATGCATGGTTATGACAAGTTGTGCCTGTGGGAGGTGGCTGTTTGAACGACCAGGAGTGCGACTACCTAACGCCTGCAAGTGGAGAGGTGCGCCGGTGAGTCACCTGAGAGATGACGTCTGTATATGCGCAGAGCCTGGAGGAATGAAGCAGGAGCGAAGCGGGAAGACCTATACCGGGAGATTTGGGAGGCCGAGAGAAAAGCGAGACGAGCGGTGATTCGAGAGCTCTCCGAGGGGTCGGAAGACAATGACATGTTCTATTATGGATCATGCCCGTACCTTTCGGAACGAAGAGTGGTGAGAGGATGGATGTCGGACAATACCACTGCATTTGTGGATGCCGGTGAAGCTATCAGCCAGATGTCAGCAGTCCCTATGATCCTGTGTTTGCAGCTGCTTCGACCTCCTGTTTGCTTGGACAGTATCATGTCGCGGAGTACAAGTATCGGCGGGAAGGCAGTGAGCAGCGGGAGGAGATGCTCACGATATAGCCAGAGGATCCACCTGTCTGTGCTCGAGCTGTGCCACTCCGGAGTAAGGTAGACATTGGAAGGCGTCAGCGCGRGTTGTCGTGGGACGAAATGGAACTGGCCGATGGAGCCAAGGTACAACGGTACATGTGTGCTGTGCGTGCATCCCCCATTCCAATGTGCTGGTAAGGTAGGTAGCTAATAAGAAACGCCCTGATTTCATAGCTCGCGTGCCCCGTGTAGGTAACCTGGACAGACAAAACCGTCCTCCGCACCCTCGGCGAGACATTATTGATCATCGCATCGCAGCCACGGCTTTCATTGGCACTAATAAAGCGAGACACACCAATGCCCATCGCACTGGGGCCGTTCAATCATATTTCGGATCTTGGTTCATGATTCATGGTTCTTGACCGGCGGCCGTAAATCCATAAATTCACAAACCGCCCACTGTCGAGGGCACGCGCGAACCGGTCGACGTGCAGCATGAGCATGGCCGGCCTCACGTCGCACCACAGGCTGGACTAGGTTGTTGGATACTGATTGATCGATTGACTGGAGCAATGCCCGCCTCCTCTGCACGGCGCAGCGAGAAGGCGAAGTCGTACCAGGTGCCCTCGAGCCGCACGACCACCGATTCACGCCCGCGCGCTGCACGCACGCTGTCATCCACGCTGGTGGAGCTTCGCCGGGCCGACGACACCCCTGCACATTTGCAGGTGCAAGACCAGGTGCTACTGCGCCGCCCGCTTCCCAACGTAGAAGGACAGGATGAGGACGAGGTCGCCGGTGTCGTTGGTGCCGTCCGCACTTTTTCCCCATTCCACACCCCAGAGGTACGTTGTTGTGGTGCTGCGCGCGGGACGTCGCGCCGTGGTGGACGAGAACAGGCAGAGCACGCAGCTGAACAGCGCCCACAGCTGAGCGAGCCCCTCCCGACGCTGAATATCGCCGTCGTGGGCCATTCCAACGTCGGCAAGTCCACGTTTATGCAACGCGCACTGGAACTGCCCGCCCTTCCCACCTCCCAGGCCGCGGAGCGCAAGCTCCCCATTGACGGCAGCGACTACATCGTGCGACTGCTGGAACTCCCCATTGAAGAACTAGACATTGACGATGACGACACAATCAATTGGCCGGACACGATTGAGGATAAGATGATGCCGAGAGTGGACGGAGCCATTGCATTATACGACGTGCAAGACAAGGAAAGCATCGAGGGGCTGCCTCAAGTGCTCAGTGAGTGGCTTGCTGGGCGTGTACATCTGCAATCGCAGGACTGACTGTCGTAGACGCCATCGCCAACGCAGCGGTGCCCACACTCCTTCTCTCCTGCAAGTGTGACACACCGCCATCAGAGCGGGAAATCGATCCCTTTCAAGTCGAGCTGAACGCAAGACGAGCAATCAGCAGTATAACTACATTTCAAATCTCACGAGACCCCGAAAGCCACAGACGAGGCATCTCGGTGCTGTTGAACAGCATTGTTGGCGGTATTGCAGGTAATGTCCATGGACTATCGTCTGCGCTCGTACATCGCTGATGGTGGAGGCAGAAAACCGTCGGAGAAGCTTATCGGCGAACCGACGCAGAGCACAGACAAGTACCCTGGGTCGTTCTGTGTCGCCGCGACAGCTGGGACATTCGCGCGCCAGCTCAGAGCTGAGTTCGACACTGTACAAAGATCAGAGGCACTCACGGCACGACTCCAGTATTGTTGGCTACACCTCATCCGATCGTCTCCGAGTGCCACGCGACGACGACCAGATGCAATCTACTTTCCTACACGAGGCGTCCGCGAGCGAGGCCTCGCTGACCTCCTCTCGTTCATCCACCAGCGCCGATGCGTACCAAGCCTTGGCAGGTGCATCACAATCATCCATCGCCTCTGAGAATGGCGCGACATTCGACGAACTTGTCACCCGTCTATTGGCCCAACCCACGTCAAAGTCAGACATTAAGTTCTCGGCGATATTTCTCGCAATGTACAGGAAATTTGCAGCTCCTGGCAAGTTGCTAGAAGCCATTGTACAGCGCTTCGACGCTCTAGAACGTAACGGCAGCGCGCAGATGATGAAATCCGTGACCCAGCTACGGCATGTTGCCATTCTCCAAAGCTGGGTTTCCACATATCCCGGAGACTTTGCATATCCCAAGACGAGGCAACGTTTACGCACTTTTGTGAGCAAGCTCGCTGCGACTCGGATTTTCGCCGCGGCAGCTCGAGAGCTTTCGGTGGATATGGAGGCCATCCGTGAAGACGACGATACCAACTGGGCTTTCAGTGACAAGGATAGAGACGCATCGGGCGATACGTCAAGGAGCTCTCTTTCTTCAACAGCAAGTACGCTGATTGACGATCCGGCCTTCACTTTCGAGCAGGAGCTCAGCGGCAGCACCATAAACGACGACGTCGTGTTTGAGGCCCTGCCCAAGTTCGCAAATCAGATGATGGTCTACGTTGAACAAGCTCAAAAACAAGCACAGACCCTACTGCCTGTGCCGAGGAGTGCTTTGACGAAGTCCCATTGGCGAGCGCTGATGGAGCTACCTGACGAACTCATCGCAAAGGAGCTCACGCGAATGGACTGGATCATGTTCTCCGCGATTCGACCTCGCGATCTTGTGCGGCATGTAGCACTCTCCAAAGAGCAAAAGGAAGCTTGCAAAGACCTGGCACACGTCAATCGCATGATCGACCACTTCAACCAATTGGCAAGCTGGGTTGCCAATTATGTGCTATGTCGCGACAAACCCAAGCATAGAGCGCTGATGCTCGAAAAGTTCATGCGAATAGCACGCAAGTTACGAGAGCTGAACAACTATAACGCATTGGGCGCCGTCATTGCTGGTGTCAAGTCAACATCAGTCCATCGCTTGGGAGCAACCCGAGAGCTCATACCGCAGACAACGGGCAAGGATTGGCTCAAGCTTGAAATTTTGATGGCTCCTTCGCGCTCACACTTTGCCTACCGTCTTGCGTGGGAAAACAGCTCTACGGARCGAATACCCTACCTCCCTCTACATCGACGAGATTTAGCCTCGGCTGAGGAAGGTAACAAAACCTTCATCGGACATGAAAGCGAGGGCAGGATTAACTGGAAGAAGTTCGAAATCATGGGCGAGGTTATTGTGGGTTTACAGCGGGCGCAAGGGATGCCATACAAGAACATTGCCGGCACCAAGGGTAACGAGCATGTCAAAGAGCTCGTGCTCGGCATCAAGCTCATGAAGGATGAAGATGTGAGTACCATTCTCCCATGAGAAACATGCATGCAGTTGGCTGACAGCTACGACAGGAACTTTATGAGCGCAGTGTGCAGTGTGAGCCGCCAGCGTCGGCTGCAATTGGTCCTTCGGCAAAGTTCAAGGAGTTCTTCAAGCGATGAGACGGCTTCACTCAGTCCGTGGTACAATGACATGATGATAATGATGACCGAGACATGTGAATAGAGAGAATCAAAGCCTCGCGGCTTAGGATGAGACGGGATTGATATTTGTGGTGGGGAGAAAGGGTTCGAGGATGTGTCAAGTACTCCTCCTGACGAGAATAAATTCCATTTCAAAGCTTCCTCACACCGTCCGAATGTGTTTTTCCTGCAGAGCTCTGTCTAGATGGCAATGAAGAAGCTCTTCTCCCCTTCTTGCGCCTTGACCTCTGCTCTCTGAATGATGGGGTCGGCGCAGCTAATCCGAATCCGCTCCACCGTAGCTGGGCTGATAAGGCTAAGGACATCATCTTTCCCATACTGCTTACGAGCAGCTTTCAAAGCATCCCTGATGGCAAAGAAGACGGCCGATCCCATGAACAGGGGCGGCTCGCCGACTCCTCTCGATCGCTGGATGGTTCTGAGATTCTCCCAATTGACATCTTTCAACAGGCTGATGTTCATCTCCTGAGGAATGTCCCTGAAACCGGGAATTTTATAGGCTCCTGGTCCTTTTGTGAAGATTTGACCGCTGGCACGATGCCAAAGCGACTCCTCGATGGTGAAGAGGCCGAGTCCTTGGACGAAAGCTCCCTCAATTTGACCATAATCGATGGCGGGGTTGATGGACCGTCCCACGTCCATTTTGATGTCTGCTCTTCTGCACGTCCAGTCTCCGGTCAGTGTGTCGATTTCGACTTCTGCGCCGGCCACACCTTGAGTGAAGTAGAAGAACATCTGTCCCRTGTTGGGACCCCAGACATAGCCGATGTCGGGTGTCTTGTCTAGAAGACCATAAGTCAGCATTACCCACGAAAGGGGCGGGTCGGGGATAGGAGCTTACAAAATCCATTGGCCGAAAGATTCACTCTGTCGAAGTATGCGGAGTGAGCCTAAAAGCGGGACGTCGTTAGTATGGTTGGACACAACGTACTCGCTGTTTCACTGAACTCACCAATTGCTTCATCGTGGCATCCTTCCCGAGCTCCTTTCTATACGGTGCGAGGCGTTCATTCAATTGCTCGCAAGCATTCCAGATCGCATATCCGTTAAGATCAGATGATGCTGATGCAGCCGTAGACGACGTGTTGGGGACAGTGTTGGTGGCAGTCTCTGAAATGAAGACATTGTCCTGCGGCACACCCAAAGCTTCGGCTGCAATCATGATCATCTTGGTATTGAGACCTTGGCCCATCTCAGTGCCGCCGTGGGCGACGAGAACACTGCCATCGTGGTAGATGTGCACCAATGCACCGGCCTGGTTGAGAAATAGTGCCGTGAAGCTAATGCCGAACTTCGTTGGGATGAGAGCCATGCCACGTTTCTTCCACTTGCTCTTCGCGTTGAAAGCAGCGACCTCGTCTTTCCTACGCTGCCATTCGGACTCTTCTTTGACTTGCTTCCACATCRATGGAACATACCAATCCTTCAACTCCTGCCGAAAGTGCGTCGAATCTCCGGACTGGTACATGTTGATTTCTCTGAGCTTCTCAACCGGTATATTGAGATGATCAGCGACTTCCTCCATCATTGTTTCACATATGAACATTCCCTGAGGTCCTCCAAATCCTCTAAACGCTGTATTTGAGACAGTGTTCGTTTTGCAGATTCGGCCTCTTACAAAGACGTTCGGAATGTTGTAGGTGCCATCAATGTGGCTCATTGCTCTGTCAACCACAGCCGCGCTGAGATCCTGTGACCAGCCACCGTTGTTAAACACATCAGCATCAAGAGCTTGGAGTTTACCGTCTTTGTTAACAGCGACCTTCCAGTGTGAGAGGAATGGGTGTCGCTGGCCAGAAGTCAAGATGTCTTCATCTCTGTTCAACATGCAGCGAACAGGTCGCTGAGTCTTCTTTGCGGCTATAGCACATATTCCAGCCAGCTGGATGGATCGGGTCTCTTTCCCTCCAAACCCTCCACCAAGACGCTTGACACGAGTCACAACTTTGTTAGCAGCGACTCCGGTCACCTGCGCAACATACGCCTGGGTTTCTGCGGGATTTTGAGTGGAACTGAATATCTCCATCTCCCCATCCTCGGGCTTAGGTATGGCAACGCAAGCATTCGTTTCGAGGTAGAAGTGCTCCTGGCCTCCCATCCTTGCGACACCGGTGAAGACGTGGTCGGCCTCCGCGAATGCTTTGTCAACGTCGCCATTCTGGATGAAATGACAATGATCAAAAAAGCTATTGGCTGCAATCGCCTCTTCCATTGTGAATATTGCCGGCAGTTCCTCGTAAGTGACCTTTACAGCTCGAGCTCCTGCTTCTGCAAGCTTCGCGGATGTGGCGAGAATCAGGCCAATAGGCTGGCCAGCAGTGAAGACTTCATCCACGGCGAAGAATGTCTCATCACATTTAGGCGCTCCCCAATAGTTGGCCTTGGCGTCTGGAAGATCTGTGTGACAAACATAGTCGTGGACACCAGGTAGATCCAATGCAGGACTCGGGTCGACGCTCAAGACCTTAGCGTGAGCTTTGGTGCTCAAGACCATGCATCCATATAGCTCATTCTTCTGCACGGGGATATCATCGGTATACTGCGCCTCGCCAGTACACTGCTTCAATGCTGCAACGTGGGGCTGCTCCTTACCGATGATCTCTTTTTCATACGCACGGCCAGCTTCGTGGTCTTTGTAGCCTTTGCTGATCTCGCGCTCAATCTCTGCTATGCAGTCTTCGTCGATATCACTTCCCTCAGGATTCAACTCCCGCAGTATCTCGTGATAGAATCGGTAGAAGAAGCCCAGTGCGAGTGACTTGCGGTATGTGGCCATTCCGCCAGGCACGCCAAAACGGAGATCGAAGTCGTGCTCCAGTGCATTCATGACACCCTCCAGGGTTCGTGGGTCGGTAAAGGTCTTCCCTTCAAGATATTCAACTGCACTCTTCGCACCGATGGTGACGGGCGCCATGCCACCAAAGACCAGGCTGCAGTTCTTTACCACATTATCATCACCCAGATGAACACGCAGGGCAGCGTTGACAATGGCAATGTCGTCGTCCTTCCTCTTTGCCTGCTTGTATGCGCGCATGTACTCTCCCTTCTCCTGGAAAGCAGGAACCCTGATACTTGAGATGATGGCATCTGGTGGCAGCGCGGTGACCCGGTAGGCCTTGAAGAAGTCTGACATTGGTATCTCGGTGACCTTATCGAGTGATCGTGCCACGATCGTCGCGTTTGTTGCGAGAAAAACCGGGTTCAAGTCCGAGATAGGGGAAGCAGTAGCAAGGTTGCCTGCTGGCGTACCAACGTTCCTGATTTGACGACCTGCGAAGTACCTGATCTGCTTGTTGATCGCAGCGAACGGCTGGCCGCGCTTTTCGCCATAATGCTCTGCAGCTTCCAACGCAAGATACTCGAGATCTGTCAGAGTGACATTGCCTCCAATCTCGATGTGATTGTCTTCGAACTTGTACTGCCTGAGTTCTGGTATATCACCAACGAACACTGAGACTGTGTATTGCATGGCCTTGAACTTGACCTCGATTTGCGTTTCCGTGCTTCCTCCTATGATCTTTGCAGATGGGTAGACGCTCTTGATCTCCAGCAAYTGCTCCACAGTGACGGGACGATACCACCGCTTGCGTTTGTTGCCGAATGCGAGGGCTTTATACTCGTGTCGACGCAACGCGGGAGGAAATATCAGCTCTGTTTCCGGATTGTATTCAATGAAACCAGGAGGTGTAAAGCGTTTAATCGGCTGGTCGTCGTCCTTTGACTTGCAGCAACCGCCACCGCCATTCTCGCCGCTCTTCTCCATACAGCAGCCACCACCTCCATTCGCCTTTGCCTTTGCACATCCTTTGCCAGCGCTAGCGCTGAATGTCTGAGCAGCATCCAGAATAGGCCTGTATCCCGTACATCGGCAAAGGTTTCCATCGAATGCCTCCTCGACCTCAAGCTCAGACGGCGACTCGGTGTTCCTCAGCAGCGCATACAGGCTCATCACGATGCCAGGCGTGCAAAATCCACACTGTGACCCGTTTCCTTGTGCGACTCTTTCCTGTGCAGGATGGGGTTTCTTGACATTGCCAATGCCCTCGACTGTAATGACATGTTTGCCATCCACCGATACCAAGGGCGCCAAACATGCATTCACCGATGCGTGGTAGACTTTCTTCGTGGTAGGGTTATACTGTGACACTACAACCGTACAGGCTCCACAGCCACCTTCTGCGCAACCGAGCTTGGTTCCCGTAAGTCCAATGCCTCGAAGATATTCGAGAAGGGTTACTTCGGGGTCTGCAGAATCGAGGACAACCTTGGTGCCGTTCAAGTAGAAACGAAGCGTGTCATCGTATTGATCCGTGATTGAAGAAAGGCTACGTTGCTGGGAAGGCTCGACGGCGGGGGCGGGATCAATAAGACCTGGCGCCATGGTAATGGTGTTGAAGGACCTGTTGATGGAGATCAATCATGGACGGCGATGATTTCCTCCCTGGCCTATGACAGTACAGTGCTCGGCTGACTGTGTGTAGCCGTGAAAGGAATGCAACAATAGAGCAAACAATTGTAAAAGAAGAGAGGATCGATGGTGGTACGAGGATTGTGTAATCCTCCGTCCTACTTTACCTCTGCTCACCTGAGCTCTGCTCTGCTGTTATCGGGCAGATGCGATGACCTTCGGCGGGGTCCACTTATCGCGTGGCGGCTCGCGCACACTTCTGGACTCCCGCAGTGGGAGGTGGCAAGCGGATGTTGTCCCACAGCGGAGCTCAATGATGCATCCAAGTTATCGTACTGGGTGTCGAGTCTGTTCCTACGCCTGCGGGCGGGCGAAGTGGTGAAGATGGTGAAAGGAGAACTCAGAAGACTGTAATGACACTTCCTCAGCTTTCCCAGCCGTACCATCCAGCGCTAGAACCAGAACTGCTCTAGCTCTCTACTGTAGAATACCTGTCCTGGTGGCTTCGCTTTCCACCTGCAGACTACTCGTCCTTGTTATCTAAATATCAAGTCACTCCTCTTCTCAACCCGGGCTCTTGGAGTAGAAAAACTGTAGTGTGTAAGATCCTTGAAATTCTGCTGCTGCCTTTTCACCCTCTGGATTTTATCAAATACACATCCCAGCAATCCCTCACGCACATTTTCATAGTCAGCTGCTACTGCAGGTACACACCTTCTTGACACGTCACAGAGTCCAACCTATTGCATGTCCATTTCCGCACATCGTTGGCCATCTCACGCTACTGCCCCCGTACCGTTCTGCCTGATCGCCTTGGATGGTGCCCACCACTCAGCGATGACTTTCCCCCTCCATGGGTCTTCTTAGGCCGACTGAGCTCTTGAGTTGTGCACTCAAGGTCATATGACAAACTAGAAGAAGCTCAACATTCAAAGAGACTTTTGTAAGTTGTGTGAGAACGATGAACTCCACATCTACAAGTATCAAAGACAACCACAATAATGTCATCAACCGCCACATCATCATCCACCACAGCCGTAAACAGCGAAGGCTCCCGAACGCAAGAAGAAGCCAGAGCGGCCATCTTAGCATCTTTGGAATCAGCCGGTTCAACATACGACAACAAATTCACGCGCCGGGCCACGGACCTTCACGCCAATGCCAAAGCAATCGCAAAGCAGGAGGCTGAAGTCAAACAGCAAGCTGCTGCTCTCGCAAAGGAGAGCGCCAAGTGGCAAAAGGAACTCGACAAGGCCACCACAGGCGTCAAGGAGATTGGAGATGTTCAAAACTGGGCGGAATTGATGGAAAGAGATCTGATGGTGTTGGAGGAGACATTGCGTCTGGCTGAAGGTGGTGAGATGGTTGAGAGTGCCAGMGGTGGAAGCTCTTGGCGATTGTGAGATTGTGAGATTGTGCTGCTTCGTAAGTTCAGACATTGCATGGCAAAGTGCTCTGAATGATCAATGACCGATTGATACCCTACCATTACCGACGACCGATGTCTGATATGAAATGAAATGAAAGCTGGTGCATTATAAAATCTAGGGCAGATTCAGGTACCGTCAGAACTACCATCATTCCGCCCGCCTCCGCAATTTCCGCTCTCTGTGCATCTCAGCAGGTTGGAAGGGCGAGGACACCACACCCTGGCAGAGTCTGCAATCAGTTCGAACGAGAAAAGCTGGTCTCCCCACGCCCACTTTCAATCATACCAACAAGTCACCACTGAAAGTTATTCTCATTCAATTAGAGGCTATSCTTTTCTACCCAATCTGCCMCTATGCCATCCGCCATCCGTCTTTTCTTCATGATAATGCTCTCGTCGTCCACAAGTTCTAGTTACATGCAGCGCTTCCCGTAATATAATGCCATTCATAGCCAAATCTCAAGCAGTTGGCAGCAATACACGCCATCGATGCAATGCATATTAATAGCACAAAACTCCGTTCCTGTAAATGGCCAAGTCAATTCATGCGCCTGCGTCCAGGATTCGATAAGTCCAGTCGGTCGATGCGATGCAGAATGGGTGCTCCCGATCGTATATCATCGCGGGACATTTTTCTTCTCAAGTTCAACTCCAATCCACTGTCTTTGTGAGACACAGCGCAGCGTACTCTCAAGTGTCCGGAAACCAAAGCTCTCACGAGCCAATCAAATGCCGCTCCACACGGGATGAAAAGGCATGTTTAGCATGAGGGAATGCAGCCCCCTCATGATAGTGGGACGCTCCTGGCGTCTTCTTTGTATCGTATCATGTCCATGGGAGCCAGCTTTCCTTGGTCGGTGCAGATCGTTTGATCTTCCTGGTCTTTGGCTTGCTGCTGGTATCACTGGTAGGTGCCGACCGCTTGAACCTCTTGGGCTTTGGCTTGCTCTCTGCATCGCAGCTATGCATGAATTCGTTCTTGGGAAATTCATAACCCGCTTGGGACCTGATATATTGTTAGCTGATTTTGAAAACGTCGATTTGAAAAAGTCGATGAGATGGACGGCTTACCAGTGAGTCAAGTTTGGATTTGAATAGGGCTCCGGATGATTGGCAATATACTGCGTCGTCGGATAGCCGACGGGGTCACAAGTCATCTGGCCGTTGTCGTCTTGATAAATTCGGATGTAGTCCAGGCGCATCGTCGCGGGCATTAGAGGCATCAATCCAGTGAGGTTCAGAGTGGAGAAACTGTTGCTCATTCCGAAGTTCGCAACTATRGCCATCGGCTCCTCTGGAATGACGCGCTGACCAACGTTGCCGTTTGGCCCTACTGCATTGTGCGTGACCTTGAAGGTCTTCTCCTCTCCAACGTAAAAGGTGATGTAGCCATCTCCGCCTGGTTGGTATTCGAATGCATAGGTTTGATATTGCTTTCCGTCATACCAATCGTTGTTCAGAGTAGACAGTGCGGATACAGCCTCCTGATAAACACCTCCCTGGTAGGCGTTGGCCTCTGTGATGGAATGGTCATAGATCTCCATCCACTGCGCTTGCGGCTGCCAGAAGGGATCGAATGGTGCGACTTGGAAAGACTGTGAAGCAGATCCAACGGCGTTGCCAATGGGCGGAGTCAGATATTCTACCGACGCTTCGATGGCATCGATCTCTGGGGCGCTCCTACTTTTCCCAGGAGATGGATGATCAGCACCGCTACACGTACAGGCAGGGAGTCTCATTCCAGGAAGATAGTTGAGTCCATCTGGGTCAGACTGGTTAGGCGTGATACCGGCGTCGCACTTGTCGTGATAGCTGTATGGCCACATTCCGTCCGTAGTCGAGGCGTATCCCGGACGGCCAAGATTGCCCATCGCCCAGAAACCAGGCCAGAATCCTATGGTATCGCCGCGCCCAGGTAGTGAAATCGCAGCCTCCAGATATCCTCCCTTAAAGCATAGCTTGTTCCACGATTGCAACATTCCGGAGCGATAATTCAGATTGTGGTTTTTGAATGCATCGAACTTCAAGTTGAGCACACCGCCCGACGTCTCAGCCGCGTCCGGGTCGTACCACTCCAAATCCATGGTCACACCGTACCAGAAATCCATTGCCTGGAAGTAAGGGTCGTCACCGTCGTAGAATGTTCTTCCATCGTCGTTGAATTCATCGCTGAAGACAAGCCTCTGATGTTTGCCATTGTCACCCATGCGCTGTTTGACACTATCAGGAGTGTCCGGATCAATCAGCCCGTGGCGAACGCCCTTGATCAAAGGCATGCTGTCAGATATGCAGTCGGGATCAGAGGTGCAAGAGTCACCACCGGGCTTAATCGCGGCTTGAACAAAGGTTCTAGGAGATGTCAGTACCTAACGCCTCGAGCTGTGAGAGCGAAGAAACCTACAATATGGGATAACCGATAAACAGAATCAAGATTCCAATCGTAATCAATGCCAGCCCGCCCAGATTTATGATACCGCGCTTGCTGAAGAGATCTGCACAGCTGAGCCTGCCATCCTTGTCGTTGGGATCCGGATTGTGCATATAATCATCCTTCTCAACATCTTCGGGGAAGAGCAGCAAACCGGCTGAGGGCAGAATGTTGTACTTTTCGCTCACGGTCTGCGTGTTTACTCCATCGTCGCTTCCTGCGCGGGAGGGTGCGCGGGAGTCATCGAATGGAGAGACAAATGGACCCGCATAGTCTCTGCTTCCTGCGCTCTCAGACGACCACGATGTCCTCCTACTGTCGAATCCACTGGCAGGGTCGGGGGTACGCCTCGGACTGTCGTCGTCACGAAACCTGCGAGACTTGCTCTTTCGCGGCGGCAATAGCAACTCGGCAGACTCGGCGGGGAAGGGCGAGGAATAGAGCGCATGGGAGCCGGGAGCTGCCTGCAGCGAGCCGGCCGTGCCCGGGCGGGAGAATTGTGTGAGAGAGCGCGACGATGGCTGACGTGCTGCTGTCGGGCGCAGTTGCTCGCGGGATATGGTGCTCTGTGAGGTGTCGAGCAGATTCGCGCTGCCAGAGTTGAGCCGGACATGGGGTCGCATGTGCCGTTCCGGCGGCGACGTTGAGTCGCGATCCATAGTTAAGACAGATCAGCGTGTGTCGCAGTCGCTGCCCTGGTGTGTGTGAGAGAGAGAGAGAAGGTCGGGAAGAAATTATCGGGCGGCGGCGGCCAGCGTGTTTCTGTTATGTATGCGTACGCGGCAGGGTGAGGTTGGGGAAAATGAATGTCAATTAGAAACGAGCGTAACGGCTGCCGATGCGTGCTAATGTGCGGTAAGTGGTGCGTATTGTCTCGAAAGAATGCAAGACATGGAGTAGTGTAGAGTTCGATCGATATGTGTCGTCGTCGTCGTGTGCACAGTGCCCGGCAGGATGCTAGCGTGTTCTCGTCTGGTTAGTTAGGAGAACCTTCTTGCGCCACTCGGGTCCTCGCCGCAAAAGCCGAAAGTGGGTCTCGGCCGCTGCTGCAAGGCACGAAGTATCATCGAAACTTCACAAAATCCTGAGAGCCAAGAATCAGCCCGCCGAAGGATCAGCGAGTGTGTCAAGCGTCCACTCGTACCTGTTGCGCACGCTCTGCTATAGACTCGTGAGATACCCGTAGTCTTTACGTGTAGGTCTGCGAAATGACTCCTCCTCGGCGAAAGACACCCCGCTGATGGCCCAAAAGGTAAGCGTTTCAAGTTACGGCGACATTCAAAATCATCAAGACATTGTCAAGTCGTCTCAACTCTATCGTCACGTGTGGGCTCCTTCTAGTTGAGCACACGGCCTGTGTGAAAGAAACCTGGAAGGAAGTGGATCTGTGAACTAGCCGGGTAGTCGATACTACTACCAGCAGGTGGCGATGGAGGAGGACCGCGCAATCGCTGACTTGGGACCTGATGTCGTTGGCGATGCGGAGACTGTCACAAAAGCGCCCAAAAGGCGGTTCATAGGACGTAAGGCTGCCGATGCAAAGGCTGCTGCGAGGGCAGAGACCACGGACGGGTCGATCGAGGAGAGTGGAGCTATACAAGGTGCGAGTGATGCGTATATACGCTTTGACGAACGGTCCGCTGACTTTGTACAGTCGCTCCCCGACGTCGACCGGCGAGAGCCTTGAACAGTGTCCCAGATGATATACTTCACGACGAGGGTATCAACAATGCCATCGCACTACTGCCCAAGAATTACAGCTTCGAAATCCACAAGACAATCCATAGGATCCGGACTTCAGGCGCCAAGAAGATTGCGCTTCAGATGCCAGAAGGACTTCTTCTGTTCGCGACAACCATATCCGACATATTGACTCAATTCTGTCCGGGAGCGAGTACACTGATCATGGGCGATGTCACGTACGGCGCTTGCTGTATTGACGACTACACAGCGCGAGCGCTGGGGTGTGATATACTGATTCACTACGCACACTCATGTCTCATCCCCGTCAACGTGACCAAGATCCAAACGTTGTATGTCTTTGTGGACATACAGATCGACGTGGAGCATCTGCTTGCTACAATCGAGCGCAACTTCAAGGCCGGCAGCACAATTGCAATGGTAGGGACCATTCAATTTAATGCTACTCTACATGGCACAGGCACCCAACTCCGAGCTGCTGGATATAACATTCTCATCCCTCAGATCATGCCTCTCTCCAAGGGTGAGATACTAGGATGCACTTCTCCACGCCTGACGAAGGAGCAGAACGTGGACCTCATCTTGTATCTTGGCGACGGAAGATTCCATCTAGAAAGTGCCATGATTCACAATCCCTCAATACCGGCCTACAGATACGACCCGTATTCGCGTCGTCTTACTCACGAAACGTACGACCACGATCAGCTTCTGACCGATCGCTCCAAAGCACTGGTCGAAGCTCGCAAAGCAAAGAAGTGGGGCTTGATTCTGGGGAGCTTGGGCAGGCAAGGTAATCCGCACACCATGACCATGATTGAGAATCACTTGCGAGAGAAGGGCATCACCTGGGTCAATCTGCTGCTCAGCGAAATCTTTCCGGGAAAACTGGCCATGATGCCAGATGTAGAATGCTGGGTGCAGGTGGCATGTCCGAGGTTGAGTATCGACTGGGGCTATGCGTTCCCACGGCCTTTATTGACTCCTTATGAAGCGCTTGTTGTGCTTGGGCAGAGGACGGGCTGGGAAGGGAAGACGAATGAACTCACCGGGGAGGTGGAGGAGACAGTGTACCCAATGGATTTCTACGGCAAGCAAGGACTTGCAAGAGTCAAGGAGGAAGACATCCTTCCTAAGCAGGTCACCGTGKGAGCTTGAGTAGATGTCTACCTTATCACATCTACAGCGCAAAATGCGTGTATGGGCCCTCAGTAATCGTTTGTCGTCTGTTTGCACAACTCAAGAAACCCAACAATCTAGAACGCGATTCATCACACTCAAGCTCACACAACTCCCAACGCAAATGTTGCCAAACACATCAATGAGTCGTCATCATGCACTCACTTGACCTCGGCAGCACTCAAGAGAATGTGAATTACGAGACGCGCACCGCTGTACGATGCCTCATCATTCACGAAGATAAAATCTGCATCACCTACGTGAGAAAAGGATATTACGAGACCAGCTGCAATATCATCGTGCACCCAGAACACATCGCCTAGATATYTATTTGCTCAAGACTCCACGAAGCCGTATAGCAAGAGACCAGCCTGTGCCTACATACTGATGACGAGGAAGAGAACGTCCTACCTAAGCCATGCTTCAGTGCCAATGACAGCAGCGATGACAAGCTCTGAAGATCATGGTCCCCAAATCCATCTCACACCGTGGCGGAAGGAGAACGTATCTCCGACCATCGGTCTGAAGATTGCCCCATCAGAGACTACCAAGCATCTCACTTTCAGACCGATCTACCAAACAATTTCGCCTTTCAAATACAAGGTTATGCAGACGAGAGTCCGAGAGATGGGGAAATTCAGATGGCGATGGGCGGTAGGAATGCCGGTGGAAAGATCCCCGACAGCGCAGGCGAACGTCCTGCAGACGTGTTCCATGACAGAGTAGCCATTTTTGGTTCTACTCCTGGAATCCACTCCCCTAGCATTGGTGTATTTCGTGCAGAAGGCAGGAAAGCACCTTGCCACCTGATCGGCTGCATCTTCTAGAGTGGGCAAGTTTGCAGGACGCGGCTCTGCTGCTTTGGTGCTCCGCTGCTTTCGCTCTGAACCAAGATGTCCAAATTTCAATACAGATTGTGCTGCGAGTGTCCAGCGCATTTTCGAGCAATTGGACATGCCTTCCATCTTGCGATTGTTGAAGTGCATCCAACGTGAGTGGTTCATCAAGTTGGGTGGACAGTTGTGGCGAGCGTTTGACGAAGCAAACCGATTTTCGAAGGAACCGTCCTTTGCTTGAAAATTGCACCAAGCAGTTCCAAGAACTAGCATGTCCAAGTGAGCAAGCAGCGACGACGAGCCACGACGAGCCACGACTCATCAAGTTGACGAACCGACTCTGGGTCATAGCGCAATCGATGGAACGCTTTCACGTAAGACCACCACGATTGCCAAATCCGAATCCACCACCCGAAGGCCCACGCGGCTGTCTCGCGGGACCTTCGCCCTTGCCTTCAGCCTTAGGAGTGTTGTTTCCATCTCGTCCTGGGTGTGCTAAGCGCCTACCCATGTCCTCCGGATCAAACAGCTGCGGAGTGGCACTCGCGCTGGGACTGTAAGATCCAACAGGCTCCGCAGGTGAATGTGGTTGACTCCGTCGGGTTCCCTGAGCTTTGCCACCTCTTCGTCGAGTATCCCGAGCTTGCGAGCTGTCACGGGAGTTGGTAGTGGGCGATGGATTGGAAGAGCCCATGATCCTCTCTCGCGCCTCCGCATAGCGTCGCTGCTTCTCCTCGCGCTCAATCTTAGCTTGACGTTGGCGCTCTTCCATCGAGGCTTCACGCTTCTTCCGCGCTTCCTCCTCACTATCCTCATCATCCTCGAGACTGAGCTGACCGAGGCCGTCTGTGGCAGTACGCTTGGCAATGGTTGGCGGCTTCCGGCTGAGCACTGTAACGGGCGGGGCGAACTCCTGCTTCAAAGGCACGACACCTTGGGTCTCCAGCCAGTGAAAGCGTGCCGGATTCTCGGCCGAGTCCCATAGCTGCTTCTGCTGTTCCAGATGCTGCGCCCGCCGTTCGGCCTTGCTCAGCTTTGGCGCGGATCCAGATGTGGTCGCTGTCGTCTGCGCGGCGGGTGGGGTCTGTGGACTGGGTCAGCGATCGGGCGTCGTTGTCGGCGGAAATGCAGGGAAGCGCACATCGGCCGCCTTCACCCAATCGTCGTCCCATGCATCAGGCACAGCGCCGGCAGCGGCGCCCTTTTTGCTCATACCAAATTAACTTGGGCGGAATGGAAAGTTACGTCACAGGAAGCAGGGTGGTCTGGTGCGGTTGAAGCCTGCTGAAGTGTTGGGTGTGAGGTGTGAAGTGCATGCTTGACGGAGGTGAGAAGTTGAATTCACGGACGGACTCGAGACCGCATGGATTCCGGATGGGGAATTTCTGCTTTTCGCTTTCCATGTGTTCCACAAGATGAATTGGACGGTCCATTTGGCTGATGTTATCCTCGCGGGCGAATGCCCAAAATGCATGTGGCTCTGATGCTCAACAGTGAAAGAAGATCCATCCCAGGATGCTCGTCATCGTCAGCACGCACCCGGGACATCGCCATCACCACTGATGCAATAAAATACACAAATACCTTAGGCTYCTGTTATGCACCCGATCTCACCTGCACGCTGGGATCGCAACTCCAAATTTGAGATGAGAATCTCTAGGTATATCGTGGTTCACAGTCTGAACATCGCCGTTCTCGGCAGTCTACACATTAATCTGGCGTGCATTGCTGCTGATGGCTCATGAACAGACGCTCGAAACCTAGACCGGACCTCACTCCTCCCGATCATCGCGAAGGATCGGATTCCCCGCTCGGAGCGCTGGCCGTCCGGGCCTTAGCGCTCCGTCTATTACCCCACGGCCCGTGCCCAGCAGCAAGTGAATGAATATCCGCCTTGATGATGCATCTCGATTGTCATCATCTCATCATCAGCTGCAGACCACGGGATACAATGACAGGATCCGACAGAGCAGATTCTGCAGAGTCATCGCCATCGGACTCATCACAGCGCATGCGTAAACAAGCGGCTACGCGGCCATGCGGTTGTTCAACGATCTACAATGGACGAGTCCATTTTGTCATTCGCAATTTGTGGTTCCGCATCTAGTGACATCAGTTCCTGAGCTAGACAAAAGTCAAAATCCGCTACCGCGCCGACAATTGCTTGCTAGGCTCATGGTACCTAGCAATGAGGCAGCCCCGGATTGGGAGAGAAGGTGTTGACGACGGAATTGTCGAGCGTAGAACACCTCGAGTGTGCCAGTCTGAAAGAATGGCAGCATTCGAGGCTCCATCATAGTAGGACGTGCTGATATCAGCCCTTCCATTCCATTTTCTTACAGGCTTTGCTGACTGCGTAATAAGACTCGAAAACACCGCATTGGTGCTTCCAAATAAGTCGCATGGTTAAACTCAAGGTTGAAACCCATCGTGGTCCCGCGTTAGCCAGCGCCATCCTCAGTATTCGAACAATCGAACCAGCGACTATATATATGTTGATTGACCGTGGCTCTTCTTCTTCACCTTGCAGCCGCCAACGATCAGATATCGCTACCATGAAGTCCTTTGCTACCGCGGCCATTGCGGCCACCCTTGCTGGTTCCGTCTCGGCCACAATTCCAATCTACTCCTCTGGCAAGACTTGCCACAACATCACTGTCCCTGTGTGCATCACTGCGCGCAACGGTGTGTTTGACAAGGAAAAGCTCACGCCGAAGAGCAACATCGATGTGACCAACTTCATCCTCAACAACGCTCGCCAGGGCCACAACTACACCCAGGAGCAACTCAAGGGAGTATGTTAAGGAAGCCATTGTTTTAAGTGACCATCCTAATGACGGAATAGTACACGGACTTCACTGGCACCTACAACCTTTCCACCACATACTGCGCTCCAACTCATGGGGCCCCTAGCACTGTCCAGCTGCTGACCCACGGTATTGGCTTCGATCGTTCGTACTGGGATTTCCCATACAACAACTACAACTACAGCTATGTCAACCGCGCGGTCGAGGAGTATGGATATGCTACCTTCTCCCACGACCGCCTCGGAATAGGCATGTCGAGCCACGGCGAGCCAGTCAACGAGATTCAGGTCGCTCTCGAGGTTGCCGCTCTCAAGGAGCTGACCGATCTGCTCCGTGCTGGCAAGATCGCTGGTGTCCCCAAGTTTAAGAAGGTTCTTCACGTTGGACACTCGTTCGGCTCCGTACAGAGCTACGCTCTGGCCGCTATGTATCCTGACATTACCGACGGTCTTGGTCTTACTGGTTTCTCTCAGAATGGAACTTTCTTGCCATTCTTCCAGTACGGTGGTGGTGAGTCCAAAACTATTCGGCCTAAGTAACGACAAATATGCTAATGAGACCCCAGACTTTACCCAGGCGAATTTGAACCCTGCGTTGAAGTCCTATGTTGATGGCTACCTCGCTCCAGCCTCCGCCTCTGCTGTCCAGACCAACTTCTTTGCTGTGAGTACCGTCCTTGAGTGGCTATGTTCATAGCTGACAAAATTCTAGGAGGGAGACTTCGACCCTAAGATCCTCGAGGTTGCCACTATGACCGGTCAGCCCGTAACCGTCGGTGAGCTCCTCACCATCGGCGGTGCCGCCGCCGCCAAGAACCCTACCAAGGCCCCGGTCCTCATCATCACCGGTGAGAGGGACGTTCCATTCTGTGGTGGAGACTGCTTCATCGCCCCAACTGGCTTCAAGTCGATCCCTCAGACTTCCGCCGCCATGTTCCCAAACACTCGCAAGTTCCAGGTCGACATCGTTCCTGGTGCTGGACACGGCCTCAACCTCCAGTACAGCCATCCTCAGACCTACACCTCCATCCTTGAATTCTTCAAGGCCAACGGTGCCGGACCAAACGCACTTTTGCGCCGCGTGTAAGCTGGTATAAGAACACCGTAATGTTATGATCGAAACGATCGCCAACATGGCTCAAATGTATATACGATAGAGTATACGCTGCAGAAATGATTGATAATGTAATGTGTTGTGAAAGAGTCTGTCGTCCACGAGGCTTGTCGTTGTCTTTAGACCGTGAATTTTCACAAGTGAGTGGAAGCAAGTGATGTTGAATGTAGGGAACTGTGAAGTGAAGAGATAACGATTGTTATAGACACAAGCACCGCGTGGGTGGTGATCTTATGGCTCTCCAATAGATTTCAATCGCAGGAGCCAGCCCTTGGGGACAGACATCGATCTTTCCCCCTTTGCTCTCATAGACGTCGTGCATGTACTTGGAATACGAAGTACACTTGACAGCTAGGTCCTGTGCCGTGGCCAGTCTAAGCATCGATGTAGTCTTCAATAATCTCTCCATTCAATGTCCTGGTACCGACTACCACGCCGACGTCGCAGCGCAAACTCAAAAGGAGCGAGACGATACGAAACCTCGCACAACGCCTCCCTCGTCTCCCACGCTTTCTGCGGACGGCGACAAAATCAAAAATCACAACAAGGCTTCAAAGAACAATGGATCCCGACGATCAAACAATCGCAGTCCTCAAAGCCTGCGCGACAGGAATTTCAAACCTCAACAAAAATCCCTACATCAGCCACGAAGATTTCTTGAGCCGGAGAAGACTTTTGCTTGTGATAGTATTGGTGGTGTTGTTCATTCGCATGCAAGAAGAAGAAGAAGAGGAAGAGGAAGCAGAAGATCGACGGCGAGCTCGAGCGCAGTCTCGGTTGAGAGAAAGGCTTCTCAGGATGAGAACGCGGCATCGAATCAGACTGCAACGTATCCAGGATCGTGAGCCTGGGACGCATTTCGCTGGACAGGTCATTCTCTGAATAGGGAGGRACGTTCTGCTAATGTGCAGGTTCGTGGTAGGCGCTGATTCTACTACTCCAACCTGCGTTGAAGACTGACTGACCGCGATGCTAGCATCGACGTGGGAGCTTACTCGAAAGGTGAATGGACACAGCAGTCAGGGAGCGTCGCATTCCGTCGAGTTCTTCGTGTCTCTGTATATACAAGATGGCCACCTATACAAGCAATTCGTCGCTCTCTGTACACAAGGAGTCCATGCCCAAAGCACCGTAAACCTTGATCGGAACGGCTATCTCAAATGTGTCCGCAGCCAAACGCTCCTTCGCAATGCGTGTGGTACCTCTCTCATCACGCGCAACCTCTTCCATGAGCTCTCCGCCAGCCCCATTCAAGTCACTGCTTTGGCCGGAGACATGTCGCTGAGTTGTGAACTCAATCTTGAGCCGCCACGCTAGACTCACCCCCGTCGTCTCGAAGGAAGGCGAGGCGCTAGACGGCACTACARGGTTGAAGCTGAGTTGGCGGGCGAACAACGAGTTGTCTCTCTGTAAGGCGTGTACTTTGCGCGTGACACGGTGAATGGAGGTACTGCTTCGAAGGGCCAGAGATGGATCAACGTGCTCTGCAGATTCCAACTCCACCAATACAGCGTAGCTCGGGGCTTGGCGTTGGCCATTAGAGGATTCATCGGGCGCTGTGAAGTTGATCGTACCCGTCACTGCCTCGCCCAGTCGGTATGCAGGTCGCAGAATGGTCAAAACCGCGACGGGATGGCCTGAGCGGGTGATGTTAAAGCGATTGGAACTTTGTGAGTCGGAATTGCCAGACTCGCCAGAGGGAGTTGCAAAGTTGGACCGCAGGATGGCAAAATCTATGGCCTCCCTGATGTTTCCTGGTGATTGCTCTGAAAAGCTTTGCTGTCTCGACAGGGTTAAAGATGGGGGCATCGATGGGGACGTTGGCGAGAGAAGTGCACCATGAACGTCCACCGGCGCCTCCATCAGTCTCTCGGTGTAACGCAAAAAGTCTTCCAGACCCTCTTTTGGGGTTTTCTGGTTTGCATCTTCTTTTGCGGYGAAGTGTGGAAAGTTGTTTGGAGTTTTTACATCCGGTCTCACCACGCTAGTCCTAGCGGCGTCTTGCAACAGAACATATGGTGACATGAGATCGTGACCCAACGCATCGCCACGAGAGTCATAACTCCCCAACACACGGAAAGGTATCTCCACACGCTTGACGACCTGACCTTCAGGCCTTTGAACGCCAATGGACAAGTGGTAGGTCACCTTGATCGCCCTTCCTTTGTGACTGGGAGGAAGCCCACGGGGGAGCGAAAAACGGTAGCTGTAGCTCTTCCTCTCGCCAGGGGCAAGTCTTAGATCGACGAAGAGCAGACTTTGGGGTGTTGATAAAAGTGGGATTGTCTTGGATCCAGCGCTGGCCTTCATCTGTGCCATTGAGCTCATTTCATCACCACCAAGGAGTCCACCGAGTGATTCGCCTATGTTTCCCCAACTCAGGGCGCCGAAGAGGCCCGACGCACGTTTCGGGCGCTCAACACCGACGACGCCTCCCCTACCCTGAACACCCTTTCGCTTGACTTCCTCGAATGGAGCTGCATTGACGAGACTGCCATCCAGTGTGAAATGCCCCATAGTCTGCGCATACGCCATCATCAACGTCTCTGGTTCTGCAGGCCCGTCCTTCAACGCCCGCGACGCCTGTCTGGAGTGATTGAACTTGGGCAACAGTCTCCCAAATTGCTGCTGCTGATGCGGGACCTCCGAGGTCAACGTTTCATTGCTGTGATTACTTGCCGAGTACAGTTCGCTGCTAGTTCGAGGTGTGCCGTCGTTTGAGGACTCTGTCATGACACGCGAAAGTGGATTCAGGTTGCTGGCTGTGTTCGCCCAGTTCTCAGGTGGCCGAGGAGAGTGAGATCGCCTCTTGCCAGAATGCATTGTTGATGGCGTCCGCGCGATCTTGGGACGGGCATCTGCTTCGGGTGCGGCGCTCTCATTCTCCGGCGGAAACTTGAAGCTGCTCATATTCGAGTCCGACTTGGACGGATTSCGCACGTGAATGCTCGGCTGTCTTACCGGCTGCGGCGTGCTACCGGCAGACACTGTCCCAGGCCTGCGAAGTGCCGGACGAGCGGGTAGTTGGTGACTGGGGAGTTCGGGCAGCGCCGGCGGAGTGGTGGTCTCGTAGAGCGGCGATGGATGTCGCTGTGATGGTATTCCAGGACCCACCGGAGAAGGGCCCGAGATCTTTGGGGGATGCTGCAGACTGGCACTGCGCGTATGTGCTCTGACAGGTCTCTGGCCGGGCATCGCGGCCAGCATGGGTGCCCGTCCTTCGCTAATGGCCTCGCTGCCCAGCGACATGATGGAGAGAGACCTTCCATGACCTCTCGCCGGCCTGCCATTGCCACTGCCCCCAAGCATGCCCGGGTGCGAGATGCTGTTACTCTGAGAGTGGGTGCCATTGCCGCCGCGCGAAGAGCCACTGACGACGTTGAGCGACAGCGTCGGGCGATGTCCATTGCCGCGTAGTCCGCCTTGAGTGCTTGCCGCCGTCGAAGGTGCCCTTGACACTATCCTCGGCGCAAATGAGGACTGTCGACTATGCGATATTGTCCTGTCCTTCAATGCTCCTCCATTGGATATGTCTGCTCTTTCTGTCCCCACGGGACGCGCTATGTTTCGGAAGTCGATGATGCACTCCAATTCGTCGCCTGCGTACACCGTCGGCTGCCTGAAGTGCACATAGGCGCGGATGTGACTTTCCCGCGTCGCGGGCATTGTGTCTCATTCGCCTGGGAGATTCCTGATTCAACACTCCATGATGTCGATATGAATGGTATACGCAGCATTCTTCCAGTCCATCGATTAGGGACGCGCAACACGTGGCACGTCGTTGTTGACCGGAATTGCTAGAATGCTCACAATCATAKCACAAGACTGTCAGACTGCAGTTCGCAGGTAGTCGGGAAGGACAAGATCCGATGATCAACTCCGCGTCTCCCGCAGCTGTCTCCCTATGAAGCACGCGAAAGTGGGTCCATACGAGACGCTTGGACATGAACAGGATCACAAACTACCTTTGCACTGTCTGTATATGTACTTGTATTGTTCGCTGTACAAAATAGTCCCTCTACCTACGCTCCCCCATCTTCTGCTCTCCCTCACTGTATTGTTTAGTTCCCAATCAACATATCGGATAGTACCTACAAAGCCTGGGCGATACCTGACATTGAAGGTGGCCTGCTCTCCTTGTGGTGAATTGACGACAATGCTCGCCAACACGTAGCCACAGGCGCGAACAGAAGCAGGCTCGCGGAGAGTGAAATGTCTCATCGATAAACATCTTCTCAAGGGTATTATCGTTGTTGCAGAAAGCACAACATCTTGAACTGCTCCAGGTAGGCGGCAAATTTCAATTRCGTCAAAATACTCTCTCCCGTCTGCTCGCGTTTCGATCTCAGCTGCGGCGGTAGAAGGCCCTGCTAAGCTGGAGCCATCCACATGCCGCTGTTCACTCTCACTCGTCGAGACGATGTACGTGGGCTGGCAGGGGCGAATTGCGTTTCCAAATGTAAGGTACCCAATATCATTACTTTTCTTCCTCCCCATTCATCCCAGTTCGACGTTAATCCTGTCTAGAAAACCATTTCTTTTGAGGCCAGAACGGAAACAGAACAGCCACACCCACTATGGTATCAAATCTCATCCCTTCATTGCGCCATCAAAGAGAAATACATGTATGCGCCTAGCTGCTAAGTAGATCCCTCACGCTCATGCCTGTGGTTTGTCGAACAGAATTTCTCCTGTCGTGATTAAGCATCAGCAAGGCAGCAGTAGCCTCATGATCTTGATCGCGTTCAGTCCGACCAGTCTTTCGCGCAAAACGTTGCTGGTCAGAAAGCTCCGTCGCACCCTCTGCTATTTGACGTAGGGCGGATGCAGAATCCACGGGTTTCAGAGCCGGACTACCAAGGCCAAATCCCGACGTAAAGAGCGGTTGGCCCGACACATGATGCAGCTGCGGTCCGAACGCAGGCGAGGCTTGGTTGGAAGGGAAGTAAGGCGAATAACTGGACTGACTTGCTGCAGAGGATATGGAGTATTGACGACCTGCGCCAGTGGATAATATCGATGGCGAGGACGTCGAAGCTGTCGTGATCTGGGAGAGCGATGGCAGCGATATGGCGGATGAAGATTGCTGCAGTCCGGTATTCACTGGCGTGGATGTACGCGCGTCGGTGGGCTCATCGTCTTCCATCTCGTCATCGTCGTCTTCTTCTTCATTATGCTCTGTCCTTCTGAATGCGACAGGCGGTGGCTGAGAGTTGGAAGAACTGTTTTGCGCCTGTAGATCCGACACGCATTGCTCCAAGTAGCGGGTATATTCAATGCTGGCCTAAGCGCCGTCAGTACATCGAGTGAAACATATACAATCGTTCGACCGACCTGAAGAATCGCCAACTTGTGCATTTCCTGGCCTTTGCAAGCTGGAATCATGTCCTTGAGTACACCAAACTCTTCGTTCATCTTAGACCTGCGCCTACGTTCGATCAAGCTATGTGCCGTCTTTCGTGCAATCTTCCTCCCAGCAGCCGTAGTGCCATTGCTGGTTTGCTTCCGTTTACTCCCAGCCTGCGTCGTCGTCTGCGTCTTTCCAGCAGTTGCTTTGGCGTTGGAGCTTGTCGGCGCTTCTTGTTCCGTGTTTGGCTGCATTTGAATAATCTTGCGAGACCTGGTGGGTGGAGGAGGCAAAGCAAAATCATCCTTCGTAATCACAGCGCCAGTATGCTGCCTCTTTCGAGACGTTTCACGCGAAGTTGGCGATACTGGTCTGTACGACGAATCGGAGCCTGTTCCTGACGAGGCCGTAGAGCTGGTACTCGCTCGATCGTGCTCTTGATATGCAGTCGGCGGCAAATTGAAATCAGGCGCCGCATGATTGCCGTCTTTACCCCAGATGTCGCTTGATGATCCAGGTGTCGGTGGAGGATTGGGGCGAGGCATGGCGGACTTGATGGGTGGGAGGTCAGGTCTGCGAGCGTAGTACAGCTGCTCGGCGTAGGGTGCCAGAGCTGTATCTATATGCCGGCCACTTGACGAGGACATTTGCCGGAGTGAAAAGGTCCATGGCGACAACAGAGCAGCGTACTGGCTGACTAGAGGGCACGTTGTGATGGTCGCGTGTCCCAGTCGCTACTGTGGGAAAAGGGCATGGCCAATGGCACCGCCGGATTGTTGCATGAGGCACTTTGAGCACGTGGGGTCTTCCTCCCTATCGCACCCTCATCATACCTCCACCCCACCACCAAATGTAAGTAATGTAACGCACTCAACAGATTTGCGGCCGGAACCGGCTCTGATGTTATTTGGGGTTGGAGATCCTATCCCATGAGTCGATCATGTATGATCGACGTGCATAAAGCAAAGCAAAATGCCGTGGAACCCACTTCGATTGACGTTACAATGGCGAAACATTGGAGGCGAAAGAAAGCCATGTACAGGCGGATAAAAGTAAATTCTTATTGATTTGACATCTAGGTCGTGGACAATTTTTGTTAACGGCATGTACTTGTTAGCAGGAATAACGTCATCATAAATACCGCACATCCACAGAGCCAGCGTTACTTGCTGTCTTGTCTGTGGTGCGCCCTGAGTGTTTGAGTAGACTTGCTGCCCTGCACTGGGAATCTCTGAGCACTTTACGACCTAGGTACACTTGTCTCGTCAGCTTTGGACTCGACGCCGTTGATATGCGCATGAGATTCGAGGAGAGAGCAATTTCAGTGATTTTGATTTAAATGGCGGCACGGTAATACGCAGAAAGGTTGTAATCATTAGGCTGGCGTTGGGACGTGAATAGGACATACCTCTGGGCTGAGAGCACCACAAACCTGGCTTGAACCTTACCATATGATGACTGCGCCTGTGCAACAAGGTCAGCTTAGGCAAACAAGAACGCAGTAACGATAGGTCTTGTTGGTCGAGTCGTCAGGCTCATTAAATCATTTGAAATGCACATAGTATGCGGTACCATGTTCGTTACACACGGACCATTCACGATAAGAATGTCATCATCCGATGATGGGAATGGCAGGAGAGAGTTCTTACCTTTGCGCGTCCGTAGATCGGACTCGATCATCGACTGTTGCTCGCAGTGGGCTTACCTGCTCATAGTAGTCAGTTGCTGATCGACCAACTTTTCTTGAACATTGGTGGCGATGATAGGGGGGAAGCGGGAGGTTCTCAGAATTTTCAGTGTATTGTTTTTCAGGACCACCACATGCACATTAGGCAATGGGCAGCTCAAACAGYGTGAATATTGTTCATCATTGTGCAGGTATCGGGCAATTGGAGTTCCTTACCTGGAGTTTCAGTCAGCAGTGGCTCCGCTAGTGACTGTTGTATGAAAGGTTGGTGATGGGTGATTCGGATCAGTTGACGCTTTCTCAACATGCAACTCTTTCGCCCAACACTCGCGAGGTTTGTACGCCTCGCTTTTGACGAGTGCCGAACTAGGAGTGCAGTCTGTCCGCCCGACGCGTTGAAGGTCTCATCTTCAAATGGTTGCATGTGATGTGCGGGGATGGGTGTACCTATGATTGCAACGTTAGTCGTGTCCCTTGTAGTAGAATCGTCTTTCAAAGTGTGATTATGTGAGTTTCCTTCGGATAAGGCTGAAACTTAATGCTGATTGGTGTCGACATATATATCTTCCGATCGAGGAATGCCATCCATTGTCGTGTATCATCATCAGGAATAAGGGAGGGGAGACTGCTGTGGAGACGTGACATACCTTTTCAAGAAGGCCGGCGTCATGAGCAATGATGCTACTGACGCCGGAGGCCAGCCGGCCATGCCAGGCACGACACTGGCGCTCGAGTCGTATTTCATGGTACGTTTGGCTACATCTTCTCAACTTAGCCGCGTTTCCTTCCTCGAGTTGAATTTGAGCAGATGTGCGACGGTGGATGAGCTCAGGGTAATTCTAGATATATGGTTCCTTCACGGATGGTATGTAGGCTTTGGATTGTTCGTGTTGTGTAATCATTGCAACTTGCGGGAGCGGACGGGGAAGAGAAGCATACCTGAGCAGCGAAGATTTCCATCACGACCTCGCGCAGGCGCCACGTCGGAACTCAATGTAGAGACCGGTCATTGTACCTCTGCAGGTACAAGGCAGGTACGGCGATCTGGTAGTCGTGATGGAAATGGCATTGCGGTGATGATGGGTTTTCCGTGTCGGAGGTGTCGTGAGGAAGTTTTGTGGAGGTAAAGAATTTTGTTGAAAGGCGCGTAAACTTTAAAATACCTTACTAAGCCGACATTTCGCGCTAGGCAGTTCGTGCCTTTCCCAATGAGGCTTCCTACACTTCCAAGTCATCTTCGCATCTTCCACTGATACTCGGCCATTGGTGACCTTAAGAGCTACTTGCTTCACCGTCGGAGTTTGTATCATGGCACTCGCAGTACTACCTCGGCATATTCCATGATCTTCTCGCCGAAGCTGATACACAAGTAGGCAGTTGGCCAGATATGCTCGACCAGCTCAATGAGCCACAACCTCGTCCAATGCCGTGCTGTCGTTCAAAAGGCGGTTTCTGCGGGGGCCAAGGTAGGATGAGTACAATTATCTGCTTTGATATAGCCACTCAATGCCCATCCACCAGGCCCTTTTCCTACCTGAAGCTAGCGATTACATTGGAGGCTCCCAAGAGGAGACGATCTCATTATGCAAACCAGCCAACAAATCARAATTTGTCCTTGGGCTACAGCAGGACGCTAGGAAGTATTCCCTACCAATATCGGTTGGCATCCACGAGCCAAGCGACGACCCCCACAGCAAACGCATCAAGAACACCCTCGTCTGGATTGATGAAACTGGGAAGATTGCGAATCGCTATCAAAAGATCCATCTGTTCGATCTTGACGTAAGATAACGTGAAGAGATCCTTCAATTTTATGCTGAGGTATTGTGTCCAGATCGAAGGTGGCCCCATCATGAAAGAGAGTGCAATCATCGAGCCGGGCTCATCAATCCTGGCGCCCTTCCAGACAACCGTTGGAAAGGTCGGATCGATGATCTGCTTTGACCTGCGGTTTCCTGAGATTGCATTGGCTCTCAAGCGTCAGCATGCTGACATTTTGCTTTATCCATCTGCGTTTACGGTCCCGTGAGTTCTTGCTATTCCCTGGTCCACTATCAGAAAGCTAATATGCATGGTCTTTTAAGGACGGGCGAGGCTCACTGGCTGCCTTTGTTGCGCGCCAGAGCGATCGAGTGCGAGTCTTATGTGATCGCTGCTGCCCAGTATGTTGAGGGACGCCAATGATCCTCGATCCCACATTGATGGACGTATACCGTTGATACTGACTGAGTTGCAGGGCCGGCGCTCACAGTGAGAAGAGACGGAGTTACGGACACAGCATGATCATCGACCCGTGGGGTAAAGTTGTTGCTGAACTGGGCTCCGAAAATGAGAATGGGCCGCAAGTGATCTTGGCAGAGAWCGACTTCGGCAGACTGAAACAGATCAGAAACGGCATGCCTTTGCTTCGACGCACGTGAGTAGCAACTCTCATTCTTTTAGGTTGGAGAGAGACTGATAAGATGTAGCGATGTATATCCGGAAGTGTAAGCCAGTGCAATGTCCTCATGCTCTGGGTCTAGACAGGTTGCGAAGGGACGTATATGACATTCCCATGGTCGCTCAATACAGCTTTTATATCCATTGGTGTCAGTTTCGGGATGAATCTGTTTGCGTTCAGCTGACATTCGGGCTTCGCGGCCTATAAGTGGTATGTTTGTATAGGGTTAGGGTTGGGGTAGTGTCGAAAGTGTTTCCCCGGCCAACACTGCACGGGTGTCAATCATCGGTGAAAGTGCCCTCGGGCCAGTGTAGCGGGTTGGACCAGTATAATCCCGGGTGAGCTGAGAACAATTCACGGTGCCTGTGTCAGCTTATGTCCAGCTCCGCCACTAACACCGCCGAACTCAGAAAGAATTACGTTCGCCTAGACGGACATCCGAAGGGACACTGCCAAATTAGATATTCCACAAAAGAATRGAGAGGGAATATGTTGAAAAGGCGGTCGTCAAACAAATAGAGGATATGTGACATCACTACACCTCGCTACGAGCCTCCAGTCCCATAAGGATCTTCTTGAACACCGGTACCCCCTCTCTCCCAAGAGCGGTACCAACTCCAACAACAKAAGCCCCAACAGCTTTCATCCTCCTGTACCCACCAGCGTCACTTACACCACCAACGCCAATAAGGTCGATTGTCCTCAAATGCTCGTGTACATCCAGCATCTGTCGTATTGTCTTGACGTTTCCCAACGCCAACGGGTGAAGAGGAGCTCCGGCCATGCCTCCGATACCCAAACCACTCGAGGACTTCAAAGCGGGCGTTCCATCCAAGTCAAGAAGTAAGCTCGATCCAAGAGTGTTAGTGGCGGTGATGAAGTCTACCGGGCATGTTGGACTACTTGTTTCACTCAATGCATCGATCAGGATCTGGAACTGATCATGATAGGTGTATGGCGGCGTTTTGATACCGATTGCTACTCGTTGCTTGCCTTCCAACGAGGGAGCTGATTTTAGCTTCTCCAAATACTCGATCAGTGACGACTTGGAGTACGCTGGCGGTGGTTTGGATGGTATGTTGGGACAGGACAGGTTGATCTCCATACACAGTGGGTTTGATATAGTATCCTGAACGTCTTGGATTCTGCGGTAGCATTCCAGAACGTCATCTGCACCACCCGTGACAGAAATGATGAAAGGCTTCGTCTGACGGATTGAATCCGGAAGTCTCGAAGCGGCTACAATCTCCCCAAGCATGGAGAGATAAGATGCTAGTGGGTGAGGGCTATACCCTAGAGTGTTGAGACTCCCTCCATAAGATGTATCGATAGGTCCGTTACGGAAGTCTTTCGACTCGTTGCAATGTTCGCCCGATCTTGAGTCGAAGAAAGTGAACTGATGTATGGCAGGATCATGTGGGAATCCATCGAGAAGACTTGTGCGGGTGGTCACAGCTCCGGTACTTTCATCGTCAAAAAGCGCTTGTAGATCCTCGCGGGTCGAGCACCACGGATTAGCGCTATTGATGAGCGGAGGGTTGATTGAAGGAAGTGGCATTGTTGTTCAAGTTGTCGTGGTGCTAGAGGAGAGCGAAAGATTGTTGGCGATGCCATCGGAGCTCGGCGAAGCTTCGACATTGCTGAACATCGCACGCACGCCAAGGACATGTAGACATATATACATGTTGTCCAATCGTAGATATCCCTCACATGTGATGTATTACGAGGTTGTAAAGGGGAATTCATGCATGTGAACTCAACGAGCCGCCCCTTGCCAAGACTTCACTCGGACCTTTCTCCAACGGTACCAGAACTTTTGCAACCATGGAAACTTGGACAGAGCTGCGCCGTTTCAGCTGCAATCTGATGAACCCTCGGAAGTAGAGGCGTCGTTGCAGTAGTCGTTGAAAAGGTCACCGGCTGGCTGATCGATCCAAGCAGCCGAGAGTAAGACGAAAAGCAGTAGTCAACATCGTACGGCATCGTGCAACATCGTTGATGTACTGAATACACACTTCCGATCCATCTTACGAGGGTACGAACGTTAGGAAGTCATCGTCTTGAAAGCTCTGAGGTTCAATCAAGCCTATGTCAGTCCCATTTACCAGGACATCTTTTGAGATGCTAGTAGCATAGAATTATGCTCAGGCTCGTTCCCTATGCTTCCCAATCGGTGTGTTCAGCTTTGTGTGTGTAGTTTGATCGAATCTTGACGATGGCTGCCAAGACATCAGTGTGGGAAGCAAAATCCCAACCTATATACTCCTAACTGACTCTTCCGCATTAAGAATCACAGGCGTTGTAGCAAAGTGGTTACTGCGATTGACTAGAAATCAATTCCCTTCGGGGGCGTAGGGTATGCTATACCATAGAGCTAGTCCTTAGGTTGTACAGTTGCTAACAATACCCCAGTTCGAGTCCTGCCAACGTCGATATTCCTCAGCACTGTTGCCTGTGACAGGTTGTCTTTTTTGTCGATCGTTGCGTACATTCGAGACCTGCCAACGTCGTATCATTCAAGTCCTGTTGCCTGTGATAGGATGTCCATACTTTATTCGATTTTTGGTCGAAAATCCATTTTTGCTCCCCTGACAACTACTCATGTGCTGGCAAGGTCTCACTACGCCACGGACAACTCCAACACAACGCAAATGTTGTTGTCTGATGCTCTAATCGATTGATAGAATGCACATGTACAGTGTTCAACGAAAAGCTGGCTGGATCGATATATCCGAACCCATCCGATTCATTGTGGTCTTTGGGGACAGCGACGCACTTCACTACTATTGTAGGAGCCTATTAAAGGTTTTCTGTGAATCATGAGCGATGCATTTCATCAAGGAAGGTTGTCTGGAGAAGTTGGAAAGAAAAGGGGTTGAGTAGATTTTCGTCTAGAATTCCATGTTCGACATGCTTCACCTGTAGCGAAGCTGTCGACTAAAGCTTCACCTCCTTTATAAACAGTATATGCAATTGCTTCGATCGATTCAAAGACTTGTGGGAGTAAGTGGTGTGGTCCATAATGCTTCGTGAATTGGTCCGGAGTTCCACACACAACCTTATGGCAGACGGTCGTAGCAACGTGCGAATACTAGCTGGCAAGGATCGTTCTTTGTCGATGGTCAAGAGATGAGAAAAAGACAGTGAGACTCCATGATTTTTATGAACTTGTATCATTCATCACTTCAAGCAGTTACATTAGAACAGCAGGCGGATGGGAGTGCATTTGAGCTTGGTGATATCTGTTATACACAAGTGCGAATATCGAATGGCAGGAAGACCGCATCCATGTCCACCACAAGTCCGAAGGCAGCCCATAGCATCTGAAAGACCAAGCGGAGTCGAGGATTGAGGGAGAGGTAGCGAGCTCCTGCATCGATGAGGTTTGTGGATGCTCGTTCGTCTTTCGCCAGACTCGTTGCGTCCTTGGCCTTTCCCCAGGCTTTATCTTTCGGATAAAGCAGTCTCGGCCGTACATCTCTCTCGCTCGACGAGCTTTCCGCCTCACCTTGCTCCCATATCGGACTGGCCATCGGCAAGAGACATTTCCGCAGCAGAAACGGATAGCCCTTTGAAGTCACAGATCCTCGGAAGCAATTCCCAAATCGTGACTGACGGCTTGCCGAAGAGAAGATGGACTCCAATGTTCTTTTGGCGTCCAGAGCACTTCCGGGTCACACCAGCCATCGAAATCCAGTCTATACTCACAATCTTCAGAATAAATCATCACCTCCATCCACCAACTCTCCCCTCGTCCCACCGACCCTTCCTCTCTCGCCTCAAGAAAGCGACCTTTCTCGCCTCCTTCACCCGCCTTACGAAGTCGCCCACTTCCCTCTCACTGGCCACACCTTCATCCTCTAGCCAACTCTCCTCTATACCCCTCACCAGCAACTCCTGTTCCTGCACGCTCGCATTAAGTCGTTGGTACAAAGCCATGGGACTGAACTCGCGCAATGCCTGCTCAGTCTCACTCATCTTCGATCGGTGCTGCTGCTCCAACGCACGTAGAGCAAGCAACCGCGATTGAGTCCTTTCGCGGAGATTTCTCAAACGGGCTTCCTGTTCCAAGGTTGCGTTGGCCAGAGAGATGTTGGAGTTGATGAGAGGCGTCAAATAGCTCTCCGATGCGGCTATTGCAGGATGAGCTGTTGAAGGATTGGACAGCAACGCGGATTGTAGAGCTGGAGTGGAGAGTATGTGTTGAAGATCTTGCGTTCTGTCTGACATCAATACTGTGGTGCATGTGAGTGAATGGTTGGAATCCTACGATTTATCTTTGACAGWGTCGGGAAGCCAGTTGCTTTCGATTGCGGGAATCGATGGCTGTACTAATGCATTCCGCTGGCCGTGATAGCTCTGTCCGCCATCTAGCTCCGACGGTTCAGTATGCTGTCCGGGAGGTGGAGGGAGCGGAGGTCCCCTTGACGGCGTCGACGGCTTGGGCGGCGGTGGAGGAGGAGKTGATGAGTAGTATGCCGCATTTGGCTGGGGTGTATACGACATGTTGCCTCAAGACTATGTTCTATTGTACGTTGAGATTGATGTTCAAGGGAGGTGGAAGGTCAATGTGGATTGACATGTGCATGAACCCCACATGCTCGTCTCGCAGAAGCATGGACGATGGATTGATGGATTGATTGATGGTTTGATGGATGATTGATGGATGGATGGATTGTGGAGGATTGCCAGTGACTTCATTGCTCCACCAACACCTGTCACATCCACATCCACATCCACCTCTGTACAACACCCACTCCCTCCATAATGCCGCCCACTTCCCTACGGTAGCATAGAATTGCAATGCGGCGTCTCCAGCGGACGTGCAGCATTCCCGACAATTCTCCACCTCCCAACACCACCCGATATACACCATGAGCGCGCCCAAGAAAGGCGGCGGATGGGGCTCGCTGTTCTCCGGTGCCGTCGCCAACCTTGAGTCACGTTTGGATACAATTCTGGCCGAGGACCCCGACGCCTCTGCATCTGCGTCTGCATCTGCCTCTACTACAGCTTCGGCCGAAGCGACTGCCAACAAGCCCAATCGCCCGCGGACCAACTCGGGAAGACTGGCACCGGCCTCCAATGCCGCCTCTGCCGCGGGATCGCGAGATGCGTCGCGGACCAGAGTCAATGATCGACTCGCGGAGAGACTGGCCAAGGCGACACAGCAGAAGTCTCCATCTCGAGTTTCGACTCCCGTCAACGATGCTGGAAGTGCGAGGAATAGCGTAGATGTGAAGCGCCCTGTCGATGCTTCTCGATCTGTGTCCGACATAGTTGAGCAGAGTGTAACGGAGACGGAGACGGCCGTGGAGGTACATGCAGACGGCAAAGCAGATACCGACAAGGTGGGTGTGGATACGGAAGATGTAGACAAGGTCAAGCCCGCACCCCAGCCCACTGCAACGCTGTCCATGTCAGGTCTCCCCATAAACCCGGCGAGGATATCGGTGGACTCGACAAGACAATCAATGGATGAAGCCAGTCACGAAGGTGCATCCACAAGACCATCCACCGACCTACCCAATGGCTCTGGCTCTATCGATACTGATTTGAGCGCCCGGCTGGACCAAATGCAGGCCGAGTACTCCAAGGCAGAAGCTGAACGTAAGGAGGAGATGCACATGTATCTCGAACGCATCGATGCTCTGCAAGCTAAATTGACCTACTTGGCCAATGACACTGTGGCAGCAGCAAAGAAAGCCAACGCCTCAGCAGATTCCGGGAGTGCGGAGAAGCTTTTGGCGGAGAAAGACGAGCGAATAGCGCTACTAATGGATGAAGGCGAGAAGCTGAGCAAATCGGAGATGAAGCATTTGCAGACCATCAAAACTCTTCGATCCAAGACTGCACAAGCCGAGAAAGGCACAGCAGACCTGCAGACGAAGCTTGAACGAGCGGAGCGACTGGAAACAGATCTCAAATCCAAGCTCCGTCGTAGCGAAGTAGCTGAGCGACACGCGAATGAGAAGTCGAAGCAGATCGCCATCATCGAGAAACAGGTCGATGAGCTGCGTGCAGATCGTGAGAACGCCGCGGAGCTGGTGCGTAGTCTTACGACACAGCTTAAGGATGCCAAGGAAAAGGCTGCGCGGACAGAAACAAATAGCAAGGCATCGGAAGCAGACAAGAGCAGAATTGCCAGCCTTGAGAACGAGCTTGAGGATGCCCAGATCGAGAAAAGACTAGCAGAAGATCGAGCTGCTGGCGAAATCAAAAAGGCAAAGGACGAGGCTGAGCGGCAACGTGAGAGGTTGGCCGTACGTGAGGCAGAGTTGAAGAACGAGATGGCTGCAATGGAGTCACGACTTGAAGTATGGAGATCGCATGCAGAAGAGGCAACCACATTGGGTGGCAGTGCCGATGGCGAGAGCACCGTTAAGCTCATGCGACAGGTGGAGGTTCTTCAACAGCAGTACTCTCTTGCGCAGGGTAATTGGGAGACTATTGAGGGCTCACTAAACGCTAGAGTGGCCGCACTTGAAAAGGAGAGAGATGAAGCGAGCAGGCGAGAGATGGATGTGAGAAAGAAGGCCCGAGACGTCGCTGCCAGGTTGCRCAAAGCTGAAGAGGAGCGAGACGATGCTTTGGACTTGATCAGGACTCTGGAGGAAGACGCTCGAAATCACAAGGAATACCTAGCTGGCCTGGAAATCAAACTGGACAAAGCCGAACGCCTTCACAGMGACGTGAGGGCCGATCTCGACCGCCAACGCAAAATCTGGGAAAGTGAATTGTCTCAACGTGTCGAGGAAGAGAAGGCTCGATGGCGAAGGGAGATGCTCGCCTCACCAAGAACCGAATCTCCAACGACCTTTAGCCGCAAGGGATCGTCGGTGGACATACGAAAGCCAGGCATGTCTCGTTTGACGTCTCATGATCTTGCAGCGCTACACACGGACATGCGACCTATGAGCCGCCGCAGCTCTGTCATGCCRCAACGGATACCTTCATCAAGAGAGGGCAGTCCAGCGATTAGCAGACAAGAATCTTCATTCTCATTTGATGCTCAACAGCAGCACAATGCTAACAATCTACCGCTAACGCCTTCCATCGAGGTCGAAAACAGCGAGGCAGAGTACTTTGAACATCGTAACTCTGCCTCCCCACAGCGAACTCTTGCAGATCTTGTTAGCTCCACATCTACCGCTGGTCCAGGGGGAGCGGGGCCCAGTGTCCAGCTTGTAGAACGCATGAGTGCTCTAGTCAGGAAACTTGAAAGCGAGAAGGCGAGTTTCAGAGATGAGCTTGGACGATTAAGTAAACAGCGGGATGCCGCAAGGAGTGAGGTTGTGGAGCTCATGCGGGAGGTGGAGGCGAAAAGGAGTGGCGAGGGCAAAGTTGACAAACTGGAAAAGGACATGGCCGATCTCAAGGGAAGGTACGATGCCAGTTTAGAGATTCTTGGGGAGAAGGAAGAAGAAGTCGAGGAGCTTAGGAGCGATGTTACGGAGTTGAAGAGGATTTATCGCGAATTGGTTGAGGCGAAGGTCGGAGGCGAGAGTGGTAAGTAATGAGCTTATGAGCCTGGTGTTGAAGGCATCTTGCAGAGAGACTTGTCGGATGGGTCTTCTCACGAAGACCGAATGGAATCATCCTGAGAAAGGCTCGGGTTTGAACCCACTAGCTGTAGCAGGAAGCCTCGTGAACGCTCCCAGACACTACACCAGTCTTGTCAATCCCAGGTATTACAGCATCAAGGTCGACTCGGTCTTTGCACGCGAAATTTGACCTCTGGAGCATTCGCTGAAAACAAGAATCTGCTCAAGCGGTTGCGAAGGACCAGTCTTTGCTACGAAACAAGTCCGTAGGAAGACTCGGCAAGCAAAGTATTTCAAAATCAATTCGTAGGGTATCATTATATCGTAGCAGCGTTGCCAAGTCATCCCACTGTTACTATCGTTGCAATAATGGCTGGCCCGAGCAGCTACAAGCCCCAGCATACGGCCACGCCGTTTCTCTCTACGTTGCGTTGGGTAGATGGTCACCATCGTCCTGCCTTGGTTGCAAAAGGAGCTCCATCAAATTCGCCACGATTCCACTTCTTAATGTCGCCGCCGCACAGCCGCCATAGCTTCGCGTCCAGCTTTGCACGGCGATCGATGTCTGCCCGTTGACGCTCTGCAGAAGAAGGCGCTCGTGTCTTAAACATGCCTCTGCCTTGTTTCGGCTCAGGGGTGACGGCACGTTCAATCATTGCCTTGCCTTTCCTTTTCGCCGCAGTGGCGAAGAGCTCACGTCGCAGCTTTCGTGGTGAGGGCGATGGCTCCATTGTGATGTCCATTAACATCGAGCTCTCCGCCAGCGGACGAGGATCGTAGTTCGGCGGTGTCAGGTTCGGCGCTCGCATCGCTGCCTGATGACTGCTCTCGGGCCGTTCGATATTCAAATGTGCTTGGTCAGGCCGCCGCTGGCCACGATAGGCTGGAGTCTTTGTTGGAGATTTGCGTGGGCTTGGAGGATACTCGGCTTCCATTTCATTATCTTCTGAAGTTTCGTACTCATCTTGGTCCATTATGAGCTCCCCCAGAGGGGCAGCGGCACCATGCGGTCGCCGGGGAGTCCGAGCTAATGGCGGTGTGGCAGGCTTAGCTGGAGACCTTTCTAGATCGTTCTCCTGGTCTGCGTCTGCCATGCTATCATCTTCTTCATCCATCGCTGGCATTGCTTGGAAACGCAGCTGAGGCGGGGTGACAATCTCGCCAAAGACATCGTCGCTGCGGGAGTGAGATCTAAAAGAAGATTCATGCGGTGGATGTGGCCGTCTTCGAGCTGGCATTCCACTAGGTGAGGCATCTGACCAGCGTCCTGCCATGCGGCCTCTGACCTTTGCGATGGTCCGCCTCCGGCGTACTGGAGCCTCAGGAATAGGCGCAACTAGCTGCTCTTCACTTTCATCATCATCTCCAGCAGAAACCTCCTCTCCGCGATTTTGCGCTTCCTTGACTGCAGCCTGCAGCGAGCGAGGCACACCCGCGTGGATGCTTGTCATGAGCTGAGCTCTCTGGGTAAAATTGGCATAGTCCTCCTGAATCAGCTGCCCCGCATCTGCATTCAACGCGCTGTCAGGGTTGGGTGTGATCAACAAGCAGCTGATAGTTATCAACACGTCCCGTAGCGTCAGCTTGCTGTCCCAATCGCGCTTGAGCGTTTCCACACAGACGCCCCCTGTTTGAGGCTCTACATTGGGATGGAATATGGGAGTTCGGAAGTTCGCAGTCGGCGGTTGTTGCGGATAATTGGTTGGTATGGAAAGATGCAGCTTCCAAACGCCGTTTTCGAAAGGTGTGTGCGTGGGCCCCGCGATCAGGATATCGAGCTGTGTGAGATCGTCCGATTGCGCTGCATCGGCTGGGAAGAGGAAGTACGGTGGCAGCTCTTGGCTGTGGAGGGCTCCGTGGTCCGCGGCCAGGCGGCGCAGAGAGCGCGAATTCTTTGTGAACCGTTAGTTGGGATTGATCGAGTGCCGTTCGTGCCCGCCGGTCGTACCATTTTGTCTTAATATGCGTGGAAGTCGATGCTCTGATGTACTATACGCCTCAGAATCCAATGCTACTCAGGATGGGAGAACATTTCCGGATGGATTGTGGAGTGTTGGGTAGTAGGTGAGGTCGCTGTTTGAGCTTCGAGATTGTAGTCGCGACTGCCAAAGTTCAGGCGCGTCCTCTGTGCGCTTATTCTTCTCCTCACGCGCTTAATTTAGGGTTTAGCGTGCGCCAATCACTGGGCCCCACTCTCTCGGGATTGACACGAAGATGAAACGCTAAAAGGTGAGGTGAGAGATGTAGAGATCCAACCTGGAACTACATTGGTCACCACAGTTATGATTGAACTAGGTCTGCAGCGCATATCGCGTCTGCTCTCCAACACGCCGCTACGATGGAGAGCTGTCCATGTCGCTGGCACCAATGGAAAGGGCTCCACGTGTGCATACATATCGGCAATGCTCCAGGCATACAATCGCTCAGATTACCGCGTTAGACGTGGCCAAGAGCCATTGCGACACGGCAGGTTCACAAGTCCGCATCTCGTAGATCGATGGGACTGCATCTCCATCACTTCCAGCGATGCCGGGGGGCTCAAGCCTGTGACCTCTGAACTATTCCACGAAGTCGAGAAATCTGTGTTGACGCGCTGCCAGGAAGAAAACCTGAAGGCTACAGAGTTCGAGCTCTTGACAGCAACAGCATTCAACATCTTTAATCGAAGCAGTCTCGACGTGGCCGTGGTTGAGGTTGGCGTAGGCGGTAGACTGGACTCAACCAACATTATTGGGCAACCTGTCGTGGATGATACCGGAGACTGCAAGAGCGCCGACATCACCAGTATGGAATGTCGCCCACCACCACTCGTGACCGCCATTGCGAAGATAGGCATGGATCACCAAGGTCTTCTCGGAGACACCCTTGAAGCGATTGCACATGAGAAAGCAGGGATAATCAAGCCTGGTGTTCCTGTCGTTTTTGACACCTCAAACGATCCTCGAGTGCACGAGGTTCTCAAAGCGATCGCCGCCAAAAATGCAAGTCCATTAGTTGACCGCGGCACAATCAACATCCCAGACATGCCTCTACACTGGGCTGTTCATACTCGCCAAAACATGGAGGTTGCATTTCTGGCAACATGGACGGCGTTGACCTCCTTGGGAAGGGTTCAATCGCCACCATCTTCTTCTGACGAAGACTTGAATGATATTCAGGATCTACAGTCAGCGATGATGAACACCGCAGAGCATACAACATTTCCGGGCCGACAAGAATGGATCGACATCTGTAGCCTGACTGGACGGAAAGAGCCCGTCTTGCTCGACGGTGCGCACAATCCGCAGTCTGCCCAGGTCCTTGCCGACAAAGTGCACGAGATCCGAACGTCTCTATCCCAAAGCGGAGAGACTCAACATCGATGCGACCCAGTGACATGGGTAGTGGCAATGTCCGAGGGAAAGCCTCTAAATGACTTCTGGCAGCCTCTGCTCAAAGCTGGCGATAACGTGTTTGGTGTCGAGTTCGGACCAGTAGATGGCATGCCTTGGGTTCAACCGACTTCTTCCTTGGATGTATTGAACTCCGCAAAGGCGGTGGTCCCTGTCTTGGGCCTCACGCAAAGCTACGGACCCGACATCGTGGGAGCGTTGCAGGCCGCCTGCATTGCTAGTGAGAAGACGCCCGGTAAGAATCTTGTCATCGCTGGGAGTCTGTATCTTGTTGGAGCCGTTCACCGGCACCTGCGAGAAAGGGTCAGCTGAGTTGGCATTTGTGGATGCACACATGCCACACTGCATTGACGGGCAGTGGAGGTTGCTGTGGTTGTATGAGTGGTATGCAGCCGGGGCTGGAATACCCCGACTCCCTGTTTACTGGCTATGTCMAACCCAACGAACTGGGGGATTACCAAAGTTTGCATACAGTTCGCTTCCCACCAGTAAGCTGGACAGAGTTATGCCAACCCCGCATGAGGACAAGGGTTCCCACGGCCGATGTGCTGCAGAGCAAGGATTGCCGCAATAACCAATGTGCTGTAAAGTTCATCACAACCTAGAAAGGGTTGTGCTCAAGGCCTTGATCGAGAAAGTCGGACACTTCCGGTGAACAGGCTTTGGGTTGTGTGCAATCGAGAAATTGAATGACTACGGATCCCGGTAGGCCACGTTCCTTCTGCTCCCTGTCTACAAATGCCAGCAGTGGCATGTTCGAGATCGACTGGGTAATGCCAGCCAGCTTCAGCTTCAGATCAATCGCATATTGTTCAAGGCTACAGGGAGGTGATGGCAAGCATCTGCAATCCTAGACACTTGATTCAGTGCAACACAGCAGTAGCCCAGAGCAGCCTGGACATGCCCTATCTTCTTGCCTGGTTACCAGCAAATACATCCAGTGTTGGCAAATATTCAAAGGTCGAGTGCGGTCCATGCTTGACTATTGCTACAAATTCGCGTCCTGCTATACAATGCAMACGATATGCTGTCCCCAATGCGCTCATTCCATCCACATGCATGTCTTTCATTCCATCATTTCGTTCCCACCCTCACATCTCTGGGCACGGCGAATCGAATCGCCCAAAGCACGGCCTCTATTTCCAACTACAGGTGCGTCGCATCTAATTCCCACATCAGCAACATGAGATCCTGCTGAATGCGAATATTCTTAATAATACAAATGAACCTCGTGTCATTCGAGGCTCTGCTCGCACAAGTGATCGGCTTTACGTGCTCTGCCTTCTCTCAAATGCGTGGGAGATGTAGACCTACCCACTTGGTCGCCGGTCTGTGCCAAGTCACGGCTGTCGCTCGGCGCAAATCTCGTCCCAACACGATACGGCGATATCTTTGTGACTGCGTCTTCATTTGTTGATGTGTTCACGACTTGAACCGCAAAGCCTTTCTACGACTCTGGTCTCGGGGAGCTGAGTCCCAGCATTGATGCTACCGGTTTACGCTTTGTCCGGCCTTGCTGGATCCGCGGCGCGCCTTGAATAGATCTGGGCTCTTTCATGAGTGTCATGTCCAGTTTCGATGGCGTTCGGGAGGTTGAAGGTCGGACATCGCCGGGGAAGCGGCTAGAAGGGAGTGTTGCGGCTGCGGATCGCCAAAGATGGTCGGACGTGTCGGTCAGGAAGGAAGTGCTCGAWTTGGAAAAGATCGATGTCCGTCCTCTGTTGCGTTTAGACAAGATGATTTCGTCAAAGAGCTTGATGGAAGGATCCTCGGCGCGGGTCGCCTCACGTTCGTGAATGAATTCGTTGAAGCCCTGAGTCTGGCGCAGCATGGCCATGTACTCGCTATCGCCGTGGGGCACACTTCGAAGAAATGCGTCCATATTGAAGTGGTAGATCATACCGGCCTTCTTGCGATCACCCGATGCTGGGTGCATGTAGCGACGGTATGTGTAGAACAAGGAGGCGAAACAACGCACAAACGCAGCTCGCACCTGGTCGGCTCGGAAAGCAGCAGGGCAGACAATGCATACCGCAGAGGCGCAACGGCCATGAATCGTCATGTTGCAGCCTGGAGATTGTTAGTGTGGGCAGGGTGCAGGCTGAGGGTTGGCTTACCAGAGCACTTGAAGACATAGTCATCGCACCGCTCGTCGCAAATGCTGCAGGCTGTCTTGCCGTCGGCGTTCCTTCTTTGCAAGCAATGACCTTCTGCCCATTTCAGGCTGTCGTTCTCGCGCACAGGCTGCACAGTTGTAGGTTGCAAAATCGTGCTGGCCGCCATGGTGCTTGGGGCGTAGACACTGGGGGCGTACGTCGAAGGAGCGCCAAGTCGTGATCCAAGTGTCGATGTTGACATGCTGGCATGGTGGCCAGTGATGGGCGCGCTGGGTCTTCGAACGGTGCCCATACGATCAAGACCGTTTGGCTCAGTTTGATTAGTCTTGTCTTGGAGAGGATGGCGAGCATTGAAAAGCGATGTTACAGCAGAGTTGCGTCTTGCTAGGGTCTCCTTTGTGAAGTGGCCCGATCTCTTCTCACGAAGTGTAGACTGCAGTGCATAGCCCGAATCGTTTCGCGAACTAGAAGAGCCATGAAAGGGCCCAGAGTGGTGGGTTGGTGACGCAACTGGCGATGGCGGCGAGGCTCCTGAAGACTGGCTGTTGCCGCCCGTGGAGCTGGTTGAGGGTCTGTCGCCGCCTCGCGTGGTATCTGTGCGTTGACTCAAAAATGCATTGAAAATGGGTGCGCGCGACTGGGGCGGCAAGCTTGAAGCGGCTCCGAACGTTGTCGAACTTTCACTGACGTAGCTCGCTAAGGTAGATGGGTTAGCGTGCGGCGAGAACACCTGCGGGTTTTCCGAGGAGAATGCGTCGTAGGGGAATGTTTCTACGGCATACGCAGGTGGGCCGACGGGKACCCCATATCGGATGTGGTGTGGAGCAGCTGCTTGCAGGAGTGCCTGGAGCTTCCTTCTCTGTGGCTTTGGCAACATCGTAGGGGGCTCTGTACTCTCAATGGTATTTTGATCCAGATCGACCAAACAAAAATCGTCGTCTGGCAGATCCAGCTTCTCGTAGCGGCGCTCAACTCCAGCAATGTACGGACACGGAGCCTCTAACGCCTGGATCAGGCGATATGGAAGCACTGGAATAAGCACTCCCGTCCACTTGAGAGGATATATCAGGCTGATCAACGCCGATGTAGCTAGTTGGAGCATTGATGTATGCGATGACAGGAGGATTATCCGGGATTCGGCCAAAGCGTATTCGAACAGAGTGATGATATTGGGTATCGTCAGGCAACGGAACAGTGCGTAGAGATCGGTGTTGCGCGAGCCTGGGATCTCGTTTATGGCTTCCTTGCGTGCATACAATCGAAGCTCTCGAACCCCGATCTCAACTTGCGTGATTGAGGTAATCGGGCACAACGCTTCTATGCAGAGATTGCAGACGTAGCGTTCCAGCGGCTGCCATAGCCCGACCTTGGGCGAGCTGGCGGGCACTCTGAGGATCCCTCCATTGGACATTGGGGTGACAATCGCCTTCAGCCATTCCTTCCAGAATCCCGTCAACGTGCCATCCCTCCCCAGGATCCCGTACGCGCGAGGAATCCAGAATCCCGTGTCGCCTTCGGTCAGCCCTTCGATCTTCGAGGCAGCGCCGTGACGCACCGGTCGTAGAAGGTCAGTCATGAGACCAATTTTCTCTTCCACTGCGCTGATTTCCTCTTCTAGCATCTCTCGCTCCTCGGAGCCTGAATCAGCGTTTGGCAACTCTGCCAGAAGACGGCTGAGCTTGGCTCTCTCACCAGAGAGCCGTTCCCCAAGACTGCTTGCCAGTTCCCGCTCCTCATCACTCATGTTCGCCCTCCTCCACTCTTCGCACTGACGTTCCAAGGCGTCCGACGCAGAGTCGTTGAGCGGTACCCACATGATGATGCATATCCCGTAAAGCTTGCTGTTGTCCGAATTGGTCATTGCAAAGCCATGCCAGGTCGACCGCGGCCTCTCGTCGGAAGACACCACCGTCACGTCGTTCGGGAAGGTGAACATCGGTACGTAGTCAGGGAAAGGCTTTCGACGCTTCGACTCATCGGCCATGTTCTTTGTAGGGTAGCGATCAAGCAGAACTGGCTCGTACCTTCGCTTCAGAGGATGCATATCAGGGGTGGTGTGGAATGGCTGGGGTGAAGGGATCACCGAGTTGTAACCGCTCAGACGCTTCGATTGCCGAGCAGACGACCTGCTCATGACCGAGGATGCCCTTTTCATGCTGTTCATCGTAGACAGTCTCCGACGTAGACTGCCCACTCCACTCTYGATTCCAGTGCTTTCCTCCCGATTGATTCTTACCGTCTTCGGTCTCGCAATCCTCCTGTTTTGTGTTTGACTGGTTACGGTGCCAGCTGCTACGTGCATGTCCTCGAGGAAACTGTCGCGATCCGAGGCGAACTTCTTAAGTACCTGGTCAAAATCATCGTCGCTCAAGCCAGATCCAGGAACCTTGACTGCCCGAATCGTAGCGCTACTCCGATTACTTGCAGGCGCCTTGTCTTCCAGGCCGCTGTAGATGCTCCCGACACTCCTCCGCGCCTCAAAGCTATACCGCGACCTTCGCTGGCCATTTTCTGTAGGCGAGCCTGGTGTAGTAGGCCGAGTTCCATTCGCGTCGATTTCCAGCTCGTGGTCCTCATCGATTGTATCTTCCACCGCAGATGCGGGGGTCGCTACTGGCTGCTTCTCCTCGTAGACCTGTGACGACTCGATGCCGCAGATGAAGAAGTAGTCGGCTAGGGGCGCAGAGGTGTCGCCGTTTGACGCGGCATGCGAGGCACTGCCATTCGTTCTGCCGGGCGCCATGTAGAGTAGACGTTGACGGCGGCGCTATGACAAAACGCAGACAACTCCGTTTCTGGCAGTCGGGGCGTCCAACGCATTGAAGAAGGCAATCTGGCGGCCTTTTTTTTTTCTCGCAGCGGCGATAGTGATGGTAGCACGGCGTCGCGCTGTCCAATGTGACCAATATGTCAAATCTGCGGTGCGATGCAGTGTGCTAGGTACTACCGCGCACAATTGTCGAGTCGTCAGATACTCGGTACTCTCCTGCAGGTGCAGAAACGCTCCGGAGCAGGTCACCGGGATTGCAGATGCGGACGCCTCAACGCTGGTGCAGGATCGCGAATACTGTGTCAGAGTCACGATCAGATGTCGCCCCCAACGAGCTTGGTTGCTGGTTGGAATAGCAGAGTCCGTTCGCACTGACCTGACACGCTCAGAATTATTGTTGCGTCGGCGATTCGGGGAGGTGTGTGAGGTAACAACAGGGAACCCTGGGCGGTGGAGATGGACCCTGGCCTAGCCGGGCATCAACCTGAGATTGAGAGGCTAGTGTGCTGTTGATACCCTAACTCCCGGGCAGAGTACAGGGGAAGAGGAATGTGAAGATGGAAGAAGAAAGAACAGCGGGTGGTTGGAGACCTCACTACCATGCAAATGCAAACCGCCCGGTTGTTCGTCCACCCTCTCTGTGCTTCCAGGCTGCTCCCTCCCTGGTCTCAAACCTAAAGGATGCGAGGGTTCACCATGAATGTTGCTGTGGTGTTCCAACTACTAGGTACTAATCGGGAAACCAGCCGCTTGAGCGACCACTCTGATAGGCCCACTTGACAGGGAGCGTATTCACCAAACCACGTCGGAGAGCTTCGTCCAGCTGCCTCGCATTGCCCGTCCACGTCCTGCCATAGGTATCCCGTCGCTTCTTTCTACGAAAGCGCGAGGCCTGACCAATCCTCGCTGATGCTCTTGCATCGATCCACCCACACCGCATTTACGTTTACATCCTTTGCGCCGCCGCGTCTAGGCAAACCAGCGGGCCACAAAGGGCACTGATTCGCAAGCTCAAGATTCGCGTCGACTTCAGACGGGAGCTTTGACTCTAACTAATTCTTTCGGTTCCTGCGTCCAAAGGGGTCCTGCGGGGTCTATCAAAATGCACAGGCCGGCTAGCGAAATGTCTTTCAACAAGATTGTACAAGCGGCTTGCGTGTGTGACGCACAGAACAACATTGGAAGGGGAACATCGTCGCAATGCACCATATCGTGCCAGGGTGACCACAATCTGCTGCTATCCGCAACTCAAACCGCTCTACAACAATCCCGTGCACAAAATTTAGGGTACCTAAGGTAGCTTCCAACGTGGGCCGAGAGTTCCGAGCGGTTGTGCAAGAAGCACAGGGGCTCAGAGCTGATCTCACCGCAAGTCCAGATTCTACTTTTTATAAACCACGTTACGTGAAACTAAGTTAGTGTTGATTGAGATGCAATGAGACGTGAGCTGTGAGCTGTGAGCTGTGCAACAATCTATCATCAAAGTCTTTCAGAAAAGACCCGGCCCCCACCTCTGGAGAAGGAAACGCCACAAAGTTACAAACCCACTGGCGTTGACTCTTGCATTGGCGCTACAGGGCGCTGCAGCAGCCCCTCGGACGCGTCGTGGCGCGTACTCAAACCTTTGGTTACACCATTACATCACGAACCAAACGTCGCGCAATTCGTCGAGCCACAAGTCTCCGATGGCAGGAATGTGAGCCGGTAGAGCCGAAATCTGCCGCGAGTCCCGTCGAATCAGTCGAGAAGAAGAGCTGTGGGAGCCCAAGCAGGTTGTTGAAGGTCAAATGTGGAAAGTCTCGAGGTGCTGAATTACACTATCTATATGCCGGATTGCGGGTCTCGCAATCGTTCGAAGTCACAGGGTGGATACAAACTGCGCGAGGGCATAGCGCATTCCGCTCAATCAGTACAGAGTGTGAAAGAGAGAAGCCAGTCCTCCATTCAGGTCTCTTCGTCTCAGAGTAAGCGTCTCTCCCAGTAGAAAGTGCTTTGGTGCCTTCAAGAAGGCCTTTGAGACTTTCAATCTATCCAAAGACTGTATTTTCAGATCTCCGTTCGCCGAGTTTGTAGTTGTAGTCCTGTAGATCGCGCATTCCACTTTGATAAGCCAAGACGCTGTAGGAACGTGGATTCCTCTCGTTCACCAGCCAGATTGATGCTGTAGTGGTGATGAGATCTGCAAAGCAAAGCTGGAACAAAGCCGCCCAATGTCGACACTTGCTAATCGTATCTGATCGGGAGCTGCGTGAACCATTGTAGGGCGTCCTTTTGCGGCAACCATCAGCTTCCTCTGCTTGCTAGGGGTGCTGTTGTCAAGCTTCCCTTCTCGCCCATGCCGCTTCTCCAGTCAATGTGTACCTGCGCAAGCGTCACTCTCGATGCCGCACGCTCTGCCATACTGTCCTCCGACAGCAAGAACATGATCTGTTCGACATCCTGGGGCTTCAGCACAGTTGCGTGTCGTCCTACCTCACCGTTCAACGCCTGGCTGCTTATTCCACCTTGCTCCTTCAGCCAGACTCTGTCGAGCACCACGGAGACCTCTCCAACGTTCTCAATCTGACCTTCCAAGACCCACTGTCGATGCCCCTCAGTCTCACGTCTCTTCCTTTCGGTAACCTTGGATCGCACCGCGATTAGTTGTTGCGACACGAACTGGTATAGTTTTCGGAATGTGCGGGCACGGCCTCCGCTTGCGCCACCTTCGCTCGTATGTAAAGTCTCGGTATAGCTGACCGTCACAGCCAACACATGCGGCCCTTCGTCCTTCAACTCATGCCGTAATGTTCTTTGCAGCGTCCCGCCAGGACTCAATTCATGACCTGTAGCATCATCCCCTGTGCTTCCTGTCGCGTCGGAGCTGTGTTCGAGCTGTAGGGATATCCCGTCATGCTGTGCCGGTGTCTGCAGTTCTGCAGTGATCTTCACCCCGCTCACGCTCCTGCTCTTGTCGCCTTCGACAAGCTCATTGTTCACGCATAGCGTGCATGTAAACGTCTCGCCGACGTAAGCAGCCCCAAAAGATGCAGGCAGCGTTAGAAGGGGCGTCAGCGGCGACGTCGACTTCGCGTCTGCGCTCGGGTATGCTAGAGAGGCTTTTGGAGATATGTCCAGCCCAGATCCAAAATGAGTTTGCGGAAGCGGCGTCTGTGTTGCGAGTGTAGCTCGAGATAGGCGCAAAACTTTGAGTGATACCGCGTGAGGGCCGCTCACAGTGCCTGATCTGGTTCGTTGAGCCATGAGGAGAGCCTCCAGAATTCGTTGCGGACCATGACGCGTATCTCGGCGCAAGCTGCAGCTGTGAAGATGCGGGTGGAGATTTCGCACGTGGTGTAGACCCGACAACGTAAGGGTTGGACAATGGAACCTCACAGTCCCAAGGTCTCCGAGGCGGATAGTCTCAATGCAGGCCGTTCATCCTCAATGTTGACGATATGAAGATCAGGGCAAGGTAAGCTGTGCAAGACGTCGCATACTGTAAGGTAATTGAGTTTGGCGCCTTCTCCAACATGGATRCCGAGTGTATACTGACGATCTTCAATTATTGATCCTGCATGCAGTGCGGATGCAGCGCCGAACAATGATGAAAGTCGATACTGTATCGTCGGGCGGAGAGACGTGGGAAGCCTGCGTGAATCAAGCTCAGGCTGAGCGATGGTCCGGAAAATGTTTCAATTTCGGACCTGAGTACTGACGATTATCTGCTCGCTTCCTGTCCACCTTTTACGCGAGCACGATGGGGTCTGGAAACAACACAAATGGGCTGCTCTTGCAACGATTCCCTGCACTAGCTTTGGTCCAGAACACAGCCAAGGGCAAGACCGCTCAACTTAAGCCCATCACGATATGTTGGACTGACATGCATACATAGGAAGAGGCGTCTTTGCCGTAGCTGATGTACCATCGGGTACCGTTGTCGACATCAGTCCCGTCCTCGTCCTGGGCGTTGAAGAGAACTCAGAACATATCGAGAGAACATCACTATATCACTATACCTACAACTGGCCGTTACGTGGCACCACCTCCAGCATACAAACTCAAGCTGTAGTTCTCGGTCTTGGATCCATGTTTAATCATTCCACCGATCACCAGAACGTCGGTTGGACCAGGGACTTGGAGCGAGAGGTAGTCGTGTACCGAACTCTGAGGGACGTGAAGGAAGGTGAGGAGTTGTGCATATCGTACGGCTCCAATTTATGGTTCGTGGATTCAGATGCCGCGACTTCAAGCGAGGAGGTTGAAGACCCCATTGCGTTGTTATCACGTATCGATCTCGAGAGTTGAGAGGGGTTCCTGGTGATGAGCATGACGCCTAAAGACGAGGCATGGAGGTTCTGTCGTATCGAAACGGAGTCATCGAACTCGATCGRTGAGCACCTTGAGACTCTGATGCACCTCGTCTGACTTAGCCATGTTCACGGAAGCTAGTGGCGTGCCGTCAATGGATAGACCCTTCACGACAGCAGCTTGAAGATATTTCGACTGGAAATGGCAATAGGAGACAAACTCCTCACACGCGAATCAGATGACGAAAACGAGAAGAAGTTTCGAAGTTTGTAAATTGATGCATTGATTCATATCTCATGATCTTGGGTTATACTTGATATGAGGCTCCAGCCCTCTCATCATTCTCGATGAGTTCAAGAATTGCCTCCCTTTTTGCCAGCCTCAACCGGATCAACCTTCAGCCATCTGTCAGCTCAGCTTATATCTAGGAGTTTGGCACCGCTCACCTTTCCACCAGCGAACTGGCCCTTGCTCTCTCCGCTGCTTCCGCTGTCCTCGCTCTCGCCGCTGCCGCCGCTCGTGTGGCCGCCCTTCTTGCCAGCTTCTACCGGGTCAACTTTGCCTCCGGCAAACTCTACAGGACGTCAACTGATGTTTCAACGATGACCCGAAATGCACTCGTACCGCCTGTGCCGACACGCTTGTCAGGCTGGCCATCCTTACGGAGTCCGTCATGCTCTACAGGGCCGTTAGTCAAGTCCGTGGCTTGAGGAGGCTTCAAACGAACCGGTTGGCTTGTAATCAGACATCTTGGCTAGGTAAGATCGAAAGTTGTGGTTTTTGGAGTGAGGTCGATTGGTTTGGTGTGTTGTCGTAGGAGCTGATGAACAGAAGAAGATTTATGGTCTGGGACACATCTTATTATACCCTCCAGGGTGCCAATCCAGATGAACAATGCATACGTATCTGGACTTGGTGGACTCATTCGGGAGCCCGCCTGAGCATCACCTTGACGTCTTGGAATGCAAGTCAGAAACGCTCCCCGAACATTGGAAGCCACATTGCTTCTGTACTCGGTAACGATCTGACGAGATCTTTGTGCTATGAAACTCAATCTGTTCACTTCAGGCACACGAGCTGAACTAAGCCATCGTGCCGAAGTGAATCTGGATTACCCCAGATTTGGACCCACATTTTCTAGCATCACCACATTTTCATGTACGTCCCGATGACTACATTAAGCATGACAGAACGGCAACGCTTCGATCGCCGGTCGTTTCCACCGGGGAGGTAAGTACATTGCGAATCCACGAGGCTTCTGCGTCGAATCAGCAATGGCCAACGATCCGTAGCCTGGAATTGTCCTACCCTTGCAATCACAATGATGCAAATTCGTCGTGATACCATTTCTCCGGATCATTACATCTCGCTCAAAGCAGCCGAGGCTGGAGGCAAACGGTTTCAAGAGGCTCCAATGTGGCCACTGGCTTGCGAGATCTCGTCAACATTGCGTTGATTTGCACCTGACAGTCTTGATCTTTACACCGTCATACACTGTTCTCGGAAAGTTTGAGTGTGACTGGAACACCTCTTCCTTGGAGTCGACTTTGCAATACCAGAGACCGTTCGCCAGAGCTGTTCCTCTCTGAGTTTGGACAGCCAAGGAGTCGCGCCTGCAGACCATGTTGGAGTCGATGCACTCCGTAAAGTCATTGGGAACGGCGCCTACTCAGCAATTCGCTGAGGCCTCGGAGCTGACCCTGCTAGAGCATTGCAAACAATAAGAGTGCGTGTCGTGAAGGCAACAAATGAATTTCAAAAGGCAACTGCGGTCGATGGTCAATGAAGCACTCGTTGGTTGCTCTAGTGAGGCTGGATGGACGATGACCTCGTATACAAGATGACGAGGTGTTGATAGAGCATCCTCTAGCTATTGTCATGCGAGTCTAGACCATGACCGGATGCGCAATCGGTATAGAAACACGACGGCTACATGCATTYGGTAGAGAGCCCTGCCTGTATGTATCGAGTCCTGAAGTCCAAGACTCCAACGAGCCATCGTACAGGAACGAGCGCAGAATTCTGGAAGTGGATGCCATCTCGAAGGCACATGGAACAAGCAGGACGCATGCGCTTGATGGCAATAGTTATTGCTAATGCTGATAAGAGACAATGACATTGAAATGAGGTTTTGTTTGTTGAGTCGCATCTGCCGACAAAAACGTGGAGCCGGCRCCACACCAATCCGTGTCTTCCCCGTGTGCCGGCCAACATCTCCAGTTACAGCAACATCACCGCATCTCCCACCTTCACACCAATCCCAAATCTCCCCTCTACGTGATCGTGTGCCGGCGCCGATCATCCATTCACGTTTCTTCGTGACTCTTTGCGATTAGGGGATTTCACTCCACGGTTTGCGCGCCGCGTTACCCCCCGTGACTGGTCCATCAAAAGGCGCGCGCGTGAGGCTCTCCGACCTGGCGCAATGGGTCTTCCCATCTGGCGCGATCCACGCGAAAAAGTGTCCGCGCCGCCGCCCGATCGCACTGCAGGTCCACGCTCGAGTATACGCCGACGTCCCTCGATTCATGGCCGCCATAGTGCCCATCCGCGTGCACGACTTGCGCGTGAGGCAACCGGATTGCCGCCGCGCTTCGAACGGTCGCCGCCGCCGCCAGCTGTTGGCTTCAATGGCATGCGCAACCCGCGTCGCGGCGAGGACAGAGGCGTGCCGCCCATCTCGAGTTTGCTAGAGGCCGCCGATAGGTCCACTTTCCCTCCTGCACCCGTCCCAGAGTCGGGACGTTTGGGCCACTGGATCGCTGGGTCAGACGAGGGTCATAGCGAGAGATATCGCCGTCGCTATGCTGCGCGAATGTTGCTACAAGAAACAGAGGCGCGGCGCAGTAGGGCAGACTTGCGCCAAATCCAAATGCGCGCCCGGCAAGCGGAGCAGGAGCGCGCTGTGGATAATACGGATGCGGACGAGCCGACCATGTCTGCTTCATGGCGCGAACCCGATGGTCCAGCCGATGCGTCCGGGTCCCCCACGCTACGCAGCGTGCCAATATACGCGATTGTAGCGAGCCCTGGCGAAATGCTGCGCGGCGCACAATCGCCTGGCCTTCACGAAGACGAGTATCGGCCGCAATCTCCAGACCACAACGCTGCGCGGCGGCTTACGCTTCCGACACCACCTTTGGACGTTTCCGGACCCGAGGATGGTCCCCTCATTGAAGACGTTGAGGTCTCTCAGCCCCATACAAATCGCAGATCGCATCCCTTGAGCTCGACATGGCGAATTGGTTCGCCTTCGATCAACGGCTTGGGTGACCGAAATCGCAGTCCTACGCCAGGAGATGGATGGGAGATCATACGCACTACGATTACACCCGACGAGACGCTGCCCAGCGCCGACAGTAGTTTTGCAAGCTCTGCCGCAAGTCGATCATTCAATGCTCCGACTACTGACACTCAGATTACTGAACCTGAGCCCGAGGCTTCGAGCTCTGAACGCAGTCGCGGCACATCAAGCGGAGAACGTCGTGCCGAGTCCACCTCTTCCCTAAATCTCGACGATCTCGCTTGCACCGACGAAGATTTGTACAATACCGAGGCGTTCGCGTCAGACATGGTAGGTTGCTTGTGCGCGTATGCATAGACAGCGTAAGAAAGTTGCTGATGGCTCTGTCAGTGGTATCACGAGATGCGAACACCAGAGGGTCGTGCACGCATCGCGCGTCACGAGGAGCTCCACCAGACTGAAGGCAACCGCTTCGCTCATAGCTGGGAACCTGCATCCGTAGACATTGGGTTCAGACTCATCGAGGAAGCGTTGGATACCGATGAGGGCCGCCGACGTGTAATGCAGATCCGGCAGGATGCCCCAGAAAACATCGATCACTTTAACACGCTGCTCAGTGTGAGCAGACGTATACGGGATTCGCATGATGCCAGAGACAGGCCCGAAAGTCGTAGTAGCCGAGACATGGCCGGTTCGCAACCTCCCAGCCCTCGCCCGGATCTCTACAATCAACAAGTGCTCAATGCGATACAAGCAGCGAACCAGCAGACGCAAGAATACCTTCGTGTATTCCGATCACAGACACAGCAACTGTCGCCAACATCGCCTCCGCCGGACTACGAAGCACCGGCCTCTTCCATTCCAGACGTAGATACCGCAACATCTCAGGACGGACCTCAACCACACCCCGTGAGCCCACCCAGCTTGCGGAGCGAGCGAGAAGTCTCGGAAGCTCTCTTGAGCGGTGACGTGCAAGACCTCGATAGCATGCGACGCGTGATAGAGAGGATCGCCCAGCGCGACGATGTCCCAGAGTCCTGGTGGATGTCGATGGGGTTGAACCTTTCGCGCACAAGACCCAGAGAGCGTAGTGCAGAGCGCAGACGGCTCGAAAGAGTCCATGCTGAAACGAACAGAGTGAGGAGCGGGCGTGTCGAACGCGGAAGCTCAAGATTATGATGATTAACGCGATGAGATGATGAATGGAGTTATTTAGTGGGTTGTGGATGATAAAGAATTTGGGAGAATTCACGTTTAGCGGAAAGAACCATGTATCATTATTTTCTTCATGTTTGGATATCTGCAAAAGCAAGGGTTTGTATGAGGACCAAACCTGCTCAACGAGACATATTTCAATGTACGCTTACCACCAGACACAGGTCGTAGAGGCAGGATATTGCACGAGTCGCGATGGAGGTTGCACGCATGGTCCGATATGTGAAGGCTGGTCGAAGCTTCCGCTCATATTGTTACGTCTACATCCAGTCAAGACGTTCAGGTTGAGAAGTATAGCATCGTGGGGCACTGTCATCCCCTTGATCTCTCTACTTCTTCGGCTGTCCAAATACAATAGGCATTCCCTCTTTCCAAGTAGCCGAAACAGGCGGACTCTTGGCCATAGCAACAGGAGGCGGCTGAACAGCAACCCTCTGCGGCATTGGAGCGGCAATTGGCGGTTCGTCCACCACTCTTGATTGCTGTTGAAGGGGAGCCTGATGGTGTTGCTGTGCCCGTTTCTCACTCAGCAGACTTTGCGCGTGGGTACTTTGTTTCAGCTGAAGATTCGCCATGGCACTCTCCACATCCTCTTCAATGACCTTCGCTTCATTTCGTCTGGTATAGACGAAGTTACGGCACTCGTCTCGAAAGCGAGTGGTGATTCCTGAGAGTTCATTGTAGAAGGTTCGGGATTTGTTCAAATCCCTCATGATCTCTTTGTATGTTGTGTATGCATTCTCAAGGCTTTGAAGGGCTGTTTCGCGCTCTTTGGAAGATGAGTCCCCGCGCTTCGTGATCTGGAAGGTGTTGTTCGTCTCTGTGACCCGATCCAGAAGACGCTGCTGTTCAATGTCTTCCTTTTTGAGGTCGTTGCGGTCTGAATCGTATCTTTGCAATCGTGTATCAAAGAGGGGCTCAAACTGAGACGCTTGTACTGGCATCATGGGAAACTCGCGCTCCAGGCGCGCTGCCTCTTTCAGTAGGTCCGGATTGACATCGTCCTCTTTGGCCTTGGTCCGCAACGCGTCTACCTTTTTACGTCTCCGACTCTCAAGTCGGTTGATCTCGTTCAAAGATGCGCGAAGTGCATTGGCTTCGCGTTCCACTTTCGCGGTCATGGTCGCTCGTCGACTTGACGGCACATAATCTTCCAAGTCCCGGTCAGAACCTCCAAGCAGTCGGATGAGACTCTCACTCTCCCGTAGTCTTTGTTGGATCATCTTATCAGATCCGTCGGCTTGCTTCAGATATGCCTCAATGTCATTGACTTGTTGATAAAGCTTCGGAACAACTTCTGCCGCCGCTTCACGATTCCAACGATCTGTTCCAAATTTTCTTCTCGCTGCCTCATCTTCGCTTGCTTCGGTCCGGAGGAGTGCAATGCCTTCTTGGTACATCATACGGTTGTTGGCTTTGATCTTTTCTGTATCCGMAATCGTTGAGTGAAGCCTATGAACACCGTTGGATTGCCGCACTTCCTCTGCGTGACTAGCAAGACCAGGAGGTAGTCCCAATGGCTTTTCTAGCGCCTGTAGGGACCCCGGAAGATTGAGACTCGCGAGCAATTCGTGAATGCTCTGTGTCATTGCTTCCAACTCGGCGATGATGGTGTTGTTGACGAGCCTGTCTCTCCTGTCGGCGTAGATCGATGCAGCAACATGCACACTGTACGGTACGAGTTTGGTGAATAGCGGCTTTCCCAATTCGCCCCGATCTCCAAGTAAGTCTTGTGAATCAGACACCTCTTTCGGCACTCTGGCCTGTACCATACTTGCACGATCCAAGGCTGWCAGCTCGCTCTTCGTAGGCTCAGGCTGAAGATAAATGGTATCATTATCCTTCTCTGCTCGTTTGAGATCCTCCGAGACTCGATTCTTGAGACCGTTCAAGTCTCCCAAGACTGCTTTATTGACATGTCTAGCTTCGCCCAACGCCATGTTGACGCAGCTGAGACTATCTCGTAGCCTTGCAACTTCCTCCCCGTACTTTCGCTTATCCAATGCATCGCACGCAGCACGGTATTGAGCGGCTGCGGCAAAGTGGTGATGCTTCGAGTTCATGTGGTGTATCCATTCGCTCCGTACGCTCTCGGACTTGACAGACCAATCGTTTGCGTCGTTGTAGAGGTCGCTAACCTTGGCTGCCAACTTTGCAATAATACTATCCTTGATTCCGTCCTTGACGGCCTTTTGCCAGAAGCACTCTTGCGCCTGCGCCAACATCAAAGCTTTCAGGGCTTCCAGCGTGGCAGCGTCCATATCCTCCGGCGGACTACTTTTGAGGTCCGGAATGACATTGTCGTTGAGGTGGGAGAAGACACCAGCAGCGAAGCAAAAGTTATTTGCAGCGTTCTTGAGGCCGTCCGTCGTTGCTCGATTGGAGGACAGGGCTAGTTGCGAATACATGGCGGCTAGATTGAAGAGGACGTTGGCGAGCTCGAAACGGATGTTGTTCTCGGTATGGGCTCGATTGGTGTGGTATCCCAAAGAGGGATACCAAGTGAAGTCTGCACCTATCTTTCACAATCATGAGCCTCAACAACGATCATATACATCTACACTCGGTAACGTACATCGACGGGGAATTTCCCTCCCATCCACACCAACTGCGCGGCATACGACTGCAGCTTCCTGACACCGCTACTATGCGGCTCGAGGGCGTTGACGGCATCTTTGCGCAGGTGATCGATAATCTCCAGATCGCGTGCAAACGTGTCGGGATGTTGATCGTACTTGGTCGAGATATAGTTCCGGATCGCTTCCGACAGCTGCAAGCTGTGCGTGCGCCGGAATGGGATCTGGAGGATGTTGCCGCTCTGCATGTTGCATTTAGAGGGCGGGTGGAAGTTTCATGGCCTGCACGTTGTCCCTCGTGGTCGGTGTTTCGGCCAAGTTCCTGATCGACCGCGGGAATGGAATTCTGTTTACCTGGCCTGCGTCACCGTCACAAGAAAAGGCCCCGCCGTGCTGGAATGGGAAGGTGGCGCGAGAATCCAATCGCCGCGGGGAACAGTCAAGCCGAGTGAGCAAGTTTCCCTTCATGGATGTAAGGTATCCATAGTGCCCAGGTGAGGTAAGATCGCGGCCAGCTGTCGTGACCTCGAGAGCTTCCAGGTTGTGTACACGAAACTGCCTACTGCAAGAGCACTCCATTCGTTCCCGTCCATTCTCAGACTTAAATTGAAGGCGWGCTATCAAACACAAAGGCCCAATTTTCCTCGCTCTCTCAACAGTCGCTGCCATCAACCCAGCCCACTACTCTCCATCCCTACTCATATCCACAGCATCACCTGGATAAATCATTGAACAACAAACAAACGACAGCATGTCTCACACCTACGAATTCAACATCACCATGACCTGTGGAGGCTGCTCCGGCGCCGTTGACCGGGTCCTCAAGAAGCTCGATGGTGAGGAGAAGTGATGGCAATCCAACAATAGCCCCCGACAAGCACTGACGATGATCCTTCACAGGCGTTGAAAGCTACGATGTATCCCTTGAAAACCAGACCGCCAAAGTCGTCACGACCACCCTACCATATCAGACTGTCCTGGAGAAGATTGCAAAGACCGGCAAGAAGGTGAACTCGGGCAAGGCTGACGGGTTGGACCAGCCTGTGACGATATAGGTCGAAATGGTGGGCAGGATTACAGACATGTCGGCGCGACGAGGGGAGGATCAAAGTGCTTATACCTCTGCCACATTGGCAAATAGACTTTGACGATAGCGACCTGCTAAGGCATTCATGACAACTGCCGCGGGAGGTTGTCAGAACATGATTTGTTTCACGTGTAGGGCAACTCACGTTGATATGAGATCGACACAACGAAGACTCTATCTCTGACATAACAAGAACTTAGTTTCATTCTACATGGCTGGAATCATATCATCACTTCCTCAACGACATCTAAAATCTGCTCTCCACCTTCTTCTGGATGTCCTGGRGTGCCCATTCGCTGCGCATCTTCTTGCTGCGGACAGCGTCGGCCTGGGCCTTTGTGAATCCCTTGGCCTCAACAGCAGGGTTGTAGCCAAAAGCGCTCTTCTTCGCAACCTCTTCGTTGCTGACCGACTTGGGTGCCTTTCCATCTGCACGCTTGTAGACGGYGACGACAACAGCGCCTCCCAGTCCAAGATTGTGTGCCAACGCGACGGTAGTGTTTGGCACAAGACGGTTGTTGGCCCAGCCTCGCAGATGCCAGATCAGCTCACAACACTGTGCGAGACCGGTGGCACCAAGCGGGTGACCCTTGGAAATAAGACCTCCTGAAGGGTTGATGACCATCTTGCCACCGTAAGTGATGTCGCCCTTGCGAACCATCTCGTGTGCCTTTCCAGGCGCGCTGAGTCCAAGAGCATCGATGACAATCATCTCATTGGCACTGAAGCAGTCGTGGAGCTCGCACACCTTGACATCCTCTGGTGTAACGCCGGCCTCCTCCATGGCGGTCTTGGCCGCGAATCTGGTCATGTCGATTCCCATAAGGTCGATAGCGGAGCGGGAGAAGAGCGAGGGAGCGTCGGTTGCAAGGGTCTGGCCAGCAATCAGAATGGCCTGGTCCTTCAAGTGTGGACGGGCATCGAGGAAAGCCTGTGAGACAAGCACGGCAGCGGCACCACCATCGCTGGTTGGGCAGCACTGAAGCTTCGTGAGTGGCTCGTGGATCATGGTGGATCCCATGATTTGCTCGAGCGTGTATTCGTCGGTGAATTGCGAGTAAGGGTTGCGCTTGGAATGCTCGTGGTTGATGCGTCCGATCTCTGCGAAATCCTCATTCTTCGCACCGTACTTCTCCTTGTACTCCCGTCCAGCGTTTCCGAAGAGCTGCGCGGCTCCCGGGGCGTTGGTGAAGCCTCTGGTAGCCTTCACCATGTCGTTGGTGGTTCCGGTTGGATTGGCACGGTCATTGAAATATGACTGGAGCGATCCTGGGTTCATCTTTTCAAATCCAACAACGAGAATTGCGTCTGCCATGCCACCTGCGATCATTGTTCGTCCAATATGGATTCCAGTCGATCCAGTTGAGCAGTTGTTGTTGACGTTATAGATGGGGATTTGGGTCATGCCTGTATCGATGTGTTAGTCGATGCCCCTTGATGCTCGATTCATAAGTCATAGCAACTCACCGAATTGGTAGAATACTCGCTGGCCACAGGTAGAGTCGCCGTAACAGTAGCACGCAACACCTGCGTCCATTTCATCGTAGTTGACCTGGGCGTCAATCATGGCCTTAACACCGGCTTCGAAACCAAGCTCAGTATAGTCCACCTATCGGACCAAATTTTAGTTAGCAATCATGTACCCAACGCAATTCACACATGTGCGCTTACCTTGCCTCTCGGCTTGATGAACTTGGTCTACAGAAGAACRGKCAGCGATGTTTCATTGACAGGATACGTCGTCTTTAGGCAGAGTAGCCAGAGGTGGTAAAGGGAGCAACCAGGGTGGCTAAATCGTCTCAATCATATTGATTGATGATCCTGCTCTCCTGTGTGTTGCCCTCAATTCCATCTTGATCCACTWCATCGAGAGACTGTTTTCATTGCTTACCATGCCCACACCGAGAACGTAGACCGGCGCCTTCTTCTTCGATGCCATGTTCATGTTGGCCATATTTGCGGTATTGTTGATTATGAGACGACTGATATGGGATACGTCTATTGGGAGCAGTTGTTTGTGAAATGCTTACGGCGACGTCAAGTATATACCCAGAGCTTGTGGGGTGAAGCTGGGGTTAAGTGTGCATCACAAGCAGACAGCCGATGACCGAGGTATACTACGCTCGGACCTTGGCGATCACAAAGATGGCAATCCTCCGTCTCAAACGTATAAAAGAAGAGCCGCTGGAATGACAGATGCAGTTCTACCAGGGGCTTCTAGCCTGCGAGGAACCGTCTCTGCCCGGTTKAGTCCCCATGTCGATAATTTGTGCAAACGGGTTGGACTGGATATGCCTCCACGGCAAATGCGGTAAACACAATAGAAGAAAAATGAGCAATGCAGACGTAATTTTGGGTCGTGGCATTTCTTTGTAGCAAGCGGAAGCGGAACTAGGAAGAGTGCCGAGTGCCGGACGCCGTAAGTGGTGTGTGGAACTTTGTGATCATGACATTTGTCTGTCGACTGCGTCCCACGGCGTGCTGATGTAGCCTTCCGCAGCAGTCGAGTCGTGATGCTGCCCTGCGCAAATCATGCCGTCGCCCTCATAACGCCCAATTCCCAGCCATGCAAACATCTACGAACGTGGCTTCTCCTTCTTCTCCTTCCACAGAGCGCTGAGACCCACGCCGGAAACCTTGACGACCTTGAAACGCACACCGGGAATATCACCCTTGGCCTTGCCTTTGCGACCGAATCCAGCAAGCAGGACCTCGTCGTTCTCGTCGACAAAGTTCAAGCAACCGTCATTTGGCACTGTGGGGTGTTAGTAGGTGTTGCGATCTCGCGGACATTGCATGAGAAGTGCATACCGAAAGCGGTGACCTTCTTTCCGTTCTTGATGAGCTGCACACGCACACACTTGCGAATGGCAGAGTTGGGCTGCTTGGCCTCAACACCGACCTTCTCGAGGACGATTCCCTTGGCGTGTGAAGATCCCTTGGATGTGTGTTAGTTCAAGGTCCATCTGCATCATCTTCTTTCAATTCCATCTCTCCCATCTAATCTGCATCCTCCTCTTCTCGTTGAAATATCGTGGAATGCGGGCGGATGGTWCGTACTCCGAAAGGCGAGGACTTGTAGGCTGTTCCGAGTAGGCGCTTCTTGTAGTGAAGATCGGCCCACTGTTGCTCACGGCGGTGGTTGCGCAGCTTGCGCGCGGCCAAAAGACCTCTTGGCTTTCCCTTTCCCATGATGACTGTGAAGAAGAGCGGTGTCAGCGGGGGTTGTGGAATGAATGTGGTGCGGTAGAGGTGGAAGTCGAATTTTGAGTGGTGGAAGCGGCGGGTGCGCGCATTGATTTCGCCACGAGTGCGTCTGATGAGTCGTATGACCGTCTGATCTCCTCTGTGTAGTGTAGGGCGGTTGAGGGAGTATACTCACATGTCTGGTTGGTGGACAATTCAGTGTGAAGTTGAAGAATGATTTTTGTTAGGCAGTGGAATTCCGCCAAGCCGGTTCGATGTGGACAAAAGTCGCGGTATCCAAATTCTCTCAGCATGAGCCATTTTTTGGGGGCGAATTGCACGCACTGGACAACAAACAGCATGGAATAATGATCAGGTCACAAGAAACACTTTGCAGGCCTGCGTGGACTGGAAGCAATTCGTAACGAAACATGCTTTGAGAATACAAGAGCCGAATGAGGCAACATCCAAGTTGAATGTGTATCAGGATCTGTCATATCGTCTCCTCTCAAGCAAGACGTTCAACCCTTCCTGCCTAACAGCCCATGAGTTGATGACCGTCCACTCCCTGTCGGGATCCTCCAATTTCATCTCATACCTCAGAATCAATGCCGGCACAACCTTTGCCAACTCCAACATTGCAATGTTCCTGCCCAGACACGTTCGTTTGCCAGCGCCAAACGTGAGGATATGCTGTTCCATATATTTGACCTTCTCAGCGTCTTCGCTCAACCAACGCTCAGGTCGCCAGCTTCCTGCATCGTCGCCAAAAATACTCCGGTTCCTTTGAAAGACCCAAGGATTGATGCCCACTACCGTCCCAGATGGAATGAAGGTCTCTCCAATCTTCAAACCAGCTGCGGGCACCACGCGTTCCAACGGTAACGAAAGGGCGGGGTTCAGTCGGAGAGCCTCCTTGATTACAGCCTGGAGATATGGAAGCTCCTGAACTTCCTTCCACGTCGGCAGGGGTAAAGTAAGCGCACCAAGTGCGCACGCTTCGCTGAGTTCGGTGCAAAGTTCGCTCATGCTGGCTGGGTGCTTGAGTAGATAGTAAAAGACGGCCTTGAGGGTCGAGCTGATGGTATCAGATCCCGCGTTGATGTTGATGAATAAATAGGCAAGAACCGCGCGATTTGTGACCACATCTGGCTGCTCCTCGTGAAGGGCCAAAAATCGAGAAAGGAAATCTGGCTTGCTGGGGAGCGTGCCATGTAGGACTTTGTCGCTGAGTTCTGGGTCTTCTATACTCAAGGCTGTCCCACTTCCGTCGCTGCTTCCTTCAAGCCGCTCGTCTAGCCGCCTCTGGCCGAAGGCAATGATGGGATTGACATTTGACTTCGCGAAGAGCCGGTACAGGGGATTCTTGTACGTCCAGAGATCCAACCATGGCATCTGACCAAGTACAGAACAGCGATCGAAATTGGCGGCTATAGAAGCAGCGATGTCTTCAACRTCCTGAGCACGCTCGAGAAAGCCTAGGCGTTTTGAGAGCGTCAGCTCCCCAGTAACATCGAATGCATACCACTGTAACCAGGTGCCTACAAGCAATGTCAGCCCATCCCATCGCCTCCGGCCCTGCTTTACTCACCCAGATCGCACACTTTACCAGACCCAGCGAATAATTCGTCGAGCCTTGATAAGAAGACAGCGGTTGTGGAGTCCAATAACGGCTCGAATTCTACCAGAGTCGAGAGCGAGTATGCAGAAGCTATTGGACGCTTCATAATAGCATGCTGTGCCTCGTCTGTGGTGAAGACCAGAGAGGCCGTTCTTTGACCATTGACAATGTTCTGCCACACTGCATAAAAGTCGCTTTTCGGAGCCTTCACGTTGATGCCATAGATGCTAGAAATCGCATCCGGATCGTTGATGCTGATGCAATTTGGACCGATTCGAACCAAATCGCCGTACTTTTCATGGAGCTTAAGGTATGTCTCGTGAGAATCTCTTCGATGAACTACTCGCAACCGCCACAGGTTCGTCAGTTTCGCCAAGAGGGGACCCGGGATCCCTCGTAGACTTGAGAATGTGCTAGAGAGATGGCCGGCTACCAGCAGAAGAAAGAGAGTGGGTACAATCGAGATGGGCGTGGAAGTAAAGAGGGCCGAGAGCGTGTCGGCCAACATGATGTGAGTATGAGAGCTGGTGAAAGTAGGAGATTGTGAGAACTGGGATTTCTCCTTGCTCTTGTAGAATGGCAGGATTTAATGTGTTATGGACCTACCAGCGAACCTTCGATCATGTTGCGGACCAAAGGCCGTGTCCCAAGTGAGAGAAATGTCGGTAGGAGCGGAATGATACCGTCCAGGTCCGGCAGCCCAAAGCCAGGAAATTGCGTCAATTACCTAACGTACTCCGGCTTTGAGATTTTTTTGAAGTCCACCTTCTGAAGAACTGCTGAATACAGCACTCCAGCACGGATCTCGTCACCATGGCCACAACATCGAAACCGTTCGTCGCGACACTCCGGAAATCACCACACGAATTCCTTCAACCTTCCTTGCCCCTCTACACGGATGCCATCGCATACTTGAAGAACTTCCTGGACCCACTAGCACAGGATGTCAGCGCTGAGCAACAGCAACGGCTGAAAGAAACGCGCAAGAAACGCAAACGAGGCCAACCGGGTGGAGACGAGGAGGTCCTGCGTCTCAAGCAGCTTCATACTGACGGCTTTGGCGTCGAGCAAGTTTGGGAGCAAGCGAGACGGGTTATTGATGCTGCGCGGGACGAGGCTGAGCGAGAATACGAGCTGGCACGACAGCAAAGTGCTGAGGCTGATGATGTGCCCAGTGGGAGAAAGGCAGTGAAGTTTGCAGATGAGCCTGAAGAGGACGACGAGGCTGGCGACAGCGAGGACCTGGGCGTGGAAGGGGTAGACTTTGAGGTCGAAGGCATAGATGATGGCGAAGAGGACTGGAGTGACGAGGATGAAGAAGGGAGTGACGATGACGGCGAAGGTGAAGACGCTCTTCAAGATGCTCTTGACGGAGAGGACATGGACATGGATATGCACGACGACTTCGACAACATGAATGAAGATGGAGAGTCTGAAGAAGAAGCACCGGAGCTTGTCACCGACAAATTTGGACTCAATGATGGCTTCTTCTCCATTGACGATTTCAACAAGCAATCGGAATTCCTTGAGCAGCAAGATGCGCGTGGCGACGATGATGGAGCTGCCAGCGATGAAGAAGACGTTGACTGGGATGCTGATCCGCTCGGAAAGGGTGCAGGAGCTGTCATCACAGACGGCGACGACGCTGAAGCTGGTGCCGACGGTTCCGAAGACGAGGAAGGCGGCCCAATATTTGGCGATCCAGATGCGCCTAGCRAGGACGAAGATGAAGACCTAGATGGCGGGGATCTTGATGGCATGGGAGGYATGGGCAACACCAACGATGTCATGTATAAGGACTTCTTCGCTCCACCCGCACAGAAGAAGAAGAAGAACAAGAAAGGCCGGCCGAACCCACACAATTTCCCGGCCAAAACTATGGATCCGGAAGAAGACGCACAAGATATGACACGCACTATGGAAGCCGTGCATCGCGATTTGTTTGAAGATGGCGCCTCCGAAGAGGAGGAAGAAGAAGAGGACGAGGAGCAGCAGGCAGCTTTCGACCGTGCCGAACCTCGTTCTCGCCGCTCTGCACATGAGCGCCGCAAGGCTGAGCTGGCCGAGGAGATTCGTAAGCTAGAAGCTGCTAATGTAGCCAAGCGCGAATGGACCTTGTCTGGAGAAGCGCGCGCAGCAGATAGACCCATGAACTCTCTCCTCGAACAGGACCTGGATTTTGAGCGGGCCGGTAAACCTGTGCCTGTCATCACGGCGGAAGTAAGTGAGAGCATTGAAGAGCTCATMAAACGCCGCATTCTCGCTCTGGACTTCCAAGACATTCCTCGACGTCGACCGGATGACCTCGCAACGGGCAAGGAAGGAAGGCGCGGCGCCCAGAATTTCGAGCTTGACGATTCGAAGAGCAAAAAGGGTCTTGCYGAGGAGTACGAAGAGGAGCATCTCAAGCGTACAGACCCGAATTTTGTGGATGTCAAGGACGAGAAGCTCGCGAAAGAGCAGAAAGAAATTGAAGCTTTGTGGCGGGAGGTCTCTGGGCAGCTCGACAGTCTGAGCTCATGGCATTTCCGGCCTAAGCAAGCTGCACCACAGCTTGACATCCGCGTCGATACACCGGCCGTGGTCATGGAGGATGCTCGGCCGAGTGCTGGCGGGGACGTGGCGGGTGCGAGTCAATTGGCACCGCAGGAGGTCTACAAGGCCGGCGAAGCGACTGAGAAGGGTAGCAATACAGAGGTTGTGGGTAAGAGTGGATTGCCCGCTGGCCGCGAGGAACTGACGAAGGATGAGAGGAAGAGGAGGCGGAGGAGAGAAAAGGAAAGAATCAGGAAGGCGGGAGGAGCGGATGGCGATAAGAACGAGAGCAGGGCAAAGAAAGACAAGAAGGCCATGCTGGGAGATCTCAAGCGTGGTGGCGTCAAGGTCATTGGTAAGAAGGGCGAGGTGCAGGACGTTGACGGGAAAGTTGCGAGGAAGGAAAGCGGTGGACAGGGGGCAGCAAAGTATATGCTGTAGTACTCCAACTTGAAGAAAGCGGCAGCAAATCGAACGACGCTCCAATCGAAAGTTTTCCTCTGCACTGAGTTCATTCACTGGGTATCCGGCAACTCCCGAGTGAAAGACTGGATACAAGATGGATCCTGCGACATCTAGGTGACTGTCAGCTGGAATTCCCACGATCAAGTGAGACATTCCAAAGTTCATTACCCTGTTGGATATTGATGGACAACACTCCGTGCCTCTTCCGCTTTCGAGCGGCCCGGCTCCGTGTCGAAGACGCTGTTCTGCTAGCTCAGAACAGAATAGAACAGAACAGCCAACCTACGCGGCCATCTCATCGTCGCAGACTGGAGTTCAATTCAACACGTCAACGACGCAGAATTAACAACCACGCTCATGTCCTACATGCCTTATCGCATCTCGGACGAAACTCTTGACAAAAAATTGAGAGCCCTGACCGCATGTTCCTCACAAGCTACAACCGCGAACCTGCGAGACTTTCGAACGATCTGCGCATGTCTAAACGACCACGACATCGATCGTATTACTACGCTCAGTAAATGGAATCTTCCTGCGGGGAATTACGATGGCTGGCGAGCTGGATGTCAGACCTGGAGTGATCGAGAGGTACGATTCGTGCTGGAGGTTCTAAGATGGGAGTACTATCAGCATTATACCTTGTCCCTACTCTGGTTGGATCGTGTGGATGGCATGGACATGGTGGACACGGATGATGCGCATGAGCTTGAGGGCCGAATGGTGGTAGACGAGCCCAGCGGTATCCAGATGCCGGCATGTGATGGAGAGGGGATGGCAGAAGAACATGTATCGTTGTGGGATTCGCGAACGGAAGAGGTGAATTCTCATCCTCAGGCCAACGAGGATGTTGGCGCTGAGGCAAATTGCTGAAGGGGTCTCGGGGTTGATGTCGACGGAACGAATACATTGAAAGGCACCATGTTACCTGTACTTACGCTCCGATTACAACACGTACACCCTGGAGGGCCCAAGGTATGGTGAAGTTGAAGCTTGCCGGCTCTCCTTAGAGTGACCCGATGACAACGCTCGCGTTGAGATAGCTATAGGCACTGAATGAAGCAAGCTCACGGAGAGTCAGACGTCTCGTCGGAATATGTCCACTACTACCGGGAGCGCGGCAACCTTGAATTTCATCGGGCCGTGGCCTCCGTTCCCGCTTGGATGGGTAGGTATGATTTTGCCGACATCGGTCATGACCCGCTGGGGCCCCGCATGAATTTCAGAGTGTCATTGGTGCGCTACATTGATGTCGTACCGAAATGGTTGCAACGCTGTCACTCGGTGAGGAGAAAGAAATTCACTGTGGATGCTGCTGAGTCAAACAAAAGGCGACGAAGGTTTGACGATTCCTAGTGGCAGTTTTCTCCAACTTCAAATTCCGACAACCACAATCCAAAGTCTATAATCCTTGTTCTGGCATCGGCTGGAAAGTTGACGCCAATGCGGATCCCCTTCCTCGCGCAGAAGCCGACAGCTTCGTCTCTGCCACCTTCCCCTCATGCCGATGAGAAGACCCAACACTACCAGAACTATCCCGGCGCAAACGATGCATACCCCGTCACTAGCCACTACGATGATCACCTTCATGTGTAAGTACTTTCTCTCCGATACATGGTCATACATACAAGATGTGAAGCTTTGYCGCGGCACCAACGGAGCTTGATCCATTCTCCCAAGCATCAAGCATTGCCGCCGACTGGGCTATTGTCATGAAGCCTTGATCACACCTGATCACAGAGAGATGCTATACGCAACACAGCTGACAATCGTTCCACAGTCAATGTCCACCGCACACTACCGAGAGAAAACTATTAATGAAAATTGACCTTCACGTCATACCAGTACTGTGTATTCTCTACCTGTTGGYCTTCCTGGACCGTGTCAACATCTCAAATGCCAATGTATTTGGTCTTTCCAAAGATCTCAAGCTCAAGGGTAATGAATAGTGAGTCCCAAGTTACCCCTTTTTTTCTCGATCTGGTGGTGTACATACTTACGGACTCTAGCAACACGGCGCTCGTGATATTCTTCGTCCCGTACATACTGCTGGAGATCCCGTCGAACGTTCTACTGAAGAAATTCAAGCCCCATGTCTGGCTCAGTGCCAATATGGCTTTGTTCGGACTCGTGACCTTCGCACAGGGGTTCGTTACTAGCTACTCTGGACTGCTTGCGACTCGATTCTTCCTCGGTGTCTTCGAAGCGGGGATGTTTCCGGGGTGCTTTTACATAGTAGGTATGTGGTATCGGCGACATGAAGCTCAAAAGAGATACACTTTCTTCTTCAGCTCGACCACGCTGGCGGGAGCATTTGGTGGTTTGCTGGCTGCTGCGATAGGGAAGATGTCAGGTATTCACAACTACGCCGGATGGAGATGGTGAGTCAATGGACAGTAGAAGGTCTGCACGATGATGTTCTAACCTCGGAAAAACACAGGCTTTTCATACTGGAGGGAGGACTCACATTCGTTGTGGGAATTGCCTTCTTTTTCGTGATCCCTWCGTGAGTCAATCTGCTCTCAGTTCTGCTATTACACATAGCTGATGATTTTTTTAGCTTCCCTGAGCAGGCGAAATGGCTCAATCAGGAAGAAAAGGAGTACGTTGCTGCCAGACTACGCATCGACCAAGGAAAATCTGCTGTCGAGCGCTCGATAAAGCTCAAAGATGTTGGGAGAGTTTTCAAAGACTTCAAAGTTGTCGTTGCTGGGTAAGCGAACCCTCGAGTAAAATGCGCATCAGAGATGACAGAGATACGCCTGTTGTGATTCTGGCTTTTTTTACATTCGCGAACTTCGCTGAACACAAATAACGCTTTCTTACAGGTTCATGTACTTCGGACTTGTTGTACCTGCATACAGCTATGCGTACTTTGCCCCGGGTATCATCCAGACCTACGGCTACAGTCCGATCCAGACGCAACTTCGCTCCGTACCGCCTTGGKCAGCGGCGTTTGGATTCGCAATGTTACTTGCTACATTGTCAGACGCRTCAAAACATCGATTTGCGTATGCAGTCTTCGCCATTTGTGTTGGTATCGTGGGATTCGCCATCCTGATCAGCGTTCACGACAACACKAACCTGCAGTACGGCGCTCTATTCCTCATCACAAGCGGCGTGTACAGTGCCATGCCAATCGTCGTCTGCTGGTAGGTTATCTCGGGGGTCAACGTTAGTAGTCTTACATCTAGCTGACCACGAGCTTCGTTTAGGTTTAACATGAATCTGGGCGGTCACCATAGGCGATCCGTGGGCAGTGCATGGCAGGTCGGGTTCGGTAACATTGGTACGTCTGCAGCGCCTATGACTATTTCATGAGAAATTTTTCACTAACTGCTCATGCTCTATCTCGCAGGCGGCATTGTTGCAGTCTTCAGCTTCCTGAAGGAAGACGGGCCAAAGTTCATCCCAGGGTTTTCCATCTGCATCGCCTTCACCATCTTGAGTATTGTTGCTTGCATCATCTACGGCACTGCATGTTATTTGGAGAACAGGCAAAAGGATAGCGCAGGAGTCGATCCCAATTTGACGGAAGAGCAGAAGACAGGGATGGGCGACAAGAGTCCCGAGTATCGTTACCTCTTGTAATGCGGATGTGCTCTATATATCACGAAGGCGGCACAAATGCCCATAAGCGAGAAGAAAAGCTGTAGGCAACCGCTAGCACAGCCATACTTAGAAGCACTTCTTTCTTCGATTAGGGGCAGAGCTCAATACAGCGTTCCGACGCATTCGGGTAGGAATCGCGGTTCAGAGGACTAGGTACAGCTCAGCAAAGTTCTCAACCGATYCAGTCGAGAGCATCAGGCAACATGCTCAGGGCGTCGACACATGTAAGTTTATAATCGATTTCATTAGATGCATGAGGGAACTGTACATTCGATCTGCGTGCGATATCTCCGTTCGTTGATGTTTCGGTCCCCTATCATCGCTACACGAATTTCGCTCATCTCTTACTCTAAAATTGGGGTATTATCGCAACTCGTTCATATGTCATGTAGATTTCGTTATCGTGATCAACTCTTGGCGCTTGATATTGTCTTCTGCTTAGTCTCGCTTTCAGCTTCAACTTCTGCAAGGCACGGCACTCGCGAGTGCAACAAGCAGCTGAGGAATCTCAGAGGTAGGTAGGTGCCTAGGCGTGAGATGACGCCGCAGTCACGCATCTGTCTGAATGCATCCGCTGCCAATGACCTTGAATGTTGGGCCCTGTTGCCTTCAAGGGTATCTCTCGCGTCGCCAAGTGCCATTCTGCATTTCCTTCAGCGCCTTCGCGTTCTCCTTTTCGACAACCTCGTCGACTTCCCGCAAGGGCTTGGCAGGGTTGCSAGCAACTATCGAATTGGGCTTGACGTCCTGTGATTGATGTTAGCAAACAATGATGGAAAGCTCTCCACGGGCGAGACTCACTTTTGTAACCACGGATCCAGCAATGACCGTCGCTCCCTTGCCAATGGTTCGGAACGGTAGGATAGTCACATTGCCGCCAATCGTACATCCATCCTCGATTCGGATCGCGCCCGTACTGTGCAAGCCCTGTGGGCCTGCTGAAGTAGGTGACACGAGCGTGAGGAACGAGCATCCAGGACCAACGGTAACATGCGAGCCGATMGATATTGTGGCTGCATCTTGAAAGTGACAATTCCGCATGATCATGGTTTCGTCTCCAAAGTTGAGGTTGTAGCCATATTCGCAGGAGAATGGCGCTTGAACGACGACCCGATCTCCGACGGATCCAATGGGCCCATCCCAGCTATGCCCGTAATCGTTGCGCTCCTTGGGATTGACGAGTTGGGAGAAGATGACACCCTTGTGCTCGATACTTACGCCCGAGGTGGTTCTGTCGGCATCGTTGTAGCGCTCGAGAATTTCCTTGCAGGAAGCACGCTCGTTGATCAGCGCTCTGTCGGTGAAGTATAAGCAGGGCTCGCCGGTGATCATCTTGCTTCTGTCTATCTTCTCTCCAGATCGATAGACGAGACCGGGTCTGGAGCGCTGGCTGGTGGAGTGGGATGAGATGCCGCTGTCTTTGGAGCTGATCGTTGTGGGAGGTCCAGGTGGACCGTGGTATTGATCTAATGTGCCATATCTGGGTAGCACGGGAGGAGCAGACGGCGCAGAAGGGGTGCGATGATGGGAAGAGTGGTTAGGATCAGGGTAGACGCGATAAGGAGGCAATGCTCCATATTCTGGAGGCGGTGGCGGTTGAGGCAGGCCATGAGGAGGAAAGCGCTCCGCGTGATGCGGTGGCTCCGGGTACTGCATGGTGTATCCATCTCGGGGACGAAAATCAACAGGTCGTGGCACATGAGGATGATTGTAGTGGTGAACCGGCGGAAGACCGTGCGACGCTGCCCTTTGCGGGGGTGGAGGTGGGGGCGCATAATTCGGTTGCKCATATGTCGGTTGAGGCTGTCTTGGACGATTGTCATAATAAGGCCCGAGAGAGAATTGTGAAGGTCCGTGTGAAGGCTCGTAGGCGGGCTTGATCGCGGTCAACGGCCGGGCGGCGCTAACCTTGCTACCGCCTGGTGGCTTGGGTCCGTAGCCGCCGCACTCAAAGCCGCCGCGTTGGCAATTGTGACAGATGGGTTTGTTTTCGTCACATTTCTTCTTACGCGCCCGGCAAGTGTGGCAGCCAGTCTTGGTCCGATTGCTGAAATTTCGCTTTCGCTTCTTGCTGCTTGAATCGTCGGCATCGCCATTTTGGCCAGTTTCCGATTCATACGGAGGTGACTGCTGATGATCGTACGAACCATCCACAGGACTGGCGCTTGTCTCAACCGGCACAGTATGCTGACGATCATCCGATGCTTCGGGAGACACTTGTTGGGAATTCCTTTGTCCTGCTGGCGAGACATATCGCTGCTGACCCTGAGCGGATGCCAATTCACGCTGCAAGGATTTTGCGAGGTCTGCTGCAACTTCGGGTCGAGGGGGAGGCGGAGGAGCGCCACGATCTTTCATGAATATCGGGGAAGGCTCACGATCATATATGCCTGGGACTACTCTCTCACGGGTGTGATCAAAAGCTACAGGAGCGACAGTTTGATGAGGAGTGGAGGTAGTCGAAACAGTAGCTGACGCATCCATAGCTGCATTTCGCCGCTTGGAAGCCACGATTTCCGTCGCATTAGGCCTGTCTTCAGGAACGCTGGAAGGAGCTGCGTCTTTTTCGGAATCGGCGCGCTTTCTCTTGTTTGTTGGAGATTCTCCAGAATCGCCGGAATGTGTTGCGGAACGCTCATCAGGCCGCCAGCTGTGGACCTGCTGTGGGACCCCAGCTTGTTCGATTGCAGCATCTTTGCGCTCAAAGTGAGTCACGTTCACGGGACGCTGGACCGACTCGTCTGGTCTGAAAGATGTGTTTCGATGTGCGTCACCATTGACGGCTGTAAATCCTGAAGTTGGGCTCCCGTGAGACATTTTGTAAGAGATTCTGATCGTCTGCCCTTCAGAATTGGCCTCGAGCGGTGGAGACAGCAGACTGGAAACGCTAGACGTGGAGCCCTGAGTAGGGCGGGACTCCTCTCGCATCGGTGTATCAATCCGCAAGCCCAGCTCGTTGGGTCGGGATAATCGAGATTGAATCATGTGGCATTGGAGCACAGGCTTCAACGCCTGTGCAGACGATCGGATGTCTTGCTGCTGGTTCGGCAGATGTAGCTGACTGCACGCACTGGCAAACGCCTCTCTCTACGTCGAAGGTGCAACTGAATCTAGGTGAACGTAGCGCGATTGCGGCGCTCTGTTCGTTCCAATGCTAGGTACTCTGTCACCTAGACGCCGGCGTTGGGGTCTCGATCCCAAGCAAGAGGTGGTTCGATGTAGACTTTGGCTCTGTTGGAGGTGGTTTGGTGAAGGTTTCCCGAGGCCGTCGGTACAAACAATCTGCTGGATTGCGGGCGAGTTGGCCAGGCAGTGAAGTGCGGTGCTTGATAGGCGCACGGCAGTGAAGGCGGGTGCAATAAGGTACACGGACTGCACGCAAGCCGAGTCCGAGGAATTCAACACGCCGATCGCCTTGCCGTCTTGGGCTGCCCGAGTTCAGCAAGTGTGCAGGGCTTCGACGCAACGAGTCGCGGTCAGTTCTGATAACTATGTATATGCAAAGACAAGCAAAAGCGACCAGAGGCGAGGAGAAAGTGGGCGGCCAACACCTCTTCAGCGGTGTTCCGCGCCTAAGTCGCAAGGATGGTGCCCACTCGGCGCTAATGATCCACTTTGAAAAGGTTCGGCTCTGTGTGGGTGTTTCCCACCCGCAATTGGCTTGATGGGCCGCAGCGAGCGCTTATGGCGGTGGCCGTGACGGCTTCCTGCTGCTCTAGCGAGGACCTCGAGGACAAATCGCCGAGCGGCTACTCCAATTAGCGGCACAGCTATTGCCGCGTCAATGGCGGTGCTCAACACCAACCCAGAGCTCGCCCTGCCCACCTGTCTCTAGCCTGTCATTCGAGAGGCACTTTTGGAGAACCTCTGAAATCTTCTCCACCCTCCAAGCTGGATCAGGCGGCTCGTTCACAAGCCATTCAAACGCGGCCTCCACTTGTGGAACGGTGCTATGGGTCTCGCTCGGGCAAGCCTTTGGAGCGACGACGAGGTCGCTCATCAATTTTTTGATTGCCGCTGCGACCGCGCACAAATGCTGCTCCTACGCGGCTACGGCTTGCTCGCTTGTCACACTTCAAGTAACACCACCTCAAACAATGTTTCTCCAGAAGCAATGGTGGAATTCTGCACAGCTGTGTGCACTGACTAGCAATCTTTTAAGGTTCGTAGGCAGCTTAGCCCGGCGACGTGTGATGCGCAAGGATCAATGCGGAATTCTGGTCCAGCCAAACGATCGTCGGCACACGCCCCGTGCCGCCATGAGCGAGCGCCGCGCCAGAATTCCGAGGATGAGCACTTGGAAGTTGATGGTCAAGACAAGGCCTCATCGCTTCGATCCGCGCTCAACCGATCTGAACTGCCCCAGCGCTTGCAAGCATGGGTAGCGAAGGGTAACGACATGTTTCCGCTTGCTCGCATCTCTTAGACGCTGACATTACCAGCAGCGTGGAGACGTGCGGGACGTTGCGGCGTTGCGGCCGCGTAGGCTGCTGCGCTTGGAAGATCCACTCAGACTCCAGCTCATCCGACCCTGTGGCACAGTCACCACCATTCACACATCCTGCATATTTCTGCATGCCAGCCTTGCTTGTTGAGGTATATTATCTCTCCAGCCTTCAGTCTGCGATGCCGTGGCCAATCGCTGCACTGAAGTTATTCACTCGGGTTACACTAGGAACGTGGTTGGCATGCCTGCAGAGCACCCGACCATTCCAAGAACCGCGTATGGTGTACATGTGAATACCTCCTGACGCGTGTGTGACTATGCGAGCAGATCCCGGCATAATGAGGCTAACAAGGTGGAGTGTAACGAGTATGCTGTGTAGCCTACACAAAGATCCTGAAGCATGGCACCGCTTGCAATTGCAATCAGAAATCGCAATCTAATTAGTCTTGTGACCGTGATCGAATCTCGATAACGGTTCCAGATCTCGCTATCCGGATGRAGAAATAGGAAAGACACAGCCTTGTAGGCCGAAAAGAATGGGCGTGGCAAAGATAGAGCGTCGGTAGAGAGTAGTATCGAAACTCAACGGCAATGGACATGCAGCATCTCCAAGCTTAATCCAGAGACTTGACCAGCGCATGCATACAGTAAACACGTCGTCAACCATGCGTGGTATGAGAGCGAAAGAGTATCGTTTCGCGGCGGTGGCATGCAAAATTCAGCTCCAACTTCTTCCATCTGAGTGGGGGTTCAGACGATCCATACGAGGAATGCAAGGCTGCTTCACAAACCTGTGTAACATATGGTTTGGATGTCCTGCAGCGCGAGACTCGGATCGGATCACGCCCCGGCTCGTAATTCTCTCACGCAAGGGCAACATAGACTGCAGCGATGGAGGCTTGGAGTTCGGGAGCGTGGGGTGAGGATGAAGACAGAAGACGGTCGCGGATCGCGGTAATTAGTAATTAGTGCCGGGAGTAGCCAGTAAATCAACGACAGCAACTGCGACCATCGCCATTGACATTGACATCCCGCGGCCACAACCACCATGCCGCCACGTTCCTCCGCCGCACGGCTGTTCACAGTTCCGCCCAAGTTTCTGTGTCCATCAGTATCACTGTCGAGCCAGACCGTCCGAGCCATCCGCTCACTACTACCCGTCAAAAAGCTCGGCCGCTTCAACCATGACACGAATCTACCGCTCCTGGAATCTTCCCAGGCCGCCGCTCTACTTCGCAAAGAAAACTCCTTCGCGCTGCGTACCGGTGCGCTGGCCATAAAGAAGGGAATGACTGGTGTCTACGATCCAATAACCGCCAAACGTGAAGCCTGTACGGTGCTCCAACTCGATCGCTGTCAGGTTATTGGGCACAAGCGGGTGAAGCCCCACGGATACTGGGCAGTGCAAGTCGGTTGCGGCACAAAAGAGGCACGGAACGTGACAAGGCCGGAACGAGGCCACTTTGCGGCACAAGGCGTGCCAATCAAACGACATGTTGCCGAGTTTCGCGTCAAGGATGAGGAGGCATTGGCTGAAGTCGGCAGCATAATCACTGCCGACCTGTTTCAAGAAGGACAATTCATTGATGCTCGCGGCACGACTCGCGGCATGGGTTTTGCTGGTGGCATGAAGCGCTGGGGCTTTTCGGGTCAGCCTGCTTCGCACGGTAACTCGCTGACCCATCGTGCTATGGGGTCCGCTGGTGCTAGTCAAGGCAGTGGATCACGTGTGTTACCGGGGAAAAAAATGGCTGGCCGCATGGGTGGAGAGAGACATACGGTGCAGAACTTGAAGGTCATGAAGGTAGACGCGGCAAATGGCATTGTGGTGGTTAGCGGTGCCGTGCCCGGACCGAAATACAGCATTGTGCATATCCAGGATGCATTGAAGAAGCCTTGGCCGACCGTGGATCGATCAGCCGGGATCGCTGCTGCGGATGGCACTGTCGGAAAATCAGCTGCTCCTGTTGATGCTTAATGCTAAGCGCGAAGAGACGCTGGAACTTCGTCCAGGGCTGAGATACGACCCTGAGACGCAGAGCCACCCCTGAAATACTCAATCGAAACAGCACATGAGGTCTAGACTCGAACGTCACGAGCCCAAAATCCTCAATAGACAGATGGCCATCATTAACGGCAATCCACAGGCTGCACGCCGTCAATCATCAACAGCTATCAGACGGTCACGCTAATCGTGAAGCGTCCTGCAGCTGGAGAAGGCTCAGAGGTATCAGAAAACCTACCGGGAATCCCCATGTATTTTAAGAAATGTCAACAACTGTTCAAAGCTGCATTTCATCGTCCTCGTAACTACTGTTACCAAAACCGTTGCGATCATCATCGTCCTCACGTTCTTTACTAGCCTCTTCTCGTGAACGATTGATTTTCCTGAACTGTTAGCAATGCATTGCGCACGAGGAGTGACGATCCGCTCACCTCAAGTTGTCCACCACTCCGCCAACGAACCCACGCACTTCTGCAATCTCCATTCCACCCACACCATTCATCTTGAGCCCAGCACTTGGTCCCAGAACCTTGAAGCCTTTTCGTAGCTTGCTCATACGCACTTCCCTCAAGTCCCGCGTGAGCTTCCGCACCATATCCGGGTCTACAAAGTCGTCTGATGCATGCGTGAGGAGAAGATGACTGAGCTCCATCCAATGATACGGCAAGGCATTGTCTTGCGCGCGAGAAGTCGAGGAATCTTTGATGAATGGTGCGGACAGCTCAAGCGAGTCTTGAGACAAGTATGGTTCGTCCGGCAGACTTGTACCCGTGGGAGCAGGAAGCGTCGGTGCGGGAGCGAAGACACCTTCTAGTTGTGGGTGCATCTCAAACTCCAGCAGGCTTTCGAGGGCTTCGACGTTCAGCCATGGCGGTGGGCTAATGTTGGCGCGTTTCTGTCGCTTGAGGAGGAGAGCGAGCCAGAGAGGCAGTTGGGCTGGGAAAGGCGGATTGAGACGTTCTGTTTGGCCCTGTGGGGGAGTGTTGTTTAGAGACGCTTCCCGTCAAGACTTCCAGCCAAGCAGCAGTCTTCTTACGCTGTGCGAGTACTCACACCTAGCAATTCGAGGGCGTCGAGTCTCTGTCGCGGGATCACGGTGACCAGCTCCATCTCACAGAGAAAGCCGACTTCGTTTGGAGACAAACCGGGTTCAAGAGGCAGAGCCATGATGCCATGTCTGTTCAAGGCGGTTATAATATTGGGAATAAAATGCGAGCATTGTGGAGGGCGTTGTCCACGGCGCGTGCTTGAATCGCGGCGGACGCGATCATGTGGGGCCGACCGATGAGACGGGATCTCCCTATAGCATCCTCGACTTCACTTCATGTCACCCAACAAGACAAGAATGACTTGATCAGAGAGTCCCATCGAGTCACTCTTCTCCCGCGCCTCTCGACACTCATCCCATCATGGCAGTCGAGGCCGCTGCTGCTCTGGCTCCGCTCTCGGCATGGTTCGCTGCTGTCAATCGCACCGTAACAGAGCCATACCTCGTACGTTTTCCTCGCAGAGGTAAGGAGCCATCTCTCATTCATCTTCCAGGACGAGGTCTTTCATATCCGCCAAGCACAGCATTACTGTCAAGGCCACTTTGAGATATGGGATCCCAAGATCACAACTCCACCTGGCCTATACCTCATTTCCTACATCTTCTCCCCGCTCCTAGGCTGCAGCATTACCGCTCTGCGTTCAATAAATGCACTGTCGCTGATCGGTTTGTTGGTCATACTACGCGCGACGTTCGTAGTGCGCAGGAAGACGAATCATGAAAATGGGTTCATGAGCAATATCATGGCGTGTCACAGCTCGCTGAACATTGTGCTGTTCCCGCCACTGTTCTTCTTCTCGGCGCTCTACTACACTGACATGGCGTCAACACTGTCTGTAGTGCTAYTCTACTGGTACTTCTTGCAAGGGCTAGCAAAGTCGCCCTCATTAGGGCGGGACTTGCTGCAGACTCTTCTAGGCATTGGCAGCCTGATGTTTCGGCAGACCAACATCTTCTGGGTTGCTGTACTTCCAGCAATCTTGACCGTGGTCGCAGAATTGGACCAAGGTCATCGTGTCGTAAAGGAGAGCATGTATCGTCGAGCAGAAGGATTTGGCGATAGCTCGCTTAGTGTGGCGAAGACGAGCTGGAAAATGGAAGTCATTTATGATCCTCCCATCAGGGATGCTTTCTTTGAAGGTAGGATTCGGCCCTCATTCTTTCACGCTTCTATCGCTCACCACTTATAGACTACATGCGCACACTTATATCCATCGCGTCATGTGCTTTGAAAGTCCTCACCCGACCAGCCCGCCTCTTCGATGTCGTCCGCGCCTTGGTACCATTCCTCGCCCTCCTCGGACTCTTCGCAAGCTTCATTCTCTACAACGGCAGCGTGGTCCTTGGCGACAAATCTAACCACGTCGCCACGCCCAACGTCCCTCAAATGCTCTACTACTGGGCATTTCTTGCCTTCTTCTCCTGGCCACTTCTCCTCCCACAGTTCTTCCTCCTTCCGCTGGTKCTCATCTGCCGCCTTCAGAGATACACCCATCTGGAACCTCTCCTTCTCTTTCGCCGCCGCTTCTTGCTCCCTCGCGTCCGTCTCGTCCTGGCTTCCATTTTCGTATCCTGCATGATCGTCTTTTTAAACACCACGGTCCACCCTTTCCTCCTCGCTGATAACCGCCATTACTACTTCTACATATTCCGCCTCCTCCTCCGACCCTGGTGGATGCGCTACGCCGTCACACCACTCTACGTTCTCTCCGCCTGGGCTTCGATCGAAACTCGCGGTGAACCAGCCTCAACTACCCCGAAATCATCCCAAACTCTGAACGATCCTCTGGTCGCCAAAGCGAAACCCTCAGCGCATCGACAACCCTACCATCTCCCAGATGGAAGAAGTACCGGAACAGTCTCCTTTGTGTTGTCGACTATCTTCACCACTGCGCTGACTTTGTGTACCGCCCCTCTGGTGGAACCTCGATACTGTATCATCCCGTTCGTTATGTGGAGGATGCATCTGCCACTTTACTCCCCTGATAGGACTCACGACCAGCAGATTGCCAAATCCGGATCTTGGAAGGCTATCTTTGCGGCATATGACTACAGGGTTGCATTGGAGACCGTGTGGTTCCTTGTCATCAACGCCGTTACAGGCTACATCTTCATTCATTGGACTTTTGAGTGGCCGAGTGAACCAGGCAAAGCGCAGAGATTCATGTGGTGAGAAGAAGATCGGAACCGTTTACGAGATCTCGCGCATTCGCATTTCAGGTTACCTTGTACTCTAATCTGAGCTGTACAATCATTTCTGTCCGGTCTGCCTATAGACACGCATTGTCCCGTCCCGTCCCTATAATATTCCCGTCGCAGAGGTTATGTCATTGGACAAGCCCACCACTCTACGGGCACTCAGCCAATACTCATACACTCTCAACTTGACGGCCACCTTTGCGTACGCCAGCGCAGCTATTCCCAATTTAAACATGTTTTGTGGCCACCACACGCTGCCTTCTTTTTTGACCTCCTCCTTTCTTTCATCCCACACACACCTCGCCGCATATCTCGCTAGGATCATGAAACTCCTCATCGGGCCTTGGGTTGTATGTAGGTTCTCATCCAGCGATCTCGTCAGATCCTAAAGCGAAATGGAAGGTAAGCAAGGGTCTTGAACGCCGGGAATTTGCACGAAGGTTTTGAGACATGCTCCATGCCTTTCCATGCTTCATTTAAACTTACATTCGTCTTCAGCACCAGAAGGATGACTCTCGGCACTCTTGCGAGCAAGCCAACCAACTTCTCGATCAGATCTTGCCCAAGACTTTCGCTGAGGGAACGCTGTTCATCAGGACTGTGCCGATCTGTGACGACGTTCGAAGTCACGACACTGAAATCTCGACCTGTAATCGCGGACGCGAAGATGGGGAATTCCTCGTCGCCAACGCCAGCGATCTCATAGGCCCAGTGGCGCATTGAGGGTATGTCAGTTTCCAGTACCGCTAGCCACATATGTGCGTAGGCGCGACGGAGCTGAAGCGGGATGTCGCGATACAGGCCGTGATCGTACAGAATGACTTCGAAGTTTTTGGCAGAGCGTTTGGAAGGATCTTTGAGGCGAATGGCCATGTTACCACCGTGAGGATCACAATGTAGTGGTGCGTCAGTCCCAAAGATCATTTCGTTGAAGATTCGAGCCAGAGCTGCGGAGACCTCATCTCGGGAGATACCGTTTGCGTCTAGGAATTCGAGGTCGTCGGGTCTGTGGCCGGTGATGAACTCCATTACAAGCACTCTCCGCTCGGCCCAGAGAACGGTAGGAACGATCAGGGGGTGGCTTGGAATGTTTGCAAAGTAGGCCTTGGTTCGACGGGCGTTGTATGCTTCCTCGCGGAAATCCAGTTCTTTGGGCAGTGAGACTTCCATCTCCTCGCTGAGCCAGGTGAGGTCATATTCAGGGAACCAGTACTTCAATGTTCGGAAGCTGAAGCGAGTGAGCCACATATCCAGGCTAGCCCATTCGTCGAGCCCGGGGTGCTGCACTTTCACCGCGACCTTTTCACCCGTCTCACGGATTCGCGCCAGATGGACCTGTGCTAGGGAAGCGGCACCAATGGGCTCGGCGGCAAACTCGGAGAAGTAGTCTTCCAACGATTTACCGGTGTCTGCCTTGACCATTTGCTCAATCGACCTGAAGCTGGACACTGGACATTTGTCCTGCAGCGGGATGAAAGTCTCGCACCACTCGGAGGGAAGGAGATAGTTCAGGCTGGTCAGATGTTGGCCCAGTTTGATGAAGATACTGCCATTYTTTTCCATGGCCTTGAGAGTTCTCTGGGCGCAACGCTTGTGCACCTCAGACAGATCGGCCTGGAAGGTGGGGGAATCCTGCTGCTTGAGGATGTGTAGATAGTCCCGGATATTGAGATATAAAGTCACCACGACCCTCCCACATCTCTCTGCCGCAATATAGATATGTCTCGCCTCGGATGAAAAGGCCAGCGCTCCACTGCCGAGCAGGAACAGCGCGGTGACGCCAATGGCGACTCGCCGCCTCTCCTTGCTGTCCAACCGCACGCGTTCCCTCCATGTGATCTTGCCCGTCCGTTCCGCGAGAGATGTCTTGGTGGAGGAGGAAAAGGCTCGTGCTCCCTTTGCGCGYAGGATGTGGCTCGTGACATCGATCCGCGTCGTTTGGACAGCAATCGCAGCTGGTCGTTCGGGGGCTCGCAGACATTGCCGACAGATCCACGGCGCCTTTGGCCGCGCGAGACTCGGAATCGCCGTCCATAACGGCGTCGCAATTGCTCTCATGGCATCGTATGTGCGTGGATATGCCGGCGTCGGCAAGTTCGCCTCTTGGTACTGGAGACCAGGAAACAAAAGGAACGTGAAGCTATGGTTCGGAAATCGGTTTTAAGGTTTCGATGACGGGATGTTGAAGATTGCGTGTAGTTCTTGCCTAACATTGAACGTTTAAACATCAACGCCAATCACATCCACCTTTTCGAGTCTACCCTTCCTTATACTCTCACACGCGGCACTGCATGCTGCAACGTGCAACATGTCAAAGTCGTATTTGCAGAACTACACGGTCCCCAATGCGCACTCGACCGACATCTTCTCCCTGGCAGTCACACCACATCATCTGTTGACGGCCTCGGGATCGTCCAGCATCAAAATCTACAGCACCCGTGGTCAACCCATTCACGCCGATAGCACCGAGGAAGAGAATCCTTACCCGCTCGTTCAGACCATTGAGAAGGCCCATGCTCTCGGCTGTCATCACATCTGTGCCAACCTCGATGGCAATATTGCTGCCAGCGTAGGTTTCTCGGGTGGAGAAGTCAAATTGTGGGAATGCCACCAAGAATCGGGCGATTGGAGTGAGAAGGGGACCCTCAAGATCGAAACCAAGCAGGCCGGCGAGCATTGGGCGCCTGCCCTCAGTGCAGATGGTCTCTATCTTGCTTGCACCACCTCTGATGGCCGCATCAATGTCTACCGTACCGCTGCCATCACCTCCTCCGACACTGATCCCGGCTCCGCCAAGTTCACGCAGTACGAGACCAAGGGCTCTTTTGGGATGAGTGTCGACATCTCCCCAGACGGCTCCATGACCGCTTCGGGGCATCAGAATGGCAGCATTTACATCTTCAACAACGCCACTCAACGCCTCGCACATTCTCTTTCAGGTCTCATCAAGCCGGTACGTACTGTGAAGTTCAGTCCTGCGAATCGATTGCTAGCCGCTGCTGGAGATGCACGAATCGTCGCCCTCTACGACACCAAAAGTGGAGAGCAGGTCGCAAACTTCACAGGCCACAGCTCGTGGATCTTGAGTCTGGATTGGAATTGGAATGGCGAGTACCTGCTCAGTGGAGGGTATGATGGCAAAGCCAAAATCTGGAGTGTTGACCGGCGAGAGTGCGTGGCGACGCAGACGGAGAGCGAAAAGTGCCTGTGGGCCGTGCGGTGGTTGTGGCACTCTCCCACGGCGAGAAATGAGGTCTTCGTCACGAGTGGAGCGGGCAAGACGTTAGCTTTCTACAGGGAGGCAAGCGGAACCTGAAGGGAGACAGCAGGAACTGAGAAACATGATTTTATGATTACGGCGTGCCTGCCATTTTCGAAGGGTTCACGCCGACGATGCGAACGATGTACGACGGATGCGGGCTCTCGGAAAGGTCACGGAGGGAGAGAGCTTCACACCTCCTATTTTGCAGCAGCAAAGTGAGGCAGACCTATTCCCTGGGTAACATCGGCCCTACAGATGATCCTCAACAGGCTTGACTCAGTTGCGAGAGGCGAAAAGAACGGAGCAGTTTCAAACCACATCATTCGATGATGCCGTGTGGAAGTGAGGCCTCGAGTATAGACAATGAACACGGATGACGTTTCGGCGACCATGTAGTCACGCACTATCCGGAGGAGGGGTGATGACCAAATAAGCAGATAAACCTTTTGTCGTGCCGCCGTTCGATGCCGCCGGCACAGAACAGTAGTCGAGGTCCTCGGGCAATACCACCACCTCGGAAAYGTTTACAAGAAATGCGGACGGGATCATCGAATATGGCCTCTGACACTGGCAAGGGATTCGATGAAGCAGGTGCACATGTGCAATACTGAAGCCTTTCTTAGGTACATTGTATCCCTACACTTCCCTGACGCTTCCACGCAAATCTACCACCATGCCAATCACTGTAGCATGGATTCCGAACAACTGCCAGACATGTAACCCAAAACGCCGTCTGAGTGCCGATCGTATACACAWGATATCCGCATTCACACAAAGGAATCATCTACCCAGTTCTCACATTGGCGGATCTGCGTATAGGTCGGAAGTTGGCGATGATGAAGATGACCTCGCAACCCTCGAACTCCTCCTAGACCCCTCAGAGTCAAGATAACTTCCCATCGTACCTTGCATAACCATGTCATCCACCTCACGACGCTGTGTGTTCTTTCCCAATCTCTCCTTTTTCTGCCCATCCGTCCGATGTAGCCCAGACACCCCAGCGGTCCCGAAACCGCCGGCGTTCGGATGCTTTTCCCTCACGGCATTGCTTCTACGAACTCCAGAAACACCCGCTGTGCCAAAAGTTCCGGGGTGGCTCTCCTTGACGTGAGGTTTCCTGCTTACACCAGAAATTCCGGCAGTTCCCATTTTCCCTGCGTTGGGATGCTTCACTTTCTTCGCATTGCTGCGTTTAAGCGTCGTTGGGAGCAAGTCTGAGAGGATGAAGGGCGCCGATGAGGCGAAATGCTGGCGGTAGGCATTTGCTACGCTACCGGAGGCAAGTGCGTGATGATTTTCAAACCAAGCGTTATGGAGGCCATCGAAGAAGAGAGGTTCCCCTTCCAAGGTCAAGGGCTTATTGGTTTCCGCCATTCAAGAGAAATTACTATGCTGCTATACTATGCTGCTGATATGGATTGTCCTCAACTGATCCTTATAGTGATTGTGTTCAGGGGAGTTAACAAAGGGAGGCCGTTCAATCAATGGATCGCCGCATCGGGTGTTGTTCAAGATCGCTATTACAATTGATCTGCCAACAAAGGGGAGGGATAGAACGCAATACATGAACGGTGGTTACAAGCAACAGATCTAAGGTGACTACAGACAGGACTTTGGATATCGACCGCTCTGTCCGCTCAAAACCAACACTCTCCAACCCCTCGGTCACGGCTCCGCGTCTTTCTAGAACGCAATCTTTCTGCTGCGTTTCTTCCAGCAGCAGATATACTTGAGCTTTGCGACGCTATGTCTTCGAGTTAAGGGAGTGCAACCCCACCTTGCTCCCCGCTGCTGTTTGGGGTTGTAGGCGACCGCCGGGTACTTCCACCCCGTGGCGGGCTGCGGAAGAGATCTTCGTTCATTATCTCCAAATCTTCGTTCATTATCTCCAAATCCTCGTCATCGGAAGCATCATCAATTGGTAGAGCCATGCCAGCTACTCTCCTACGTGTGATCGAAGTACTGGAACTCCTTCTCCTTGCGGGTCTGGACACCCTCCCACTCAAGGTCCGAGTTGCTCCTAACGGGGCAGGCGCTGCTTGTCGTCTATCTCTGGCGAGATAAGCATCGCGTAGCGTATTCATATGCTCGTTCATCCGACTCTGACGTTCCGCAGCAAGTCTAGCAGTGTGATTAGGAGAGCGGACAGTCCCCCTCGCCTCATCACGCCGGGCATTATGGCTTGCCATGTCAGCCCTGGCCCGTGCCTCGAATACGTCCCATCCACCCAAGCCATCTATCGCGTCGAGCATTCGCCTTTGTACAGTGGCGATATTGTCCTCGATAGTCGAAAGGTTTGCGCCAGGCCGACCGGCATCATGGGGGAACCGTGTCTCAGCGCGCGAGGCCCTTCTGATGTTACTAGTGGCCTTTTTGATTGCGGCCCTTTTGATAGTGGCCCTTTTGGTGGCACTGGCAACTCTCTTTCTGATGACTCTTGTGGGTGAAATCGGACCAGGATATCTAGTATATGGCGGGGGAGGCGTGAGTCCTCCGGTGAATGGTGGAGGTCTCTGGGCGCGTATCACTCGGCGAGCTTCGGCGACTAGACGTTCATCGGCTTGATAAAGACTCAGTGCAGTCCCTGCTGGCCAGTTGTTACGACGGTCTATCCAGGCGTTGTGCTCGGCTGAGAAGAACCTGCCGCCTCCGTGGATGTTGAGGGGCTCGGTCTCGTCTGTCGGGCTGCGATTATTGCTGGGAGTGCRAGTTCTGGATGGTGTGTTGCTAGACATGTTTGCTTTGGAAAGATCTTTGGGCTATATGGCGATGCTTTGTGGAAGATTTGTAAACTTGCAAAGAGGATGAGAGTAATGAAGAGTGCACCAAGCGATTGGGTGTGCCATGCTTTCCTTTGTAATCGCCGGATGTAGAATGTCCCTCGTTGACTGCCGCAAGACTCAGTACAGCTGAAACTTCTCTCAATTGCGAGGATGTATCTCATTGTGAACAGTGAGACAAAGCTTCGCCCGGACGTGGAAAAGATATGATGTCGGCAACATGTCAAATTATTCAGACAACGACTTCTATCTTTCTTCTCGGGCTTGTAATTGATTGCGTTGACGAGTCTTGAGGACGAGAGGGCACCTCCGCAAACGATTGCACTGTGCACAGATATGTAAGGCGGTCGTACCTTCCAAAGTCGTACCTTCCAACTTCGGAACGTTCAAAGCTTGGCGAAATTGTCAAGTGAATGAAAAATGCAAAAGTCCAGATACCACTCTTAGATACACTTGCAAGCTACCACGCCTTATTAGAGAACATTCGTGGTGCGTAAGAACATGGTGTTTGAAACTAAGGCACTCCTGTCGCGGGAGAAGTGCTTCTGTTGCCGCAAAACGTCAAAAAGTGATATCGCTGCCCAAAACCTCAACACCTCCCCTTACACCATCTATACCGCATACTTCTAACAGCAAAAAGAACGGCATACACCGTCACGTGTCGCTTCTGTGGATCGGACACAGTAGCAAAAGTCCAAAATGAAATGTGTCGCTTCTGTGGATCGAACTGATGAAGATGTTAGATGACGAATAATTGTTGGTGAATGTCGGTTGATGCTTACCACAGTACCTCCAGATACCGCACAGGGTTGTGACGACTAAAGTGAACTTCAGTCTGGCGCTCTCCCAAGTGAGCTAAAGCGACTTGTTGTAGTCATGTGATATGGAGTGGCCGGCTTGGTAGGCTTTATAATCCCTGAGATCTACTTACCGGAGCTACAACGCCGCTCGATGCGACGAGTAGTCACCCGGAGATCTCGGTTAATGATTGATGGTTGATGGCTGATGTTGACATGGTGAGCAAGCTTCTATGAAAAGACATCATCGCCGCAATYGATTTCTTCCATCGATCACATGTGAATGGCATTGTAAGTGCAGAAGTGTGTTTGCTTTACCTAGCATTACCCTTCGCGATTGCCTGCCTCAAGCTACTTGACGATTTGACTTCATTCCCTGCGCTGTGCACACTTCGACGCGCATTGATAGCTCCAGCAACTGCAATGCAAGTCGTGAGCTTGTACATTGCGCGTTTCTGAGCGCCCACTGTAAAAGGACGTCATCCAACTCCGACATGGCCGCCTTCCCGTACACGCGATACGCCTGTCCATGCGGTGAGGCGACTTCTCCGGCGCCGACATCACTTCTCAACAAGAGGGCCTCGCAGCACATTCAAGCCGAGGCTGCGATCAAGGGTGGAGAGGAGGAATATGAGGAGGCAGAGGGCGGCACGTTTGATCCACACGACGCGCGCGCCAACTACTCGCTGTATCCACTGGACCAGCTGCTCTTCTGCGATGAGTGCAATCACACCCGCTGTGCCAAATGCTGGAGCGAGGAGACCCTGTACTGGTATTGTCCCAGCTGCCTGTTCGAGGTGCCCAGCAGTGGAGTCAAGAGCGACGGCAACAGGTAAATGCACGCAGAAAGGGCCCACGGATTGATGGAGGCATACACATTTCAAGAAAGAGTCAGCGACGTCTGACTGGWCATGTTCTGTAGGTGTACACGGCATTGCTACGATTGTCCCATCTGCCACGCCAACCTCGCCACCACCGCCGTCAAGAGTCCACCAGAGGCCAGCCATCATCTGAGGCCTGCCGATGGCGAGCGCGAGGCCGACTCGTTCATTCTGCAATGCCAATTCTGCGAATGGAGCTCGCTGGACATTGGCGTACGCTTCTCCAGGCCCACCAAGATCACCGAACAACTCAACAAGCTCTGGAAGGCGAGAAATGCACCCGCCGAATTGGACGGAGAGCAGCCAAGACCGCGGTTTGACAAACTTCAACACGATGCTGCCTTCGCCAACCTCTCCAAATTCTACAAGGAACAACTTAGCGAAGCAGGCGAACAGCAGAATCTCTACCCGGGAAGTCCCTATAGCTCGCCTGCTAATCTTCAGCGGATCATGAACCTTTACGGCGGCATGTCCTATCACACCTTGAAGAARACCCGCGAGAAGCCCCAGCCGAYGCGTGAAGCCGGCGGTCAACCTGAAGGGCTTTCCACCTATACTGAGAAGAGTACCGCGGTGGATGACGAGATTCTGCATCGCATGAAGACTTTTGGGCTGGATGGCACATCCACACAGCAGCAGCGACTTGCATCACCATCAAATTACGACTCCAGGTTCACAGACCAGCTATGGCCAGTCGCAACTCCCCTGCGCGTGCGAAGAGGGAAGCGTTGCCGAACTTGTCGGCAGTTCCTGGCGAGACCAGAAGGTAAGGTGGGCAGTATGCGGTACAAGATCCGCTTGCTGGCTTCACTGCACATACAGCGTCTTTCTATCCGGCCTCTTCAGCCGACAGGTCCTCCACAGCACGCGTCATTCCGACTTCGAGCGGAGCCTATGGAGCAGACGAAACTGCCTCCCTTTCAAACGCTACAATACATACTTACAGTGCGTAATCCGTTGTTTGAATCGGTCAAAGTCACTCTCTCAACGCCAGGGACGACTCCTGGTAAAGTTGCTTCAAAGATCACCATTCTCTGCCCGTCGTTCACGGTTGGACCTGCAGGCGAGAACATGTGGGATGAAGCACTTTCTAGCTCTACCATGAGTGCCAGCGGCGATGGGAGCAGGCGAGCCGCCATGGCCTCCCTTACCGGTGGTTCGGCAGATTCAGACCGTCAGCCCGAGGCAGGCAAAGTTTGGGAGCGTAGCCGAAACTCGACTTCTGTGATACTGGAGATCGTGCCGGGCTCTCTCAAGCCGCCGCCCTCTTTTACTGCCAAGTCAGAGCAGCAGCTCGCGGATGAGGTCCTTGGTGAGGACGACGACGTCTTGGAGATACCGATTCATGTCCGAGCTGAGTGGGAGGCTGATCCAACTCACGGGCAGGATCTCCTGGCCGGCGCAGAGAAGAAGGAGCGCGATAGCAAAGAGCTCGCATATTGGTGTGTGCTGGGTGTCGGGCAGATCGCCGACGTGTGAGAATGCTGCACAGGCAAGCTGTGGTGATTGTCAGCGCCATTCTGCACAAGAATCGGGTACTGTTATCGACAGACATCAGTCCCAAAAGCTCCACGATCGAGCAAAATGCAGCACACACGGGAACTTGAGTGCACCATATACCGTTTTTTTTTACGGCGATGGCGCTGCAAGCTCTTGAGTAGCTTTCCAAGCGCATGAAGAGAGCCAAATAGCGTTGATACCTCAAAATTCGATGGCATGGACTACATAGCATTGAAATTGTGCATTCATCCATGCCAATCTCCCAATGCCGATGATCCCATCTTACTGCTGTGATGGCGTTGATGCCATCGCCTTGATACCATCGATGCCATTGATGCCATTGATTTTGATGGCGTCAACGCTATCGGTGTCATTAGCTTGATAGCGTTGATGCCATCGCGTTGATGCCATCGA